CATTCGCAAGTACGCTCTTTTGTGAGGCCTCCCCTACTACGCTGATGCTCTGGCGCGCGATTCTTTGCATTCTCACATTCGTGTGCGTGCCGCCAGGCCACCGATGACGTCTGGGGACGTGTTCAGCTTCTCTCCGCTCGTGCGGTGCAAAGACGGTCGATTGCTGCGGTTGGCCGACCGGAGCCAGTTCTTTTACGACCACGACGGCAACGTATGAAGCCGGCGCATCTTCTTCTTTTCCAGCACCACACATGTTGTGACTACCGCACGACACTCACGACACACACACACACACACACGCACACACCCACGTCAATAGGCACACTGCGCTATTTTGTGCGCGACGAGCTGGCATGAGGACACCATGAAGGAGAGCGAGCGCTTCAACAAGTGGCTTCCACTGCGTCAGCTGGCCTACCACCCTGAGCCTCGCCCGGGCGACGATGAAGCCAACGGCGGCGCAACATCATCATCATCATCTGGCTAACCGTCTTGTCTTGCCCCGTGAATCCGCGGTGAAGGAAAAAAACTATGTATATACGATCATGTGTGCAATGAGTAGTAAGTAGAGCCCATTGGAGTTTGGTGTGAGCTTCAGTTGAGCTGCTGGATGATGACCGCGTTGAGCAGGCCCGCCTGTGGATTGCGTGTGAAAATCGGCAGGAATGTCAAATATGGCGGGTTCGATCGAAGAGAAGTGCACTTGGGTACCTCGGCGAGGGTTTGCCCTGGGTCGGCCAGCACGGTCTTGGGGAAGGAGGTGCACAGATCGTAGGCTCGCACACTGCACACACACACACATACGAGGCCCCCGTTACTTACATTACTCGCATTCTACTCGACATGCCATACACTACCTTGTGATGTTGTCGATGTACTGTCTGACGTCGCCGACCGTGTGCGAGTGGTTGAAGCTGGCCTGGGCTCGGCTGCCGTCGTGCAGACGGAACTGCAGGGCCGTCACCGGCTGTTCGTCATCCAACTGATCATCGCCCCCGCCGCCACACACAGTTGTTGTTAGACAAGCGCACACGCACACGCACACGCACACACACGCGCACACGCACACGCACACGCCACCGCACACGGCACACGGCACATTAGGTGCGCACCTTGATGGTGTAGGTGATGGCCGAGGCCTCCTTCGGGGGCGGTGCGGGCGTGGTCGCGGTGGTCGACGAGCCCGAGAGCGTGTAGCCCTGTCCGTCGAACGCCTTGGGCTGCAGGACCACAACATAACGCAGAAAACAACCGTTAAATAAGTAAATTGAAAATGAATTTTTATCAATTCACTAAAATGGGGATTTAAAAAAATATAAATAGATAAATGCAACAAAATAAGGGGGTGCGGTACGGCGGGCGGGACTGGAGCTGCGGGGGTCGTGGGTCCGAGCCAGCCGCCCACGAGGGGACCGGCCAGGGTGGCTGCCCGGTTGATCCACCCGGGAATGTGCCTGAGGGGGGGAAAGAAGAAGAAGAAACGAAGCGCGTCAGCCACAAAGGTCTGATCTCGACAAGTGATCACCTCCAACGTGAGCTCGGTTGGGGTTGGGTTGGGTTGGGTGGTCGGGTACTTGTCAAGCAGGGCCACGCAGAGGGCATCGGAGAAGCTGTTGCAGTTCTTGCCCGTCATGTGGTAATTGTCGTCTGTTACGCACACACCGCACACACCGCACACACCGCACACACGCACACACCGCACACACGCACACACACGCACACACGCACACACACGCACACACGGAACGATTAGTTAGTAACTAGGCCGAGTGGGGCGTGAGGCCTGCGGTGGTGTCTCCCAGAGAGACGCACTCGTGAACTCCTTGGCGAGGTTGTTGATGACCGCGCGGAGCTCGGAGGACGAAAGGCGGATCTGGCCCATCTCGATCGACTCCCTATGAAGGTGGTTGTTGTAGTGGTGGTTGGTGGGTGGTGGTGGGGTGGCACGACGACGGCCGACGTCAGCGGTTCTACGCCTAGGCAATGCACAGAAGAAAGGGCGAGTGGGCAGTACCGGTACTTGGCCGGCGGGGGCACGGTGCGCGGCACGGTGGCGATGATGCCGCCGCCGCCGGCGCCCTGCTCGCCCCCGTAGAACGAGAACTCCTGGCCCATGATCTCCACCCCTGAAAATAAATACAGAAAGAATAAAAGAATTAGAAAAAATAAAATGGGCAGGTATACCCAGATAAATGTTATGAGCGATTGAAATAAATAAATAAATAAATAAAATATGAATCGTGGACACGGCGGTGGCACCTGTGTGGTAGAGGCCGAGGCCGAAGGAGTGTCCCCAGTTGTTGGGCACCAGGTCGTACACGTTCAGGTAGACCGTCACGGCACCACTCGAGCCACGTCGCCCACCAGTCCACTCCATTTGTTGTTGTTGTTGTTTTTTTTTTTTTAATGCTTTGCGTTTTTTTTGTGAATCCGCTCTTCACGGGTTTGTTTCGCGCCGGAGTGACGTGGCACTTGAAGAAAAGAAAAAGAAAAGAAAAATTATTCAAATATAAAAATGAGCGCCCAGATGACTACTGGTCGGCTTGTGGCTCGCCCTCTTCATCATCCTGATGGGTCTCCTGCTTCTCGCTTCCCTCGATCTTCTCCCACTCGGCGTCCTCCTCTTCTTCCTCGGTCTGGTGTCGCACTTCTTCGTCCTCCGCTTCTACAGACGTCTCCTCCGGAGGCTTGACCGTCTCAGCTACAGCAGCGGCCTCGGCAGCGCCACCGGCGTCGTGTTCGGGTTCGACCTCGTCGGCTTCGGCTTCGGCCTCGCTCGGCTGGGCTTCGACGTCAGCTTCGGCTTCGTGGTGCTCCTCATGCCGGGGCTCGCCCGTGGCCTCCTCGGCGGGCTCTTGGAGTTGGGTGGGTTCCTCCTCCTTCTCCTCCTCCTCGAGCTTGATCTGCTCCACCTCCATGCCTGAAAGGGGCGGAGCCAGATGTGAGCGACCGATAGCGCTACACGATCGCGGGGGGGAGGCGCAAGCACTTACCTGAGCCGTCGCGGCGCAACCCCGAGCCCGCTTTCCAACCCATCTTCTGCAGCAACTGGTAGCTCCAATCGTTGGAGGGGACGAAGGTGTCCATGGAGGCCTCACCACCTTCAACCACGATCTCGTCTGCGGTCGACTCGGTCGAGGCCTCCTCTTCGACGGCCTCTTCGAGCGCCACGGGCACCTCCTCCGTCGATTCCTCCTCGGGGGTGTGCTCTGCTTCTTCGTTCGGTCGGCTTTCGTCGTCTTCTTCAACGAGCTGCTCGGCCTCCGCGAGCTCTTCTTCCGCAGCTGACTCCTCTTGCTTGACATCAGTGGCGGCTTCATCAATCGATACTTCAGCTCCTTCGCTCTTGGCGTCGCTTTCGCTCTTCCCTTCGTTTTCGTTCTTCTTCTGATCGTCGCCGGTGGCGCTGGGCTTAGGAGGCTCGAGGAGGAGGGAGTCAGCAGAGTCGACCAGCTCCCACTCGACGGCGTCCTCGCCGCTGTAGGCGCGGCAGTGCATGATGTCGTCGAGCGAGAAGTCCGCGATCTCCGAGGGACACGTGAACACGCGGCACAGCGTGCGGCCCTTGAGCGGTGCAAAGATGGGCGCGAAGCGCTTCCACTCGCGCGCCTTGCGCTCGTCGCTCATCTCCGCCAGGCACTCGCGGTCCTCCTCGCTCACCTCCACCACCAGCCGCGTCTCCGTGCGCGTGCGGCGGCCGTCGATGTCCGTCCCGATCTCCTGCTTCGTCAGCGTCATCTCGTTGGTGTCGACGCTCGACTCCACGCTCGTGTCGCGGAAGTAGGCGACGCTCTGGCGCCGGCCGCCAGTACCGGAAGCGGCGGTCTTGTGGTTGTCGTTGCTCTCGTCCTCCTCTTCGCCGCCGTCGTCATCGTCCGCAGCGCAGCCGGCGGCGATCATCCGGGCCTCTTCGCTGTGCTTCACGACGTCGTCGTCGCTGCCGTTCTCGCCTTCGCTGCTGGACGGCGGCGCGACGACTTCTTGGCCCTTGTCGTCGATCTCCTTGGTGGTGGTGGTCTTCGACACAACGGTCACGGCCTTGTGCTCGGGCGCGCGACGGATGAAGATGGCCTTGACCTGCTCGGGATACTGGGCAGCCAGCTCCGCATAGATCTCCGGGTCTAGACGTGCGTGCGTGTGCGGCGTGTCAGCCACCACACATATAGGCAGTGGGAATGGCCAGCAGAGGTGAATGACGCGCATACCCTTCTCACCAGAGTCGCCGACGAAGATGAACTTGCGCTTGGGGAACTGCTTGAGAATGGGCTCGATGAGACGCTTCTTGGCAAAGTGCGGCGATTTCAGGAAGGCAAAGAGCGACGAGTCCTTGACGCGCAGATGGCGCAAGTGCACGGTGCCCTGGAGAGGTGGACATGAGAGCGATTCGGGAGCCGCGATAGCATCGTTAGCGCTATTTAGCTCATCACGCGGATCACCACGCTTAGCTCCAAGTGGTACCTTGGGGAAATTAGAGAGCTCAAAGAATTCGCTGATGCTCGGGTAGTACTGCCAGGGACCACCCGACACGTAGTGGAATCGTGCACCGAACTCGGCTTCCCAGCCCTGTTGGTTGTCGCGACGATGGATGACGTGGCGTCAGCAATTAATTAAAGAATAAAAAGATAAAAAAGAGAAGGTCGTACTCGATAGAGCTGAGCCATGCCGGGGACGGCGCGGAGCTGCTTGAGGAATGAGTACAAGACAAGCTTGCGCTTGTCGCACACCATGCTGATGCGAATGGTGTCATCTACACACACACACACACGACACACGACACACACCACAGAGGAGCCGCGTAACCGATTGATAATGCGTGAGCAATGCCAGGCGCACAGGTGCCCACGGGTGTGTCAGCAGCAGGAGGGGTTCGCCGACGTACCAATGTCGGAGATCACCGAAACGCCGACGTCTTCGAGGAGAAGCGCCTCGCCCTTGAACACTGTCTGCTGCTCGTCCTCGAGCACCGACGAGAAGCGGACCCAGCGTGCGTTCGGATAGTGCGAGGAACTGTGTGTCGGGTGCGCACACGCCACGGTTAGCTTTTGGTTGCGCTGCGCTGCTGCAGACACGAGGGACAGTGACGATGGGGGGGGGGGTGATGATGGTTGGTCCTTACGGCTGCTGGTAGCTGATGAGCGAGGCCTGCTTGCGCGGAATGACAAGCTCCTCCTCGAAGTGCCCATTGCGCGATGAAAGAGTCGACAGCGTGTGCACTCCTGGAAATCGCAAGCCCCGAACGACGGTCAGGTAAGACCTCCGCGCGCGCATCGCCACAAGACACGACACGACGCACGAGCATGTGCGTACCAGGGTTGTCGGACGAAGACATGAACTGGACGGACACGCGCTTGCCGCGGCGGTTGTCGACGATGAACGCGCTCAGACGGCTCTCGACCATGAGCGTCTCCGCAGCGTTGCCCGCGGCCGGCATCGTCCGCTTGAGCCCCGCAATGATAGCCTGCAATGATGACGATGATGGTGGTGATAGCGTAGAGGCGTGAGTCCTGTGGCCTACGCAATTTGTAGCGTACGGACGGCGAGGAGAAGGCGTACGCGGCGCAGGTTGGTGTCGCGCTTGGGGTGGTAGAGCCAGCCGTGGACGGTGACTGCGATAGCCTCGCCACGATTGACCAGCCGCGCGATGGTCGGGAAGAAGGTGATCACCTCATCCCTTCGCTGCTTCGTCTCCCACGGGTCTAATGGACCAATTTAATGGATCCATTGATGGATTTGCAAATGCATTTGCAATAAATCAGCGAAAAATGGAATGGCAACGTACGAAGGGGGGTTGCACCGTACCAATGTATTCGACCCAGTAGAGCATGACGAGGGCGGCATACCAGCAGAAGTAGATGTCCATCCACGAGAGCACGAAGCCGGCAAGGCCAAACACCACGTAGAACACCAGCCCGATGCTCCCATAAATCAATCCAACCACCAGGCCAACCACATAGAACACAAATCCGAAGAGGGCGCCTATCATCTTCGCCCTTGCAGCGCTGCCACGCTCTTTGTTCTGATCTCAAGAAGCCTGAACCTCTTCTTGGTTGTCTTGCTTATTCCAGCCACGTCAGCACCACGTCAGCAAGGGGCTTGTCGTTGTTGGTGGCAAGTGGCCTCAACTTGGCGTAATGATCATCATCTCTTCTCCTGCACCTTGACTTCAAGGTAGAGGTGAACTTTTCGCTTACACAACTTCTCCAGCTCCTGCTGCACGCCCATGGAGATGCACTTGATGGTGCGGCCGCCCTCGCCCACCAGGATTTTCTGGGATCGACCACACACGCACGCCAATGAGCTGACGTCACGCACAACACGACACGCACACGACACACACGACACACACGACACACACACGACACACGAAGAGAGGATGGAGGGTACATACCTTGATGCGAACATTGGGGACTAGGATGTTTTGGTGGATGATGTAGCCACCGTCCTTCTTTGACGTGTACCAGGCCAGGTTCTCCTGCCACACCCGGTAGGGCACGTCGCTGTTGGTGCGCTGGAAGATCTTCTCCCGGATGACCTCCTCGGTCTGCTCGAGCAGGCTCTGGTCGGTCGTCTGGTGTGTGTGTGTGTGTGTGTGTTCGGCCGCAATGCAATCGTTAACACAGCCTTGCAAGCGCTCAGCAAAAGCCAAGCCCCGCACACAGGACAACACTCGCGCGCGCGCTATGCGTACCCAGTCAGTCGGGTAAGGCAGGTCGCCGGGAGCAGCCTTCGAGATGAGATAGTTCTGATTGGGACGGGAATCGTGTTGTGAGTCGCAAGGCCACAACACTACCAGCCGCTAGGTGAGGAATTAATTAATACCTTGAGCTCGTCGAGACCGCTTCCCTTGAGCGCCGAGACGAAGAAGATCTCATTGAAGATGTTGTCCCGATTGTACTCGTCCACCTTAGGCAACACGCGCTCTCTCGGCTCCACCAGGTCCATCTGCGAAGATAACCATAGTTCGTCAGCTAAAAGCCTCCGACGGATTCGTGTGTCGTGTGCCGTGTGCCGTGTGCCGTGTGCCGTGTGCCGTGTGCCGTGTGCCGTGTGCCGTGTAGCCGTACCTTGTTGAGAATAAGAAGGATCTCGCTTGCGTTAATGTGCGATCGATCCCTTGTCAACCGATTGACTATGCTGAGCGTCATATCATCGATCTTCCTGGCGGCGTCAACCACCACCGCCACTACAACCACCAACCATAGTTCATATCAGGAGGAGAATAAAACCGGTGTGTTGTGTGTCGTGTGTGTGTCGTGTGTGTGTCGTGTGTGTGTGTGTGTGTGTGTGCGTGTGTGTGTGTGTGTGTGAAGCTGTACCAACGTCGGCTTCTTGCATGGATTCCCACCCAGTGACTGCCACCTCTCGGCCATAGCTGAAACACAATAACGCGGCACATTGGAGGTGAGAAAACAAATAATTGTTACCTAAGCGATTGAGTCATGTACTCACCTCTTCTGCAGACGCGGCGGCACCACGCCCGGCGTGTCTGACAGGACCTACAGGCAGCACCACCACACACCACCACCAATCAGCGAACCAACCAAGCGGGCGGCAAAGGTGTGCAGCCAAAGAATCGCGAGGCCAAGCAAGGAGAGAAACAAAGAGAGAAGAGGAGCGGACCACTTGTGTGTTGGTTGCTTTGTCCTGGAGAATGCCGATCACCTGCTCCCGCGTCGTCTGCGCCTTCGGACTCACTGCCGACACCTGTTGCAGGCGCCGCGGCAGGCAGAGATCCACCACGCTATCAGCCACCGCACACACCGCACGACACGCAACGCGACGGGATGCCCAGGACGTACGCGGGACTGAAGGAGCGCGTTGGCGAGACTGGACTTGCCGGCATTGGGCGCGCCCAGGAGGGTCACCTCGAGCACCCGCCCGGCGCTGCTTTCGCTCTCGAGCGCGCTCGGCAGGTTGCTGTCCATCGCGATGCCCATCACCTCGGGCGGCGGATCGGATCGCAGATGTCGGAGCGGAATGACGCCCCTCATCCTCTTGGCCTTGGCCTTGGCCTTGGCTTCTTCTTCCTCCTTCGCTGCTGTTCCGGTTGCCGTCGATGCTTCTTGCCCTGTCGATGAATCTTTATCTTTTTTGTTCGCGTTCATTCGTCGGTATCGATCCATGATCGCGTAGCCTCGTCTGCTCGCAGTGGCGAAGGCTGGCGCCTGGGGCAGGAGGCACGTTGACGTGTGCATCACAGATGATCGGCCGATAATCTGTGATGCTGTGGCGCAAATCGTGGAGGCCCCAAATTTTGCGTGATTGGGTATGAGCGCAAGCTGGCGGCTGCAACCCCTCCGCGTGGCCATCGTTGGTGGTGCTATCCGCACACCGCAGAGGACAGTTACTACGCCGCAACCCCGTCGCGATCGCATCTCCATCTTGCTAATAATTAAATATGTTTTTGCTTTTGTGTTTTGTGTTTTGAGTTTCGTTTCGTAATCGTTTTGTTTTGTTCTGTTTTGTTTCGTTTCGTTTCGGAAATGCACGCAAAAAGGGTGGTCTTACATTTTGGCTGGGGTGGGTTCCCTTGTGTTTGGAGGAATCAAGAGTGAGTGTGTGGTCAGGAGCCGCGAGGTTTGATGACGAGGGACTTGTCGTAGACGCCCTTCTCGTCCATCCAGCGCATGCGCCCGAGGCTGTTGGTGCTACCTCCGCCCTTCTTCCTCTCCGTCGGCTTCCGGTCGAGGAAGTAGCTCTGCACCTGCGGCAGCGGCTTGAACGGATACGTCGCGTTCTGGTACCGGTTGAGCTCCAGCATTACCTTGCCTGCGCCCGCCGCGTGTGCGTGTGCGTGTGCGTGTGCGGTGGTGCGTGTGCGAGAGAACACCGAGAGAGTAAGTAGACGAGCGGCAGGGGTCCCACGGGGGAGAAAAGTTCTATCGTACCAAGCATCATCATCTTGTTGAAGTTGACCATCCCGTCCCGTGTGTCGTCGTTTTCGTCGATGTAGGTCACCTGCGTGAGGTAGAATCCCATGAAGGGGATCACCGGTGGCGTACACAGCGACAGCGTCGTCTGTAAAGTTGTGTACACGCGTGTGAGCGGCCATTGCGCGAATGTGTGTGTGCGTGTGTGTGACTCGGCCCGCTCTTGAAGGGGCGTACCCGCATGTTGGCAAAATTTTCATCGGGGTTGAGCAGCTCGTAAAGGGTGTCGAGTGCCAGCTGCGCCTTGGGTCCGACCGACTGCGCTCAATCAAATCCATTTTAACAGGGAAAGCGTTGGGTGAGCTTTAGGCGCGAAAGCTTCCGGGTTGCGTGCGGGAAGGAAACACGCACCTCCCACTCGGCGGTGAGTCGTCGAATGGACGAGTTGTTGAGGGCCGACAGGAGCAGCATGATGCCGTTGTAGTTGTTCAATGCTCGCATTTCCTGCGAAACGAAACGAAAATGAAAACAACATCAGCTTTTGAGCTGAACCAATGCATTGACCGCAACGGCGCGCGCTGAAGAGGGGGGCGGGTGCATTGCATGTAAATTTACCTTGGCGGCGTTGACAAATTTGGAGATGGTCTTGGCGCGGTCCTTCACCTCCGCACCGGTCACGATCTGCGTCATCACCCACAAGCTCACCTGCATTGTACAAAGAAGGGTGGGGTCAGTCACCAGGAGACCTCATCTTTGGTGGTGGTGGGTGGGAGGGGGTTGTACCTCATTGAACCAGCGGATCATGGCCGAGAGGTTCCGTGCGTTCTCCTTGTGCTTCACCCAGTTTTGATGGAAATACTGTGGGCGGCACATGATGATTGGATGCGCAGCGTGTGGCCAGATTAGGTCCGAACGAGCATATTTTAGGTCCGAGCCTCAAGGGGGAAGTACCTCGCTGGGGCTGATGCGGGAGAAGGTCTTGAAATCGGCCAACGTCAGCTGCTGCGCCAATTCCTTGGCCGAGAGCTGATGATCATCGCAACGAGTCAGACCTCGACCAGTCGACCGCCGCGTCTGGTCGGCCGGTGGGTGCGGAGAGAGTGGTATGGGGTACCTCTTTGAGTACCGGGGCGGCGGTGCCCATTTCCTCTTCGGCCTCCTTGGCCTCCTCCTCGGGCTTGACCTCCGCTGCCACCGCTGCCGCCTTGGCCTCGGCCTCCTCCTCCGCCTTCAGGTCGCTCTCCAGATTCTCCACGTACGCTTTCTGCGCTCACCGCGACAAAAAAAAAAAACACATGAGACATACGGCCGCACGCACGACGCACGACACACGGCACATGGAACGAACCAGTTTGGCAGCGGCAGCGAAGAAGGGCGCAAAATCGATCTTGGAGGCGACTGTGGCACGGTCCTTGCTGCGCTTCTCCTTCTTCTCGGCGTCGCGCTGCTTCTTGAGCTCGTCGACCCAGTTCTCGAACTTGGTCGTGAGCTGCTTGTCGTTGGCGAACGTCAGCGGGAAGCGGTCGGCCCACTCCGTCATGATCTGGATCACCCTGTAATATCCGCACATATATCATGAGGATTTATATATTTGTATATTAAGAATATACAAAAGTATATATGTATATTAAGAAGAGACATAAAATATAAAATAGCTATAAATCAGTGGTGGCGCGTGCCTCACAGCGGGAGAGCGGTAGCCCTTGGTTTTGTTCTTCTCTTCGAGAGACGACGGGAGCGCGCCGGTCAGCACGTACCTGCCAGGCGCGACATGTCACGGGTCAACACCCAGACAACACTCGCGAAAGAAAGAAAAAAGGAGAGAAAGAGCAGAAAAGGACGCACGTTTGTCGGAGGTGGTCCAGCACGGTGACGGAGGGCACGAACAACGGGTGGACCAGCAGGAACACGTCAATGTAGAGGTCCCGATCGAAGCCTGACACGAGCAACCATTTGATGATGTCGACAGATTAGCACCGGGCCAAGAAACGAATATAACCAATAAATGCAATCATATCACGCGATCGTACCCGAGGGGTCTTCGTCGGCGCAGGTGAGGCGGTTGATCAAGCCCGGCACCGTGCCGAGAGCCACGATCCTGGTCGCGTACGCAAAATCCACCAAAGAATGTCAGGAATTCAATATGTGGGTTTATGTATATATGTATATACACAAAAATGCATATTCATTACTGGCAAACATGTTCGGGCCGGAGGGTTGTCGTACCTATTACCGGTGGCGGGGTCGGGTTCGGAGAATTGCACGTGCACGGCGTCGGGAGCCACGGTGGGTGTGCTGGGCGAGGGCGGCGGCCGGCGTCGCGGACTCTTGAGGAGCTCCGCGGCCGACACGGTAGGCACCTCGCCCGAGGCATCGCCAGCTGCCGCGGCCGGCGACGCAGAGCCAGCAGCTACGGCAATGGGCAGCACGGGGACGGCCTTGCCCCGGAGCGACCCTGGCCCGCCGTCGCCGGAGGTACTCTTGTCGCCCTTGGGCCTGGCGCGGTCCTTGTCGCTGTCGGCGCGCTCGCGGGAGGCGGGTTTAGCTCCGGCGCCGGCGGAGCCATCGGCGGGGCCGCCGTGGCGCACCATCTGCTGTAGAATCGAGTCGAACATGGCCATGGTCTTGGGGTTCACCTTCTTGGGCTCGGCGCCAAGCATCTCCTCGACCGTGCTCTGCCTCCGGTGCTGCAGATCGTTGCATTCAGTACATTCCACACATACCAGCGCACACGACACTAAGCACACGGTACCATGGAGGACTGTGGCGCCTGCTGCAAAAATTGAGCCTTTTCCAGGACTTTGCCGCGAGGCATATCGGAGGAGGCCTTGTCCGCGGCCGCGGCCGCTTCGGAATCCTTCGGGGTAAGCAGGAACTGGGCCTTCTCGAGCACGTTGCCGCGAGGAATGTCGACAGCCGGCGCCTTGCATTCCTTGTCCGCCTCGGTGGGCGACTGCTGCAGGAACTTGGCCCGCTCCAGCACATTGCCTCCGCCGCCGGCGGGTCGCGGGCTCAGCGACCTACGATCGGCCGCCACCGCCGCAGCTTCCTCCTCGCTCGGCTGCTGCAGGAACTTGGCCCGCTCCAGCACGTTGCGCTTGGGCACACTCTCCTCACGCGGCGACGTCCTTTAGTGTGTGCGTGTGTGCGTGTGTGCGTGTGCGGTTAGAAACGGAGGTGCACATGCGCGTGAGTGCGAGTGAATGTGAGTACTTTGCGGGCGCGGGGGCCTGCAGGGCCTGAGCTAGCGCCGACACGGAGCGGACTGGGAGCGGCTGGGGCGGCGCGCCGCTGCTGCGGGGCGATAGCGAGTGCGCGCTGCTGCTCCCGGCGCTCAGCGGTCGCCCGGACCCGTTCGCGCTCCCAGCCGAGGCCATGGGCAGCGCCCCCGACGACGCCGAGCGCGTGGGGTTGATCGGCAGCGGCAGCTGGCCGGTCGACTCCATCTTGGCCACGCCCTGCTTCATCGTGTCGAAGAAGGCCTGCGTCCCCGTGCGCTTCCGTCCGCTGCCGCCGCTGCTCTCCGCCTCGGCCTCAGTCTCGGCCTCGGCCTCTGTCGTCTTGGTATCATTCCCGTCGTCGCCCTTCTTCGGCTCGGCCTCGGTCGGGTCTTGGCTCTCGCTGGGCGTCGCCTGCGGCTGGTCATCGCCCTCATCGGCGCCCTTCGGGTCCTCCACCTGCGGCTGCGCGCCATCGCTCTCGCCCGCCGACGCGTCGCTGTCATCGTCGTCGGCCGATCCGGCGGTGGTCGCGGCATCGGCCGGCGGCGTGTCGACGACGATGACGACGTCGGGCACAGCGGGGCTCGGCTCGACCTCCGCCGGCTCCTCCTGTCCGCCACTGTTCCCGGACTCAGCGCTGGCCACGTTCGACCCCGACTCCGCCTGCGTCGCGTCCTTGACATCGGCTTCCTGTTTTACATCTTCTCCCTCCTCGCCTTCGTCTTCGCTCTTGGCCTCGCCGTCTTCTTTCTTTTTCGCTTCTGTCTCCTCCCCTTCGTCGCCGTTGCTGGCGCCGGCCTCGGGGACCACTCTTTCGGCAGTTCCCGTCTCCACCGTCGCTTTCTCTTCGCTTTCGCTCTTTTCTTCGCTCTTTGGCTGCTCGGCTTCCTTCGCTTCCGTGGCCTCGGAACCCGCTTGCTCCGTCTTCTCCTCCTTTTCCTCCTTCTCCTCCTTCTCTTCGTTCTTTTCCTCCGCGGCTGTCACCACCTCTTCCGTGATCGTCTTCTCCTCTACCTCCTCCACCTCCACCTTCTGCGCTCCATCCGCTTCCTTCGGCTCTTCGCTTTCCGTCGCCGCCTCGACCTTCTCTTCAACCTTCACCACCTCAGCCGCCGCCGGCTCGGGTGTCGGCTCAGGCTCGGGTTCAGGCTCGGGCTTGGGCTTGGGCACGCTCATACCAAACTCCTCGAGGAACAGCGTCGCCACGCGCTTGGGCTTCGCCGCTTCGGCCGCTTCGGCCTGACGGGCCTTCTCCTTCTCCAGTTCAGCCGCCGCCTTCTGGGCCGAGGCCGGGGCTGACGCCGAGGCCGAGTCGTCGACCGACCCGCGCGGGGTGAGGGCGATCCGCGCACGCCGCGACCCGCTGTCGCTCAACGACGACGACGACGACGACCCGATGTAGGAGCCTGAGCGCGACTTGGACTTTTTCTTCTCCTTCTTCTCCCCCTTTTTGTCCTTCTTCTCCTTCTTGCCCTCCTTGTCCTTGTCCTTCTTCTCTTTCTTGTCTTTCTCCTTCTTCTCCTTTTTGTCTTTCTTCTCCTTCTTGATGTCGCTACCTCGTCGCGAGCCATGAGGCGAAGATGAAGATGATGAGGGGGCGGCGTGGGAGGCAAACGAACCTAGCGACAACAAAGGAGATGATGAAGCTCCCGCGCCTGAGAAGGAGACCACGCTCGCCTTGCGGTCCTTCTTGCGGGCGCTCACCGTCGACGAGTCGTACTTGCCATCCTTGCTACTCTGTTTTTTGTCGACTGGGGTCGAAGCCGTGTCCTTGTCGGCGCCCGAGCCGCTGCGGCTCTTGCTGACGGAGGCGGAGGAGAGGTCGAGCAGGCTGCGGCTGCGGTACTTGCTGCGCTTCTCGTCGGACGAAGATCGCTTGCTGGACGACTTCTTTTCCTTCTTTTCATCTTTTTGATCCTTATCCTTATCTTTAGTACTCGATTTTCGCTTGGAGGCGGCCGCGAGCAACTGGTCGTCATCGAGAAGGCTGACCGCCCTCTTGGGCGGCTTGTCTGTCATTTTTTTAATCTACTTTTCCCCCCCTTCTCTCTTTCGTTCTTCTTGTCGCTTTTCGTTCTTCTTCACCCCAGCGACCAAGACCACGAACTGATACAAAATAATGATAAAAATTAAAACACAAATAAATATGTAATTTATAATTTAGCGTTGCCTCGACAGGTTCAGTCGGGTCCAAAAATTTGCTGTAAATCACAATGAGAATCTGCCAACGTGACCATCCATCAATAAAATTGACCGTCTCACAAAGAAGAGAGGAAGAGCGCAAATCTTATCCTCTAACAAGGTTACAATAAATAAAAACAAGGAAAATTACTTAGGCTCCACAAAGCAGCCAACGTTGGGTGCGATTTCATCATCCACGCGCGTGTGAGCAGTTCAAGCTGGAGGATATGCAGAAGGCGGCCCAACGCCACATCGAGAAGAACATCAAGCTGGTGGAGCGCCTCTGTGAGCACCTCGTGGCTGGCCGCTACGAGGAGGACTGAGACCCCAACAACCAATCACCTCCACGAGATTACAGTTTTACTCAGCATGCGATGCATTTGGCAGTGATAAATTGGTCACAAGAACACATCAAGATCCTCGGCCGCGTTGCTCAACGCACAGGTCTTCTCGTCCCAGGGACAGCCGTTGGCCTGCGCCCACTGGAGCACCTCAAGATGGCCTCGCGAGGCCGCCAACGCACAGATATGCTTGTCCCATGGGCAGCCGTTGGCGCGAGCCCACTGGAGCACCTCGAGATGGCCTCCCATGGCCGCCACCCTGCACGTCGACTGGTCCCATGCAGGACAGCCATTGGCGTGCGCCCACTGGAGCACCTCGAGATGGCCGCCCTGGGCCGCCAAATAGCATGTCCACTCGGACCAGGGACAGCCGTTGGTGCGCGCCCACTGGAGCACCTCGAGATGGCCTTCCTTAGACGCATTCGCACAAGTCCACTCGTCCCAGGGACAGCCGTTGGTGCGCGCCCACTGGAGCACCGCAAGATGGCCTTGCTCCGCCGCATGAGCACATGTCTGCTTTATCACTGATCGGGGGGGCAGGGGAGGGCTGGCGCGCATCCAGGTGGTGCACACGAAGCGGCAGGCCACGCGACTGACCAGGTCAACTTGGCTGAGCACCAGTCCCACAAGCTCGGGCGTGAGTTCCTCCATCCTCCTCGACTTCTTCTCCTCCGGCAACTTCTTCTGCAGGCTTCAACCCAAACTCCTTAGTGTGCTTCTTGTTCGGCAGTTAATTTTGCTAAATTACTAAGAAGCCTGCCCCGTCGGCACGCTTGCTCTTATGAATGCTAGTCTTAGTCTTCCGCCGTATTTTTACTTGCCAACACCGCGACCACCTTCGACGAAGCGACGTCGGCTGGCGAAGGAGGAGAAGAAGATGATGAAGATGAAGAAGAAGCGAAAGGAAACGTCAAGCGGAGGGCCGAGACGATGGGCAGCCCGAGCGGGCGCAGGGCGAAGAAGAGCAGCACCACCAGCATCACGAGATTGAGCACCAGCACCAGCGACACCAGCAAGTAGGCGTAACTGCAACATTACAACACAGTTGTACCGCACGCACACAAGACACACATGTGAGGCCTGATCATCATCACCAAAGGAAAAGAATGTTGTGGAGATGGGTACTCGTCGGCCACGGTGAGAATGTTGTCAAAGTCGTTCCACTCGACGACCAGCGGCCGGTCGTCGTGGGTGCTGAGCGAGTTGAGCTGGTTGAAGGCCTTCCACAGGGTCTGCGTGGCGAAGGTGAACGCCACCGTCCCGATGGCGGCCTCTTCGAGCAGGTTGTCGGTGGCCGAGGCGAAGGGCACCAGGCAGTGCTGGAGGGTGAGCGCGACCAGCAGCACGAGCATGATGGCGGCCGGCCGCACGGGGTTGGTCGACGCGACGAGCGACAGCAGGGCGGGGAGGGCCAGGCGCCGCGCGGTGAGGGCCAGCTCGAACCAGCGCATGGTCGGGCGGTAGCAGGCTAACAGGCCGCCCAGGCAGTAGCGCGTGCGGGGCTCGTCCAGGCGTCGGCGCTGGAAGAAGAGCACGGCCGTGAACAGCAGCGGAATCCCAAACACGTAGATCACGATCGACGCCACGCTCAGCTTCTGCAGCGCGCCCCAGTCCGTGTCCCTGCGCGACATGGTGAGCGAGTGCAGTGTGTCTTGGCGTGTGCGTGGCGTGCGAGTTGTGTGTGTGGCGTACGAGGAGCAGCGGAGCCAGGGGAGGGAGGCCATGAAGCTGGAGTTGGAGTCGGCGTGGGGCTCGTCGACGCAGTCGAACACGCCCAGCGAGCGGTTGGTCAGCTCGAACAGTAGGAACCAGACGACCCACAGCCACGCGTAGACCCCGCCGTACCACGGCCGCCCAACCGGCTTGGCCCCGCTGCGGCTTGCCAGCAGCACCTCCTCTCCCCTTAGTCGAGGCGTGAGCTCCACCACGTAGCTCCGGCCTACGCTGTCATCATCGTCGTCGTCTTGCCGACCACCCTTTGCGACAGGGTGGGCGTCATTGTCGACACCCGCTGGCGGCGTGCCGAGGCCGAGCCGGCCGCGGCGCCAGAGATAGGCCATGCGGGCGAGCACGATGAAGCCGATCAGGGCGGTGGCGAGGGGTATGATGAGGAAGAAGGTGGCCAGGTTCCACACGGGGTCGCTCATCCAGTTGAGCAGGCACTCGATGCCGGTGCCGTCGGTGCTGGCGTTGAAGAGGTCGAGGTAGCGCATGCCGCGGCTCAGCACCCACTCGGGCCAGGTGGTGTTGAGCATGGCCGTGGTCTGGGCGAAGACGAGGAAGATCTTGAGCGCGCCGCCGTCGCCCACCTCTCGCGCGGACTTGCGGAGCCGGGCCAGCAGCGCGCGGTCGCGCCACACGTGCGCGGCCACCAGCAGCGCCACGGCGCCCACGACGAACACGCACAAGCCGATGGTAATGCCCACGATCGCCGCCTCGGAACACTGGATGCATCGGCTCCCGCTGCGAAAGAAGCAATCAGAAGACGAGGCGCACATGCAGTGCGAGCACAGCCGGCCTGTGGTTTTTAAATGTACAGGAATTCGAGTCAGCTGAATGAATGGAATGTGGAGCTCGCGGGCTTGGAGGAGTGGGGGTACCTTCGGTGCCGGGCGAACACATGACGCAGGAGGAGTTGATGCCTTGGCCGTATTCGGCCGAGCAGGAGCGCTTTGGGTTGCACGCGCTGTCCTGCCCATTGCTCCCGTAGTCGGTGCAGGGCATCGCCCCCGTCACTTGAGCTGCAGCCGCGCGCGGCACATATCATACAACACACAGCACGCAACACAGCAAAGTGAGTGAAGCAAGCTCGGATCAATGCTGAATGGATGGAAGCGGTCAGTGACGAACAGTGGTTGTTGAGGATGGGATAGAAGCCACGTTTCCAGGAGAGGGTTCGGCCCATCGTGCACGCGCAGTTGACCGGGCAGAGGCCGCAATCATGCGGCGGAGCGCCGTAGTAGCCGTCGGCGCACCTGCAGTACTGATAACCGTAGAACTCGGGCGACGTGCTTATCTGCAACCACATTGGGAGAAGAATAATAATAATCTTAAGTCCGAGCACAGCGTTTTTATGTCCGAGCGGGGTGGGGTGGCGTACCCGAAAGTAGTACGGCGGGTAGGCGGCGGCCGACGGGCAATAGTAGACGCGCCGGTCGCTGACGTCCAGGCCGCTCTGATCGAACCCGAACCAGTGCAGTGTGGAGTTTGGGTCGAGTCGCATTTGCAGGTTGCCTGTGGTCGGACAAGAATGCGTGTTGGGTCGGAAAGGGAGTCACGGCACAACGAATGAAGAAACAAACCTTTGACGGAGATGTAGGCCAGAGAGGTAGCAGAGGCGATCAGGTCGTCGCCGATCGTGCCGCTTAGTTTTGCGTTGTCGCTTACGTCGAGCACGGTGAGCGGCGAGATAAACTGGTTTGAAACCAACTTGACTCGTGAGTGATCATGCTCAGTCCGACACACGACACACGACGCACGACGCACGACGCACGACACACGACACACGACACACGACACACGACACGCACGTGGGAACTACCTGGGGAAACTTTGGAATCTCTCCGTCGAAGTTGTTGGCATCGAGCAGGAGCACTTGCAGTGAGGGATGTCTCACGAGTGCCTGCGGGATCGTTCCATTTAATTGATTGTACGACAGCACAAGCTGAGTGAGGCTCGGCAAGCTGGCCAGCGATTGCGGAATTGGGCCTGGGAACGTTGATGCATCATCTCGACAGTCAGAACGCAACCCAATACCACACCGCGCGACCAGCAACACGACACACGACACACGACACACGACACACGACACACGACACACGACACACACGACAAATGAGGGCTGACCTGAGAAATTGTTACTCGCGAAGGTGAGTCCGACGGCGAGCATGGTAGGGTTGGTTAGATTCCACTTGCTCGGGAGTGGCCCAGAGAAGTGATTCTTCGAAACGTCCTGTGCGTGTGTGTGTGTGTGTGTGTGTGTGTTGGCACCGCACACAATGCCGTGCGTCAGTTTTGTGTTTACCGGTAAGAAGGCGCCGGGTGCAGGTGAACAGAGGGTGGGATGGAGTACCAAGGCCAGCAGCTGCGAGTTGGAGAAGATCTCCGGCAGGCTACCGGAGAAGTAATTGCTGGAGAGCTGGAGGAATTCCAGGTTGGAAAGACAGCCGAGCGAGGCGGGCACGGACGATGTGAGGTCGTTGGACCCGAGAAAGAGCCCTTGCAACGCGCCAAGGTTGCCTGTGACATATTTATAATATTTATTGTATTAATAAATACAAAAATCAATATAAAAAAACAAAAATGATAAACAAAAAAAAAGAGAGAAGACAAATAATGTGAGCGAGTACCGTAGTAGTCGGGCAAAGGGCCATAGAACAGGTTTTGTTGCAGGCTCAGGTATTGCAGGCGCGGAAAGGCCATCTCCAAGCCGAAGGCGGGCAGGGTACCATCGAGATAGTTGTCATCGAGGACGAGCGTGGTGAGCGTGCAAAAGCGGCTCCACGACGCTGGGATCGAGCCCAAGAGGCCGACAGACGGCAGGTTGAGCGTCACCCATACGGCTTGGCTGTCGACGAAGCACGTGACGCCGACCCACTCACAAAAGACGGTACCTACGCACAGCGCTGCCGGTAAGAACGGGAGGAGGCGCGGTGACGCACCGCATGTACTCCTCGAAGGGAGGGGACATGGTGCGTACCGTTCGCCAGCCAGCATGTGTGAAGATCGCATGGCACCTTCCAGTGGGGACCGTGGGTCGCGTGGTAGAACTCCTCCAAAAGCTTACCCGTTTCGTCCCCTGTGCGCAACCCGCCACACAAGGCGACAATCAGCACTCGGCCGACAGGGACCCAAAAAGAACGAAAGCGAAGACAAAAATGAAATAAAAAGAATGAAGAAAAAAACAAGGCCGAAACAGGGGGCGTACAGCTTGGGGGCTGGCAGGGTGGAGGTTCTGGAGGACAACTGGTTGTGGGTGAAGAGAGGGGGAAAGAGGGAGGATGTGCAGGGAGGCGGCTCCGGAGATGAGGCGAGGAGTTTGGAGAGAGCAAGGCGTTGATCGCGTTTGTAAGCCCGAAAAGGATTAAAAGATGAAGAAGTGGAACGAATCGACCCTGCATCGATGCCGTCCCGCAGGGTGCATGTACGCAGGTGGGAGTTATTCTTGCCGGTTTTTTCGGTTTTTTCGTTGATGCATATTTTCTTTCACCTTTTCTTCTTTGTTTTTAAGCCCAAAACCGCCAGATTTGTTTTGCCCTCCAAAACCGGAATTGGCGGGACGGCATTGCCTTCGTCATGATCACCAGCGTATCCCTCCGTATCGCCCGGTCGTCTCGGCATTCACCGTTGCATTCAATCGAAAGGAATTGATTGACGTAGGGGGCAAATGTATGCGGCACGACGAACGCTTGGGGGCAATGCCGCGGCTGCGGCGGTGACGTGCTACGGGGCGACGTCGTCCCGTTCGGTGCTGCTTATGCTGGAGCGCAGGGCTGCCACTACTGGCAGATTCGCGGTTCCCCTCTCATCGCGTGCGGCCTACTCGTCCCGCCCTGGCCTCGGTTCGCCTCTGCCTCATCCTCTCCATTTGAATTTATTTTACAAATAATTGAACTTTAATGGCCCTCTTGGCTCACCATCTGCTCAGGCAAGGATGGCAGGATGTTCGACAAGGTGCTCATCGCCAACAGAGGTGAGATCGCATGCCGTGTGATGCGGTACAGTGCCTCCATTTGATTTAAATTGATCTACATTCGCTCAATTTTTCCATAATTAATCAAATTCCATTTGTGGGCAACAGGACGTGCAAGCGTCTGGGCGTGAAGACGGTGGCGGTCTACAGTGAGGCCGACGCCAAGTCCATGCACGTGGCCATGGCCGACGAGGCGTACCTCATCGGCCCTCCTCCCGCCAAGGAGTCCTACCTCAAGGGCGACTACATCATCGAAGTCGCCAAGAAGGCTGGCGCTCAGGTGCGGTGTCATCGCATGCGCACAGCACCGCACACGCACAGCACCGCACACGCACAGCACCGCACACGCACAGCACAGCACCGCACGCACACTCATCATCGCACACGTCCGGTCTAACGTTATCGCCGGTTCGTGCGTCTTCAGGCCATTCATCCTGGCTACGGTTTCCTGTCGGAGAACTCGCGATTCGCCAACCTCGTGGAGCAGAGCGGACTTGTGTTCATCGGCCCTCCCGCGTCGGCCATCAACTCCATGGGCTCCAAGAGGTACACGCACACGCACACGCACACGCACACACACACACACGACACACACGCACACACACACACACACAAGCACTTGAAAGTGTCGGCTCTCGCTGATCATGCTCTCGATGATGACGCCACACAGTGAGTCAAAGAAGATCATGAGCAACGCCGCCGTGCCGATCATTCCCGGCTACCACGGAGAGAAGCAGGACGTGGACTACCTGATGGCCGAGGCCGAGAAGATCCAGTACCCCGTGCTCATCAAGGCCGTCATGGGTGGCGGCGGCAAGGTTCTCTCTCTCCACTCGCACACGCACTCGCACTCGCACACGCACACGCACCACCGCACACGCACCACCGCACACTCTGCAGGCGCAGACGATCGTGTGATACTAACACTCGTTCGGTCGTGCAGGGTATGCGCATTGTGGAGACCAAGGAAGACTTCGTGGAGGCTTTGCTTTCGGCCAAGCGCGAGGCCATGTCCTCCTTCGGCGATGAGAACGTTCTCGTGGAGAAATACATCACCAAGTACGTCGCACCACCGCAGCTATGCAGCACCGCACACGCTACACCGCACACACACGTTCGTCTGGCTTACGCTTGTTCTTGGGTGGCTTGTCACTCGGTAGGCCCCGCCACATCGAGTTCCAGGTGTTCGCGGACAAGTACGGCAATGTTGTCCATCTGTTCGAGCGCGACTGCTCCGTCCAGCGCCGACACCAGAAGATCATCGAGGAGGCCCCCGCCGTACGTCTCCACCCCTAATAAATAATTACATAAATAATAAAATAGTTATTGTTAATACATAATTAATAAATAATACTAATAATAATAATACGCTCTGGTGGTGTCACAACAGCCCGGCATGACCGAGGAGCTGCGAGCGCGCATGGGCGAGGCCGCCGTCAACGCCGCCAAGGCCGTGGGCTACGTCGGCGCGGGTACCGTGGAGTTCATCATGGACTCGACCACCAAGGGCTTCTACTTCATGGAGATGAACACGCGCCTCCAGGTCGAGCACCCCATCTCGGAGATGATCACCGGGCAGGACCTCGTCGAGTGGCAGCTCAAGGTCGCCTCGGGCCAGCATCTGCCGCTCACCCAGGACCAGCTCAAGATCAACGGTCACGCCTTCGAGGCCCGCATCTACGCCGAGAATCCCCGAAAGTACGCCGCCACCGCCACACCACCCTGTGCGTGCCCAGGCTAAACACGACACACACACACACACACGGTACACAGGGGGATTCCTTCCGGGTACGGGTAAGCTGGTCCACCTTTCCACGCCCGAGCCGTCCTCCCAAGTGCGCATTGAGACTGGTGTGCGCCAGGGCGACCAGGTACCGCCTTATCATCATCATCTTCTTCTTCGTCGTCTTCGTCGTCTTCGTCTTCCTTGCATGACACTTGTAGTGCTCTCTGCGTGGTGTTGTTTTCAATGGCAATTAATTTATAATTGTGTCGTGCGCGCGCGACGAAGGTGAGCATCTTCTACGATCCCATGATCGCCAAGCTGGTGGTGTGGGACACCGACCGTACCTCCGCGCTCAGGCGCCTCAACGCCAGCCTCGGCCACTACCAGGTACCCGTCGCCTTCCCGCCACATAAGAAAAGAATGAAAAGAAAGAAAGAGAGAAAAAGAAAAAGAAACAAATGTGTACTGAGGCTCGTGTCGTGTGTCCAGGTGGTGGGCCTGAACACCAACATCGAGTTCCTGGGCAAGCTGGCGACCCACCCCTCGTTCATCGAGGGCGACGTGGAGACTGGCTTCATCGAGGTACCGATGGCTTATTTTCTTTAACTTTTTCGGTTGCCAATCTGACACACGACACACGACACACGACACACGACACACGACACACGACACACGACACACGACACACGACACACGACACACGACACACGACACATACACTTGCTGCCTAGCATCACCGCAACGAGCTGTTCCCGGCCATCTCCGCCCCGTCGGAGAAGGTGCTCGCGCTGGCGGCCCTCTCTGTGCTCAGCGAGGAGCGCGCCGCTAACCTGAAGGAGGCCGAACGCAACTCAGCCGACGCACACGGTACGCGCGCGCCTCGTCCCTCCCGCTGAACGCTGGTGTTCGCACTCGCAGCTCGCACCTCACCGCACACGCACACACACGCACCACCGCACACGCACACACGCACAGGCGCGTGGTCTCTGCCCGGCTGGCGATTGAACGAGGAGCAGACGCGCGAGCTCAGGTTCGTCGCGCAGGTGGGCGAGGAGGAGTCGGCCGAGTTTGCCGTGCTGGCCACCTACCGCCCCGACAACACCGTCAGCATGAAGTGCAAGAAGGTCGTCGCCCAGGAGAAGGGCAAGAAGGCCCACCACCACGAGGTACCTGCAGCACACGACACGACACGACACGACACGACACGACACGACACGACACGACACGACACGACACGACACGACACGACACTCACTCGAAGCACAACAGGAGGACTCGGCGGAGTTCACCGTGACGGGCCAGGTGGGACCCACCGGCGAGATCAAGGCCAGCGTCGGTGATGAGACCATCACCGGTACAGCCCCCCCTCCACATTTCCACCATTTACCACCGCACACGCACGACCGCACACACTCACACTCACACCGCACACACACGCACAACAGACGGCCGAGTGGTGAGGCACAAGAACACCCTGAACGTGTTCCTCAAGGGAGTGCACCACGAGGTCAACCTGGCGCTGCCCAAGTTCCTGTCGGCGGGCACCGAGGGCCGCAAGGGTGGCCTCACGTCGCCCATGCCCGGCAAGATCGTCAAGCTCTTCGTCCAGCCCGGCGAGGAGGTCAAGAAGGGCCAGCCCCTCATCGTCATGGAGGCCATGAAGATGGAGGTACACACCCCGCACACACACACACACACACAATCGCACACGCTCACCGCACGGACGATCGCACACACACAGCACACGATCCGCAGCCCGGCGGACGGCAAGGTCAAGAGCGTCGGCGTGTCGGTGGACCAGTTCGTCGAGCAGAACGTGGCTCTTGTTCAGGTTGAGTGAGCGTCGAACGAACGAGAAGAGAGAAATTATACATCATCATCATCTCATCATACACCAACCAACCAACCAACTTCCATTTTACACGCAAGTCCGGCTTGGCAAGGTTGTGGCGCGGTTCAGTGGGTCCGCTGCTGCTGGGCGAACTTTCTCGCCTTGCGCTTCTGCCTCCGGTTGCGATTGGCCTCCCCTTGTCTGTGTGTCGTGTGTCGTGTCGTGTGTGTCATGCGTGGGTGGCGTTGGGTGAGTTGCGTCAGCCACACAAGCGTGTGCGTGCCCAAAGAGCTACACACAGTACCATGGCGCTGTCGGTCGATGTCGGCCACGGCGGCAGTCGTGGTCGTCGGCGTCGCCGTGTCTCGCGCTTGGAGGGTCGCCCACAGCCCCCGCAGTCTCTTCATCGTGTCCCTCTCCTCAGGCACCTCCACCCCCGCTACGCACCGCACGCACCGCACACACGCACCAGTGCACCACCGCACACACCGCACACGCGTCAGTGCGAGACACCAAACGGCGATAGATGCGAGGGAATGGGCTACCATGTGTGCGCAGGAGGTCGATGAGGGTCGCGGTGTTGACGACGACGCAGCTCTCCGGGGTCCACTGGGCGACGTCGAAGGCCGCGGGGTAGTTGGCGCCGGCCTGGGCCAGCGCGCGGAAGGCGCCGGCTGCAACCAGTGCGGGGCCGTGGCCGCGGTTTTCGAGCAGGGTGAGTACCAGCAGGGCCGGCTCGACAACCGTGATCTGCCGCGGGTGGTCCCGCATGGCCCGCAACAGCGCCGCCATCCTCTCGGGCGCCAGCCACTTCTCCAGCCCCACCCCTGTCTCACGCACCGCACACGTCACCGCACACGTGAGGTTGTGTGTGTGTGTGTGTGGAAGGACGAGAACGGACCCGAGCCGAAACGCGAAGCGATTTCGAGTGCATGGCCTACGATGCCCACATCGCCGGGGTGCAGGCTGATGATCTCAGCCAGCAGTGGCTGCAGACCCGTATTGGCCAGCTGCACGTTACCGCGCCCTGCAACACACGACACACACGGCACACGCGACGCACACGACGCACACGACACACACGACACACACGACATGCGACACGCACGCGATGAGAGGAACGTTGTGTGCGAAAGGCTGATGATGTGTGTGGCGACGAACCCTTGGGAATGTGGTCCAGCATCAGGCGCAGCGTTTGGAGCACGGTCTGGGTGTGTTGCGGCAGCGTCCACAGCAGGTGGTAGAAGGCGGCCAGCCAGCGCGCGTCGGCCAGGAGCGTCACATACCCTAAGCACACGCACGCACGCAAGTCGCAACGTTACGACTCCTGTGTGTGTTGTGTGTGTGTGTGTGTGTGTGTGTGGTGTGCGTGTGTGTGTTGTGTGTTGTTGCGTGTGTGTGTGTGTGTGTACGGTCGTTGCGCGCTAGGTGCCGGAGGAGTTCGAGGACTTTGTTGAGCACGGCCAGGTGGAGGTGGTGCGGTCCGAGCAGCCCATAGAGCGCGTCCACAACCTCTGCCGCAACCGCGTCGTCGTCAAACGCCGAAGTCAAGTTTTTAAAGGGCAGCCCCGATTCCTACGCGAGACACAACTGTCACCTACCGGCACACAGCACACACACGACACACAACACACACGCATCGCACACACGACACGCACGACACACATAGAGAGATGAGGTACATTGACGTTGTAAGGGACGGCCCTCTTCTGCTGGGCTTGCCGGTGCTGCTTCGCTGTCTTGCGAGTCGCGAGCCGCTCCTCGACGGGAGGCGTCGGGGCACCCGGGGTGTGCCTCCACACCTGTGGCTCTTCCTCTGCAAGCCGCCCGCCGCCATCGGTCAGTCGTTTGGTTAAATATTCAACGAATGTTTGCATTGTGTAGATATTCTCGTGTGAGGGTACCGCGGCTGGCTTTGGCTTGGAGGAGGCGGAGGGTCTGGGTGACGATGCCCTGGTTGTGCTTGTGTCGGCGGAGTGCATCGATCAAGCCCGCAACCGGGACGAGGTGGCTCTCCACGAAGGCATTCGGGCGGACATCTGGACAAGACACGACCAACGACACACGACACGACACGGCATGACACGACACGACACGACACGACACGACACGACACGACACGACACGACACGACACGACACGACACGACACGACACGACACGACACGACACGACACACGGCATGACACACAGTATGACAAAGCACGGCACGCATCAGAGACCAAGTAGCCAGGCCTGGCCGTCGAAGCGCAGTCGGGCGTACCCAAAAGGTGGTCCAGGTGCTTCCTCTTGACTGCCGACCCTTCGATACACAAATTCGTCAACTTCGGATTCTTTTCTGTACCGTGTGTGTGTGTCGTGTGTGTGTGTGTGTGTGTGTGTGTCGTGTGTGTGTGTGTGTGTGTGTGTGTGTGTGTGTCGTGTGTGTGTGTCGTGTGTGTGTGTGTGTGTGTGTGGACGTTAAAAGAGAACGTGATCGCATATTGGGGGGGGGAAGAAGACCGCACCCGCAATAGCCTTGATGAGGCCGGCGCTGAGGCGGAGTTGTGCCACGTTGAGATGCGTGAGATTGGTGAGACCTGCGAAAGACGAGCAAAAGGCGAGCGCGAGACCGGGTGAGTGTGGATCATGGGCTGCGGATTTGATGGCGACGCTAAGCGGGCGCGCGTACGGGTCAGATGGTGGGCCTGGCGCTTCATGAGCGGACCCGCTCGAGCCAAGTCCAACTGGCGCAGGCCGGTGAGCCCTGTGATGTGGTCACAACACCACAACACACGCGAAGGAAAGCTGACCTCAGCACACACACACACACACACACGCACGACACACACACACACACACACACACAAGCACACGCACACACACGACGAAATTTACCATCGACCAAAAAGAGGCAGGCGTACCACACAGATGCTCGATTTCTTCGAGTGACGTGTTGGACAAGTTGAGTACCTCCAACTGCTTCAGCTCTGCGCATACGAAAGCCAAAGGGTCCTTAATGAGGCCCAGCCGCTTGCGTCGTGTGCGTGTGCGTGTGCGTGTCGTGTTGTGTTTTGTGTGCGCATGAGTGTTATGTGTGTGTCGTGTGTCGTGCGCGTCGACACTGTAGGTACCTGCGAGACAGCTGGTGTTGGTGATGGTCGACAGCGACAGGTTGAGCGCCTTCAGCGTGGTGATCTTCCCGATATGCGACAGCGCCGGCCCAATGACGTTGCCGGACATGTCCAGATGCGTCAGTTGCATCCCGGCCAACTCGGGCACGTCGCCCTGCAACTCTGCACCGGTCGTGTCCCGCGTGTCTACCGCGTCAGCCTCAGCGTTCAGAGAGAGACGCAGGAAATGACCGCGTCACACACACACACACACACACAGGTACCGCGACAGTAGTGGAGCCGAAGCGAGGTCAAATGGGTCATTCCAGCGATCTCCTTCAGCCATGCGTCTGTGAGCGGCGTGTGGCTCATGTCCAGCGACTCCAAGCCGGTGAGGCCTTCAAGTAACCATCACGCCAGCACACACGCACACACACACACACAACACACACACGCACGCACGCACGCACGCACGCACGCACACACTCAGTGAGAGGCTGACAGTGAGAGACTGGTGCGATGCCGGGAATGGGCACCTGCGATGGCCCGCACGTCGGCCAGGGCCAGGCTGTGCGGGTAGTGGGCCAGGTTGAGGGACCGGAGGCAGGCGCCCATGCCCGGCAGCAGGGTCGCCAGGTTGCGGCAGTCGCCCGCCTTGCCCGGACCCGACAGATCCAGCGACGTCGCACTCTGCAGCTGCTTCATTGTCTGTTTATAAACATCATTTGTAAGTAAATCTATATATTTATATATTTAAGACGATATATTTATATTTATCTATATGTTAATTTAAAGATATGTTCAGTGAATGAGGTACCTTGAGGCCATCGCGGGTGAAGCCCAGGGCGAGGGCGATGTCGACGGGGTCGAGCTGCTGAAGGCCGGAGGCGGCAGCCAGACGCAGCAGTCGGCGGTCGATGACGTGGCGTCGTAGGGCCAGGGCGAACAGGCTGCGGAGGGCCGGAGGGGGGAGGCCCGCCAGCGACTCGCACAGGTTCACGTGGCGCACGACCAGGTCGAAGCAGAGGCGCAGTAGCGGCGGGACGTGCGACGAGGCTGTCGGTCTTGAGGCCTGACCCTCTGGCGTGTGCGCGCTTGGATTGAGATCAAATTGGTGGCTCACCTTGCGAAGGTCGAAGACGTCACTCGCCCCATCAGACTCCCTGGCTCTCATCTTCATCTCCATCCTCTGTACTTCGTTTATTTTAAATATGAAAATACCATGAATGCCTGACATTTCCTCTAAATTCGAACACTTTTCGAAATTGTTTCGAAATGATTTTGAAATAATGATTTCGGGAAGATGGGCGGCTGAACGTTCCTACCCGAAGCTTCCGATCGATGTCAGCCATAACTCATTCTGAGCGATGCAAACTTGGCATTAGAATATCAAGACACACCAACGAGCATGGAACAACAGACGCACAACGCAGAGAGAGCATCTGAGAGGAACACTACCTGCACGTTAGCAGCGAATCAAGCCCTGCCGGCGGCACCAGAGCAGGTGATGCAAGGCGAGCCGCAAATCGTGCGGCTCATCCATCTCGGCGAGACCGAAGCCGCGCTGCGTTTGATCAGACAATCCACTCAGGCTGATGATGAAGTGGGAGATGAAGATGCATTCGATCCCAACTACAAGACGGCAGGCGGGTGGTCGCTGCTGCACATGGCCGCGCTCGGCGACGCGGTCGACGTGGTGGCGGCTCTCATCGACGCCGGCGCCGATCTGGAGGCCGAGGACAGGGGCGGGCTGCGGCCGCTCCACTACGCCGTGAGCTGGGACGCGCAGCAGACCCTGGCCGAGCTGGTGCGGCGCGGAGCCAGCCTCAACTGCACCTCCAAGGACCAGATCTTCTACCTCAACAAGATCATCCCCGTGTTCGTCGTGGGCGGTCGCACGCCGCTCCACCTGGCCGTAGACAAGGTGCAATCCCGCATTGTGTGTGTGTGTGTGTGTGTTGTTGTTGTTGATGATGTCTGGGCTTACACAATCTCTATGCGCGCCACACAGGGCTACTACGAGTGCACACAGATGCTGTTGGAGGCTGGCGCGGACGCTTCTGTGATCGATTGGGTACAGCCAGCCGCTCCCAACCAACCTCAGAGCTCGCTGACATTCTTCCTTGCCTTGTGCACGTCACACAGAGCGGCCGGACTGCGTATGATCTCGCGGTGAACAACAACCGCTTGGACATTGCTTCGTTGTTGCGTCCCGATGTCACTGAGGTGTGTATCCTCTCGCCAGCGGGATTCCGCATGCGGACGCAGCAACTCACACCACCTCTCCGTATTGTACAAATCTCTCTCTCTATGTGTGTGTCGTGTGTGTGTCGTGTGTGTGTGTGTCGTGTGTGCGATGTGTGCTTTTCGTGCCGCAGCATGTATCGGCAGTGCCCAAGAACTTTCACTTCGATCGCCGAGGCGTCGAGACGCGGCTGGGCCGGAAGGCCCCGCTGCCCTCTCTTCATCCGATTCCGACTGCAACCACCGGCGACAACGACAGCACAGCCGCCGCCGAGCCACCAGCTGCGTCGCAGACGGATGACGAAGATAAGGTCGCCGCCGCCGCCGAGCCGATCATGGAGTCGGGCGACCCGCGACCCTGCGCACCGCCCACGGGGGCAGCCGCGCTTCCCTTTTCGGGAAGCTTCGGCAGTGATCAGGCCTCGAGTGGCGGCCGACTGGGCGTGCTGGCCGACATGCTTCGTCAGGCCAACGCGCTCCTCAAGGAGGCCCAGCGACAAGCGGCCGCGGCCGAGCATCAGCCGTAAGGGCAGAAACCACCCAAGAGTGCTGCTGGTGGTATGTAAGTGAGTGTACGTCAGGCGGACTGTAAATAGAACCGGTGTGAGAGTGTACGTCTGGCGGTCGATGGAGCACAGCAAGATGGTCCAAGCGCACACATGTTCCTTTCTCAACAGCACAACGAGCCAACGGTGGTGACGCTCACGGACTTCGAACAACGTGCCTCGACTCCGTGACTTTCCACCACACAGGACCGGGAGGGGCGGGTTTACTTGCGTACAGCACCAGTCTGAGGTGACTCTCTGTGCGCACCTCTGTGCCGTTTGGCCTCACGAGCACTTGTCAAGTTTCGGCAATCCGCTCACGTCACGGTCGGTCAATCAGATCCGCCGCTGTACCGGAGTCTCTCGGGTGGCGCGGCTGTTGGGCCGCAACCCGGTCCACTCGCGGTCTCACTTCGGAATGAGCTCGGCCTAGGGCCAAGGGCTTTGGCGAGCACACAACGGCACAAAACACGGCGAGTGGTGAGAAGAAGAGGCAAGAAGTAAAGCAGGCAGTGAAGGATGGAAGGCGGCGGGAAAGATGGAGGAGGCCCTACGGCAGGTCCGGCCACGACAGAAGCGAGCAACACGGCCGTGCAGCCTCCGGTGCCCACCCGCGCGTGCAACCGCTGCCGCGAGACACACTCTGCCTGCGATGCGTACGCCCCCCCAAACTAAAAAATACTAAATAAATATTCAAATAAGATCAAACTTATTATGAACATAGAAATCTATGTTGCGCCTATCTCCAGCATTTTTTGTTGTGTATGTCGATATATATATTTATTATTATTATTAAACTAATTATTGCACGTGCGAAACGCTGCAGAGGTCGGCCGTGCCGGCGGTGCGTGCGTCTGGGGCGGGCGCACCTGTGCAGCGACGTCCCGCCACGCAAGCGAAGCCGGACACTGGCCGACGGCTTCTCCCAGCCGGACGCGGGCGACGGCGGCGAGACCGGCTCGCCGTCGTTCCGCGACGACCTTCATCTTCCTCGCGACGCCGAAGAAGAAGCTAAACCCAACAGAAAGCGAAACCGAACCAAGAAGAACAAGAACAAGGACATCAACATCAACGTCAACGACAAACACATCGATGACGGCACCACCACTACGTCGGCCGCGCTGGTGGTCCACCCACCGCAGCTGGTGGCGATCGAACAGAAGTTCGACCTCGTGACCCAGCTGCTACACACGATGGCGGGCGAGATGAAGCAGATGCGACACACCCACGACGCCCTGTTCGTCGAGCTGCGCCAGACGCAGGACCAGCTGCGCAGCACCGACGCGGTGGTCGCGGAACTGCTGCGCCGCGAGCAGAAGCGCGCCGACGACAAGCAGCGCCGAAGCGCCGAGAAAGAGCGGAAGAAGCACGCCCAGACGCAGACGCAGACGCAGACGCAGACGTCGGTGTTGGTGTCAACCACTTCGTCGTCGTCACCCATCTCGTCGCCCTCGTTGGCGCTGGGACCCGGGCCGCGCTCGTCGTTCTCGTTCGAGCTGTCGATGCTCCAGTCGGGCGTGTCGCCGGCCGTGGTGCTCGAGGCGCGGCAGCAGCTGCCCTGGCTGTGCCACTACGACATCTCGCCCAACCGCTTTGCCATCCTCGACTTCACGTACGTTTGCCGGTGCACATTCGCATGCATGCAGTGTGCGGTGGTGTGTGTGTGCGGTGGTGCATGTGCGTGTGCGGTGGTATGCGTGTGCGTGCGGTTCGTGTCGTACGTGAAGTTTACTTACACTTGTGTGGTGTTATGGCTCCAATCCAGTCGTCCGGTGTATGTGTGCGAGAAGCTGTCCAGCCTGGAGGTGCCCTCGTTCATCTCCTACGTCAACGCAGCGTTCGTCCGTATGAGCCAGTACTCCTGGGTACCTTTCCGCGCCTTATTTCGTGCACCACTCGACGACCTTGCCTCTTTGCGCCTCAACGCCAACCACACATTGGAACGGCCCTCTTCCTTTTGGCGTTCCTGCAGTCGGAGCTCATCGGGATGCCCTTTTCCAAGATCTTCACCGGACACGAGCGTTACCTGTCGCAATTTGCCGCACTACTCTACAACCAGTACGTTTTCTTTTATTATTCTTATTAAAACTTATATATTATTAGGAATAATAGACTTATTTATTATTAAATTGACGCTTGGGTACTCACTTTTGTTTGTTTTATTTTATTTTTTGTTTGCAGGCCGCCGATGACGCCGGGCATCGTCTTCTCCTACAGCCCGCTCATGCGCCGCAAGGACGGGCAACTGATCAGACTCAAAGACCGGAGCCAGGCCTTCTACAACCACCACGGCCAGGTCATTACTTCTCCACATTCACACATCGGCCCTGCACCGCACCACCGCACCACCGCACCACCGCACCACCGCACCACCGCACCACCGCACCACCGCACCACCGCACCACCGCACCACCGCACCACCGCACCACCGCACCACCGCACCACCGCACCACCGCACCACCGCACCACCGCACCGCCGCACCGCCGCACCACCGCACCGCCGCACCACCGCACCACCGCACCACCGCACCACCGCACATGTGCACTGACGTGCAGGCGTTGTGCAGGCGCAGTACAGTGTAAAGTGCATAGTGGGGTGGGAGGAGAGCAGCCTGCGCGAGGGCGAGGGCTTCGACCGGTGGGTGCCGCCGCGGCCCCGGGTCGACGCGCCGCCGCTGGGCGACTCGGCCGCCGGCCCCGGGTCCGCCGGCGACGATTCGAGTCCCATCGACAACGCCACCCTCGTCCTCGAAGACGAGATCTTGCCGCGACCAAAGGCCGGCGGCGGCATCACCTTGATCCCCTCCACCACCTATCCCCCAGCCCTCTCGTCGTCATCGTCGTTACTACCGTCGTCGTCGTCACCACCACCACCATCGTCGTCGTTGTCTCCATCACGAGCGCCACCGCTGCCGACCCTCGGCCGACCAGTGCTTCGACTACACCAGCACCAGCCTGCGCCCCAGCATCAGCAGCACCCGCAACCACACCCGCAGCACACACAGCAGCAACAGCAGCAGCAGCAGCAGTTCAGGATGGGCACGCCCCACGTGTGGCCATGACACGTCGAGAGCGATTGTGGCGCTGATTTGTACAAATATATCTAAATATGACGGTTTTAAAAACCGCGTACAACGCAACACGACACTCGCCTCGGCTCAGGCGGCGAGGTCGCGATTTGGCCCAAATGGTCAGTTCAAACTGGGGTGATGGTCGGGTGGAATTGGCGTAGTCCATTCGGTCAGACTGGGGTGCCGTGGCATGAACATGAACATGAACTAGACGGGAAGGTGCGCTTTTGGCCAGGTGGCACAAAACCAGAGACGCAACAGTTGTGCAGGCTAACAGGGAGGAGTTACGTAGTACCCAGGCAGCAACAAAACTGTGTTTGTGGAGTCTTCAGCGAGCGCACAAACAGAAGATGGAGGTCGCATCGAGTGCAGCCGGGGTCAAGCCCTCCCCAAACAAGGCGTGCACCTGCTGCCGCGAGGCACACTCCGCCTGCGACTCGTACGCATCTCTCCTTTATTATTCATCTGATTTACCATACATCTCGAAGAAGATGCAGAGGAGACCTCCATTCAATCCAAAATCCAATTCTTCTTACATCATCTCTTGTGCGATAAATATAGAAAAATATATAGAAATATATTATTACAATAAACAGATTTTATAAATCAAAAGAGAGAGAAATCTTGGTGCTCAGCCGTGATGCGTGTGGTCCACACAGGGAGCGGCCGTGCCGGCGGTGCGTGCGTCTGGGGCGGGCGCACCTGTGCAGCGACGTCCCGCCACGCAAGCGCGGCCGCCGGCCCAAGTACGACACCTCCGCCGACGCCACCAGCCCTGCCCGGCAGCCGCAGCAGCCGCGGGCGCCGCAGCCGCAGCCGCAGCCGAGCACCGAACTCCTCCGGGCCGGCTACGACCCGACCGAGGGCCATTACCACCACCATCACCACCACCCCGACTACTACGACGACGATGGCGGCGAAGACGGCGACGATGACGACGACCAGGACAGCGTCGACCACCTCCAGCAGCAGCAGCAACACCACCATCGTGCCTACGTCGACGTCGACATTGACCAACACCACGCCAACGCCAACCGGAAGAAGAAGGCGGCGACTACCAAGCGGCACAAGAAGTCGGGCGGCGCGAAGCCCAAGCTCAAGGTGGAGCCCGACACCACCACCACCACCACGACCACCACCACCGACGCCGCCGACCCAGCTTCATCGTCGTCATCGTCATCGTCGTCATCGCCGCCACTGGCTCCAGTGCCGACGACGGCGACGACGGCGGCGGCCGCTGGTGTGGACGGGCTGCGGCGGCAGGTGGAGCTGCTCGACGGCAAGTTCGAGCTGCTCACGCAGCTGCTCAATTCGATGGCGGGCGAGCTCAAGCAGCTGCGCCAGGCCAACGAGGCGCTGGCCTCGGCCGTGGCCCACACGCAGACCCACATCCGCGACACCGACGTCGTGGTGGCCGACCTGCTGCGGGCCGACCGCGACCGACTCGCCGCCGACGAGCAGCGCGCGGCGGCCAAGGCCCAGGCCCGGGCCGCCAAGAAGCAGAAGAAGCGGCTCAAGGCGCAGCAGCGGCAGCGGCAGCGGATCATCGAAGAGGCCGACGCCGGCTTGAGCCCGGTCGCGTCATCGCCGGCGTCGTCGACGTCGACGACGGCGAGCGGCAGCGGGTTCCACTCGCGTACGTCGTTCTCGTTCGAGCTGTCGCTGCTCCAGTCGGGCGTGTCGCCGGCCGTGGTGCTCGAGGCGCGGCAGCAGCTGCCCTGGCTGTGCCACTACGACATCTCGCCCAACCGCTTCGCCATCCTCGACTTCACGTACGTTACGCTCCTCCTTTGCCTTTGTTCAATCTCCCGACCACTCACGCGTGTCGTGTGTCGTGTGTGTCAGTTGTGTGTCGTGTCGTGTCGTGTGTGTCGTGTCGTGTCGTGTGTGACATGTGTGTGTCGTGTGTCGTGTCGTGTGCGATTGTGCGGAAATCGTGCAGCCATCCGGTGTATGTGTTGGAGAAGATGACGAATCTGGAGGTGCCCTCGCGTTTGTCGTATGCCAATGAGGCCTTCATGCGCTTGTCTGGCTATTCTTGGGTACCGCACACACCGCACACACCGCACACACTGCACACCGCACACGCACATAGGCCGAACTAATCGTACGGTATCGCACGGACAGAGCGAGCTTATCGGCATGCCGTTCCCCAGTCTATTCACCGGCCACGAACGCTATCTCTCCCAATTCACCAGTATCCTCTACAACCAGTACGCACACCACGCCGCACAGGCATACAACACTCATCGCACGCACCGCACGCACAACACTCACCGCACACACCGCACACGCGCGCTTTGCAGGCCGGCGATGTCGGTGGGGATCGTGTACACGTACTATCCGCTGATGCGCTGCAAGGACGGGTCGCTGGTGCGCCTGAACGACCGCGGCCAGTTCTTCTACAACCACCACGGCCAGGCCCAGTACTGCCTCAAGTGCATCGACACCTGGGAGACCGGCGCCCACATGCGCGAGGGCGAGGGCTTCGACCGCTGGATTCCCCTGCGGCCGGCCCTGGTCGCGCCCTTCTACGAAGTCAAGCAGCCCACCGACGCCGACGGCGTCGAGGAGCCCGACGGGGCCGCGCCGCCGGTCGTGCTGCAGGACGAGCTGTCGCCGCAGCCCTCGAGCCCGTCGCCGGCCTCGATGTCGGCCTCGGCGGCGCTGGCCTCGCTCCTGGCCTCGGCCGCGCCGTTCCCGCCCGTGCTGCCCCCGCCGGCCCCGCTCCCGTTTCCGCCGCTGCCGCGACCGCACATGCTGGTGGGCTACGGGCCGCCGCCCGCCCAGTTCCCTACGCCGCAGCCCGCGCGGCAGTCGCCGCCATTTTCCGGTGGTGGCGGCCGACCACCTTCGGCGCCGACCGCCACGACTAGCCCACCAGTGTGGCGAGGTTGAGGAGTGTTTTATAATAAATTATAAATTATAAATCATTTTGTTTTGTACAAATTTATTTTGCATTTGATAAATGTGAGGGCTCATTGTCGGTCGGCGCGGAAGGTGGAGCCGCTTGGTCCCGCAGGTCGTGGGCCACCCGACAACGAAGACGACGATGACTGTGAGGCGGTCGATGATGAAGAAGATGACGAAGAAGAGAAGTTGGTGGTTGTGGGCGTGGGAGGCCAGGAGGAAAACTGGTCCAGCAGATCGAACGCGCTGTCGGCGAGATCGGCCGGCGACGACGACCAGGACTCGACCACGGGCGCGAAGCGCGCGTGCGACGCCGACGACGAGGGCGAAGGCGCGTGTCGAAGAGGCGGGCCGGAGGGCGATGCGGCGGCCAACGACGACGACGAAAACGATGAAGAGGAGCGGGAAGACGAGGAGGGCGGGTCGAGCGGATTGGGGAGGGGCACCCACTGGCCCAAGACCTCGTCTTGCGTCAGCGGGCCCGCCTGCCATCCGTGGAAACACATCACCACGTACTGCGCCTGTGTGGATCACGACACCACACGCGACACGCGTGAGTTGTGTGTGTGTGTGCGTGCGTGCGTGTGCGTGTGTGGTGTGTGTGTCATACCTGGCCCTCGCTGTTGTAGAAGAGTTGGGATTGGTCGCGCATGCGGAGGGTGACGCCGTCGCTCCGTCGGAGCAGCAGTTGGAAGCTGATGATCTCGCTCACCGCCATCGGCCGCCTATTACCGCACACACACACACACACACGCACACACACACACACACACACACACACACACACACACACACACGACAGCGCAAAGGGTGAGCCCATGCCTCGGCAGCCGGCGAAAGGAGATGGCGGCGTGTGTACTGGTTGTATAGGACGCTGCCGTAACACTGCACGTTGGCCGGGAGGGAGAACAGTTTCGTATAGTACGCCCCGATGAGCTCGTCCTGCAATTAAGTATTTAATCGTGAGCTGTCGTGTCGTGTCGTTGGTCGTGTCGTGTCGTTGGTCGTGTCGTGTCGTTGGTCGTGTCGTGTCGTGGGGGTACCATTTGGTATTGGCACAGTTCAGCGAAGGCGGGGTTGGCGTAGGCCAGCACCGTCGGCAGCTCCCACGTGTATCGCTGCTCCATCACGCACACCGGATACATGCTGCACGCGCACTCATCAGATCACAATCCCATCGTGTGTGTGTCGTGTGCCGTGAGTGCGTGTGTCGTGCGCCGTGAGTGCGTGTGTCGTGTGCCGTGAGTGCGTGTGTCGTGCGTGTGGCGTGTCGAACCCTACCTGAAGCTGCTGACGGCGAATCGGGAGGGGAGGTCGTAGTGGCACAGCCAGGGCAGGTTCTGCCGGGCCTCCATGGCCAGCGCTGGCGACACGCCGGCCTCGAGCCGCAGGTGGTGCTGGTGCGCGAACAGCGGCGACGAGCCCGGCGCCACCGACGGCGACGACGACGTCAGGAGCTCCGCCAATGGCGAGTTGGCGATGACGTGGCCGTTGCGGTGGTCAATGGGGTCATTCGAGCCGCCTCCGCCGCCGCCGCCCAGGTGCACCACGTCCTCGAGCTTGGCCACCTTGGAGACCAGTTCGGCGTTGGACCGCTCAAGCCGCGCCATGTTGGCCTGCATCGTCTCGACGAGCCGGGTCAGCCGGTCCACCTTGTCCTCCAGCGCCTGCGTCGCCTCGCCCGGTCGATCCTGCTGCTGCTGCGTCTGTGGCTGCGTCTGTGGCTGCGGCTGCGGCTGCGGTTGCTGTTGGTGTTGGTGCTGAAGCTGGTGGGCGTAGAGCTCGTGGTAGAAGGCGGCCATGGTGGTGGCTGGTCGGGGCTGCTGGCGGCCATGGTGGTCGCCATCGGCGCCAGTCATTATTGGGTTCATCCACGCCGCTGGGCCGGCGTCTGGTGGTGGCGGCTGCTGCTGGTGTGGCTGCGGCTGTGGTGGCGGCCCCGCCTGGGGCGTGATCTGGTGGTGGAGGTGCCGCGGGGCGTTGGGGTAGGAGGTCTCCTTGGCCTGGCGCTTGCTGCCGTTGGCCGTCTGGTGCGTGCTACTACTGGTCTTGCCGCCCGCGGCGGCGGCGCCCCGCACGCGCTTGCGCGGAGGTGCATCGCTGCACAGGTGGGGCTTGCCCAGCCGCGTACACCTCGCGCACGGTCGGCCCCTAATGAACACCATTATTTATTCACACATTATTTAAAAATATCTCAAAAAATAAATAATAATAAGTATATACTGGATATATTGGTATTTATATCGTGAAAATATTAAATAGTAAAAATGGATGGATATCAAAGAAAAAAGGTGGTGCAATCGTACAGGTCGCAGGCAGTGTGTGCGTCCCGGCACGCCGTACAGGCACTTGGCCGGGACGACGTGGGTGCGTGCTTGGGCTGGTGCTGCAGGTGATATACCAAGTCCATCGCCTGCCAAAAAAAAAGAATAATTTAGATTGATTTAATTGAAGTTGAAATCAGCACTGCGATTTAAATAAATAGCCATTTATTATTATATTATTATATTTAGCATTACGCGTACCTTCGCCGTCCGGTCTCTGCGTCGTGTCTGTTCTGTTCGCGTAGCGGCCAACGGTTGTCTGTCGTCTGGGCCGGATGCTGCCAGGCAACCTCCGGGAAAACAAAAATCAAACTTAAATCGCATTTTCTGTTTTTCCAGATCATCCCCTCATCAGCACCGACCTGGCCGGGAGCGTTCCGCGGTGCCGACCGGTGCCGGTGGTGCGCTCATCGCCGGAGTCATCGATGATGTGGTGGTCCTTGTCGAAGCGGGATTGACGCGACTTGCTGGCAAGGCCGATGTTTGAACAGCAACAGTTGCTGGAGGGCGCAGGGGCAGCCAAGTGTCGAAGGCCTCGCCGGGCATCAGGCCGTCCTCCTTCCACCCCAACACGCAGATCACGTTGTACTGGCCCTGCGCGTGGGGTCGAGTCCACCCCATCGACGACCAATCAGCTGACGTTGGACATTGGCAATATTGTGGTCACAGTGTTAGAGGCAAGGCACGTACATTGCCGTTGCGGTCGTAGAAGACCTGCGACTGGTCGTCGAGTCGGACGGTGCGGCCATTCTTCCGCCGAAGCAGTTGGCTGAAGCTGAACACATCGCTCGCGGTCATTGGTCGCCTGAACCACATGCACCGCACACAACACACGCGACACACCGCACACACGCATGACACACAGTCCATTCAGTGACAGGGTAGAAAGAGGGGAGGGGAGGACTGTGAACTTTCGTACTGGTTGTAGAGGATGGCTGATAGATCGAGGTAGCTCCTGCGAAAGGAGAAGATCTGGGTGTGCGGGCTGCCGATGAGCTCGCCCTGAAGCGAGCGCGTGCGCACACGTACACAGACATCGTGTCCAAGCTTGATGATGGGGACCACCTCATTAAAAAGCATGTCATGTGCTTGTCGGTACCCAGGCGTAGCCGCTCAGCGCCAGAAACGCGGCGTTGGCGTAGGACACACAGGCCGGCACGTCCAGGCTCGACATCGTTTCCATCACGCATATCGGATGGCTAACATGTCAACGCGACACACAGCGCCAGGTCATCACAACCATTCCACACATTCTTGGAAGAGAGGCAAGGCCGCACACCTGAAGTCGACGATGGAGAAGCGGGTGGGGATATCGTAGTGGAGGAGCCAGGGCAACTGCCGGCGGGCCTCCATCGCGAGGACGGGCGACACCCCAGAGTGGAGCACCGAGAGCTCGAACGCGAAGGAAGGTCGTCGCTCGACTATAAACGGATGTGATGAGGATGACGATGGCGAGGAGGTTGATGGCGATGTTGATGAAGAAGACGACGACAAAGGAGGCGAAGAAGAAGACGACGATGGCGATGATGATGACGTGGCAGGCCAAAGCGTGGCCGTGAACGCCGCAGCGCTCGCTGTGCCGCTGGGCTGGGGCGCAGACCGGCGGTCGCTGCTGCTGGACTTGGCACCCACCTCGCGCCGCTTGAGCTTCGCCCGGAGCCGGGCGTTGGCCTGGTGCAGCTCTCGCAGGTCGTTGCCCATCGTGTGCACCAGGCGGGTCAGCACCTCCAGCCGGTTCTCCAGCGACGTGATCCGCTGCTCCTGCAGCTCTTGCTGCTGTTGGCGGTGGTCGTAGCTGTAGTGAACGGCCCTGTCGCCCACCTGCCCTGCGTGCTGCGCGTGGTGCTGCGCAGTGGCGGTGGCGGTGGTGGTCGTGGTGGCCTCGTCATGAAGCGGATGATGGTCGTGGCTGGCGGTGGCTGAAAAGTCGAAGCCGAGCAGATCCTCGAGCTGGAGATGTGGCTGCGATGGCTGCTGCGGCTGGTCCGAGTGACCACAATGCGGCAGGCAATGGTTGTCGTGGTGGTCTGTGACTGACGGATGACCGTTCCGGTTGGCTGCTGCGCGGCCGCGTTTGCGGTGCTGTTGATCGCTACAGTGGTCTCCCAGCCGCCGACAACGCCGACACGGTCTCTCCCTGTTCCAGAACAGAAAAAAGAAAACAAAAAAAGGATAGATCACACAAGTGCGTTGGCTAAATGTTAGCAAACACATAAAATCCACCAATAATAATGAAAAAAATTATATTATTGAGATTGATGGCAGGCAAAAGAGTAATAGCGTACGCACTTGTCACAGGCGGCGTGGGCGACACGGCACTGTTCGCATGTCTTGCCGCTGCGGTCGCGCTTGGCTCCACCGCCCCTCACCTCCATCCGTGGTATGGCCTACGTCAATATCAAAGAAGAAAAGAAACAACATCGACCCATGTTAGGTGGATGTACTGTTTTAGTTATCCATTGTAACGTCTTAATTCCGTCTTGTTGGTTTTATCCTGATTTCTGATAGGGTTTTACGGCGTGGCGAAATTTCGCATTACCGCCCAAGAAAGCACCCAAACACCCTCCCGGCCATTGTCTAACAAGAACGTAAAAACTCAGCAGAGCAAAGCAAACCACACAGCCAGCGAACACCACACCTTCATGGAATGACCAATTACGAGCCGAGCCTGTCTTACTCGTCATCGGCCTCGCCTTGGTGTTCGGGGGCGAAGCAGCCAAGCTATTGATGGCGCGCAGTCCGTTTTCCGCTGAACTTTGGCCGAAAGGAACCTCAACGACTTGACTCGTTCGGGCGTCAGTACAAGACCCACACCAGAAACAGCAGCAGCCAACAACAACCACCCAACACCAACGCACAACACTTTGCGTCTTATTACACTTCACATCTAACACTACACTACAAACCACAATGTCGCGCCTGGAAAAGAAAGCTGAGGAGCCGATCCAGCCGATCGAGAAGGAGCTGATGCTGGACAACCCGGACCAGGTGGAGAAGTGGGGACCCTCGCAGGAGGGCCGGGCCGAGTACAAGCCCTCGCTCAACGAGATCGAGAAGGAGCTGCTCGCGGAGGCCCGGCTCAATCCTGCCAAGCAGGTGCGCGCCATGGAACGCGCGGCCGACCCCGACCGCCGTGAGAAGCTCAAGGAGGAGGGTCGGCTCGGCCTGCAGAGTGACAAGAAGTACCTCGCCGTACGTTATTCCCTTGACAAAGTTGCAATGGAACGGTTATATGTTTGATATATTGAACAACATATCATATATATTTAACATGCAGGAGGTTAAGAAGGCTGGGATCGATGTAGAGAAGGAGTTTGAGACGAGCGGCCAGGTCCACATCCCGGTCGAAGGCCAGACCTACGAGGTCAAGCCCCGGCAGAGGCACAACCCTCCGCTCTGAGCAAAGCACCAATCACGTGCTTGCGCCTTTCGCCACAATAAAAAGGACCAATCACAATTCCACTTAGAAATGTTCTCCATTAAATAATAGACACGTCTTTAGTCCCAGCTCAGGGTGAGGTGATGATCTCGAGGACCTCGCGCAGGACCTGCTTGTTCCACACGCTGGTCCCATGGAAGAGGCCCTTGATCGGGTAGCTGTGGATGGGCTGGGCCTGCTTGCCGCGCCAACGCTCCAGCATGCGCAGGCCCGCCTCGGGCACCACGCCGTCGCCATTGCCGTAGGTGGTCTGCGGAACCGTGTCGAAGGCCACTGTAGCGAACGTCGTCCGCATCGGCGTCGTCACGTTGGTCCCGAAGAACGCGTGCGACGCCACGCCTGGCACTTCAAAATGGAGCCAGTCTAGAAACCCAACCAGTCAGTGCGTGTGCGTGCTTCGGTGGTGCGTGTGCGGTGTCATACTCTGGGATTGGAGCAGGCGGAAGATGAGGGAGGCGTTGTGGCCGGTGGAATCAGCCAGCAGCTGGGCAAAGTCGGCCGATGTGTAGTTCCTGGGCGGGTCGCTAACCGTCACCCACACATAGTCCTCGCCGTAGAGCTGCATTCGGTTGAGTTGAGGAGTATCTCAATAGTTTCTCATCTATTTACATATACATTTATATATATATATATGATAAATAAGTATATAATTCATAGTATACCTCGGCCAGCGGGAGCATCCACACGCTCGACGGCCAGGTCTGCACTAGCGCTCTCATCGCGACCGGGTCCGAGACCCTTGGCGGACCACCAGCCTGTCGGCGGACACACATCAGAGATTCCCTCGTCACGGCACACAAAGGCGCAAAAATGAAATATGGCAGTACGGACCACTGGTGGAGATGAGTACGGAGGCGGCCGAAGGGCTCCCGCCGAAGGCCCCGTCGAGCGAGATGAACGAGTGGAGGAACTTGTCCTTCCACCCCTGCGTCTGCTGGTTCAAGAAGCCCAGGAAGTAGGGGCCGCCCATCGACAGCGACACCGCCGCAACTGAACGGAACAGGACCCAGGTTAGACGAACTGGTGAGCCGCCTTCTCTAGGGCGCACAGACGGTTGGTGTACCGGGTGTGTTGTTGTTGAGGGCGTAGGTCTCTTCGATGAGGCGGCGCAGACGAGGCCAGTCCTCCGCCGCCCAGGTCTCGGGTCCGAAACGCCAGTCGTACGGAGCCGCACGCAGACTGTTTCCTGCGAACACCACTCTCAAGCGACTGCCTTCTTGGTTGTGTGTCTTGTGTGTGTCTTGTGTGTGTCTTGTGTGTCTTGTGTGTGTCTTGTGTGTCTTGTGTGTGTCTTGTGTGTGTCTTGTGTGTCTTGTGTGGGTCGTGTGCGTCGTGTGCGTTGGGTGTCAGGGGATGAGCGAGCGCACTCACCGACTTCCCAGCCGAGGGCCTCGAACAGGTACACGGTTTCGTTCCACATGGGTATCTCGTGCCAGTCATCCAGATACGTCACGCCATCCACTCCGCCATAGTCGATGTAGCGAATGTTCACTCCTGGCGCGCCGCGCGGTGTGAGTCGTCGCTGCAGCGAATCAGCCGATTACGGATTGGGCGATCCGATCTATCCATGGATTCAACGAACCTGGCGTGCTGAACGAGCGTCCGGTGCGCGGGTCGAGGTGGAGGGCCATCTGCTCGTACCAGCAGTTGATGAACGGGGTGACCAGGTCCTCGAAGTTGAACCAGATCGTGAACCACTCCCGCCACTCGGTCCAGCAATACCAGTGCCTGGCGAACAACCTATTGAGTCCTGCAGTCCGCACAACCACACGCGCGCTTGCTTCGGAGGCGTACGATGACCGATAGCCGTCGAGCTGCGCCTGGAGCCTGCTCCCTATCATCGACGCGATCAGCACCACCGGCCTGACCCCACTTCCCGGCTGCCCTCCACTCTGCCTTTTGCCCTTCGCCTGCCTCAATAATAGAGATATTATTTTTGTTTGTCGTATTCATTTTTCATTATCATAATTTTAATATTGTAGAAAGAAAGGTGTACGGCGACGAAGGCCTGGGCGAGGGCGTCGAGTGCGTGGGCGGGCGTGGTGGGTCGCGGTTGGGGTGCGAAGGGGGACAGCCGCCCGACCACCTCACTCCAATCGGTCGGTCGAGCCACAGCGCGCAAGGAAGAGCAGCACAACAGAAGGCACACCACCGCCAACACGACGAGCCAAGCACGAGACGCGCCGTCCATCACCATCGCTGTGCTGCTCGCTGAGCGTTGAGGTTAGGTTGGGTGTTGGTGCAATCGGGCACTTGTCGTGCCCCGGTGCAAGGTCATTCCCTAGCCTTCCTCCTCTGTTGTTCGTTGAAGTAGTCGACAACAATCAGTAAAAAAAATAAGATGAAAGAGGAGAGCCAAACAAGGCCTGCACGACCAGCACTACTGGATGGCGACTCGCTGCTGTCGCCGGCGGTGCCACCAGCGGGCGATCTTGTGGTAGAAGAGGACGACCAGCGGCCACACCATGCACCCGAACACCACCACCAGCATCACCACGTTGAGCACCAGCACCAGCGACACCAGCAGCAACGCGTACCTGCATACCCATCACACCTTAGCGTCGTGTGCGTGTGGCGGTGGTGCGTGTGCGTGTGCGTGTGGCGGTGGTGCGTGTGCGTGTGCGTGTGGCGGTGGTGCGTGTGGCGGTGGTGCGTGTGCGTGTGCGTGTGCGTGTGCGTGTGCGTGTGCGTCGTATGCGGTGTGTGTTGTATGTGCGCACCCGTCGGCAATGACGAGAACGTCGCTGGCGGCCGACCAGGACACGGCGAGCTTCTCCTGGGCCACGGAGTGGAGCTGGCTGTAGGCCCGCCATAGCGTCTGCGTGACGAACGTGAACAGCACGGTCCCGATGGCCAGCTCCTCGAGCCGGTTGTCGCGCTCGACCGCGAACGGCCGCACCAGGTGCTGCACGACCAGCGCGACCCACAGCACGAGAATGATCGCGGCCGCGCGGAACGGCGTCGACTGGGGCGTGACCGAGATCAGGATGGCCAGCAGCAGCCGACGGGTGAGCATGGCCAGCTCGAACCAGTACATCGAGGGGCGGTAGCAGTAGTAGAGGTTGCCCAGCCAGTACTTGACCCGGCGCTCGTGCGAGTGGCGGCGGAAGGCCAGCAGCAGCGCGGCAAAGAGCAGCGGAATGCCGGCCACGTAGACCGCCGACGACGCGATGCCCATCTTTGCCAGCGTGCTCCACTGCGTGTCCCTACACACGTGTGCGTGCGTGTGCGTGTGCGGCGTGTGTCATCATTAGGCACGACACGACACGCACGGCACACAAGACACACGACACACGAGGGGTGCGTACGAGGAGCAGCGGAGCCAGGGGAGCATGCTGAGGTACTTGTCGCCGGTCACGGGCTCGGCCACGCAGTTGAAGACGGCCAGGGTGCGGTTGGCCAGCTCGAAGTAGAGGAAGTAGAGCAGGTACATCCACGCGTAGATGCCCCAGTGCCACGGCCGCGGCTGCCACTCGTCGTCAGCGGCGGCCGCGGCCTCGAGCTGGCGCGACCCGGGCTGGGCCTGCAGCAGCGGCTGGCGCTCGGCTTTGGAGGCCGACGATGAAAGGAGGAGCGGCAGGGACTCGTCGTGGGGCGGCGCGGCGGGGGCGTCGCTGGGCTTGCGCACGTCGGAGGCCTCGGGCGTGAGCTCGTGGCCGACCAGCTCGGATGCCACGTCAGCAGCACGATTAATCGCTGGTGATGGCACTGCGCTTGAGGTGGCTGATGACGTGTCCCCGCTTCTGCGCCGCAGCCAGGCAATGCCTGCGCGCAGCAGGACCAGCGCGGCGATGAGCCCCGTGAGCGCCGGCAGCACCAGCAGGTAGGCCAGCAGGTTCAGCACCGGGTCGTTCATGAAGTGGAACACGCACTCGACGCCGGTGCCGGATGTGCTGAGGTTGCTGATGTTGAGCCAGCGCATGCCGTTGGCCATGGCCCACTCGGGCCACAGGCCGTTGAGCGAGGCCGTGGTCTGGACGAAGACCAGCAGAATCTTGAGCGTGCCCGAGTCGAGAATGATGGCGCCCACGCGGCGTATCTTGACGTAGAAGCGGTTGCGGAAGACGAAGAGGTAGGCCAGGAAGAGGGCCAGGGCGATGACGGCCACGCCCAGGATGGTGGCCACGACGACGGTGAGCGTGAGGTCGCACCGGAGGCAGCGGCCGCGACTCGAAAAGTAGCACACGTCCGAGCTGCCCGCCATCGGACACATGCAACGCGAACACAAGCGACCTAGACGCGCGTGTGTCGTTTGTGTCGTGTGTGTTGTGTGCGGTCGTGTGTCGTGTGTGTCGTGTGTCGTGTGCGGTCATGAGAAAACGAAGATGGAACGGGAGCTAGTGTAGCGTGCGTGTGTCGTGCCTTCGGATCCGGGGCTGCAGAGGGCGCACGACACGTCGCTGCCATAGGTCAGCGAACAGTTGTTGTAGGGGTTGCACCCGCTCGTGCTCCCATCCGTGCCGTAGTCCCCGCACGGCAGCGCCAGCACCAACAAAGCTTCAAAAAGAAACCGATTAGTCTCGTGATACGTGTCTTTTTAACTCCGACCACTCATGTGTGCGTGTGCGGTGTGTGCGGTGGCGCGTGTGCGGTGTGTGCGGCGTAGCGTACATCCGTTGAAGACGGGGTAGAAGCCGCGCTTCCAGGTCACGGTAGTTCCACCTTGGCTGCAGTTGCCGTGCGGTGGGCACATCTGGCACTCGTCCGGCGGCAGGCCGTAGTAGCCGCGCGCGCACGTGCACACAGAGTACCCCAGGAACTCGGGAGACGCCGACAACTGCTTCAATGTGAGTGCGCTGTCCAGCATTATTTATGTGCGTGCGTGCGGTCGTGTGTGCGATGTGTGCAATCGCGCGTGTGCGTGCGTGCGGTCGTGTGTGCGTGTGTGTCACCTGAAAATAGTAGGGCGGAACGGTTTCGACAGTGGGGCAGTAGAAGATGCGTCCGTCGTCGACGTCCATGTTGGAGTAATCGGCGCCCCACCAGATGATGGACGACAAGTTGGAGTTCGACTCAAGGTGCATCTTTACGTTCCCTAGATTTTGCCAAAATGAGTATCCAAGGCACGACACGACACACACCGCACACGCACCACCGCACACACATAGACATACCTTTGATGGAGAGGTACACGAGTGCATTGTTGTAACGGACCAAATCCGCGCCGATGGTGCCCTCCATGAGCACGTTGTTGCTGAAGTCCATCATCACAATGCTCGAGTACTGTGGTGTTTTTTTGTGCATGTGTGCGTGTGCGTGTGCGTGTGCGTGTGCGTGTGCGTGTGCGTGTGCGTGTGCGTGTGCGTGTGCGTGTGCGTGTGCGTGTGCGTGTGCGTGTGCGTGTGCGTGTGCGTGTGCGTGTGCGTTTGTGTCAGTCTGACAGCAGAAGAGGTTGTGGGTGGTTGACGCGGAGGGTACCCCGGAGAAGGGCGGGATGGTGCCCGACAGGTGGTTGTTGTCGAGCAGAACGATTTGGAGGCCTTCGCCCTGGGTCAGCGCCTGGGGGATTGGACCCTCCAAGCGGTTGTAGGACAGCACGAGCCGGCTCAGTATCGGGATCTTGCACAGAGACTCGGGTATCATGCCTGGCCACGCACTGCATTAGATCGCAACATGCAACTTACGCAACACATGTAACACACGCAACACACGCAACACACATACCGGTGAATTTGTTCTCGGCAAAGGAAAGCCAAAGAGTGCGCGCGGCATTGGATACATTCCAGCGCTGGGGTAGTGGACCCGACAGCTCGTTCAGCGAAACATCCTGCACCCCACACAACGATCATTCAATTCGTTTGTCTCACGACGCACACGACACACACGACCAACGACACGACACGCACGACACGCACGACACGCACGATACGATAGGCATGAAACAGGTGTCATCCGCGTACCACGTATCTGATGTGTGAAGGGTCGAACAGCTCCGGCATTCCCCCGGAGAAGGAATTGTCGCTGAGCACGAGCGTGACGAGCGCACTCGCGCACTTGAGCGATTCGGGGATCGGTCCGTACAGGCTGTTGCTCGCCAGGCTCAGGTAGGACAGCGCCGACAGGTAGCCTGGGTGGCCAAGAGGTGGTTAAGGTGTCGGTGGTCCCAAGAGGTTAAGGTGGCGGGTGACGGCATACCGTAGTCTTCGGGCAAAGCGCCAATGAGCCAATTGGAAGACAGATCGAGGGTGGTGAGGTTGGGCATGTCGGTGACGGACCCGAACGGCGGCAGTGGCCCGCCGATCGCGTTGTCCGGCACGACCAGCGCGGTAAGGCCGCAGAAGCGCGCGAGTGACGCCGGCAGCGCACCGGTGAGGTTGTTGGCCGGCAGGTTGATACTGATAAAGGCGATGTTGCCGTTGGAAATGCGGCAACCGATCCCGAACCAGTTACAGAAGTAGCCTGTGTTGCGTGTTGCGTGTTGCGTGTTGCGTGTTGCGTGAGTGCGCATTTACGTGCGTGTTGCATGCATTGTGCAATCTCATGGGTGTTGAGGTGTCGTACTGTCCGAGCCCCAGCACGTGGCGTCATCTGTTCGGTGGCACCGTTTGAGCCAAGTGGTGGGTCCTCCCGTCGCGTTGTAGAAATCCATCAGCAGCTCCCGGTTCTCCGTATCTGCTCACCACCCCACCACGCAACGTGCACTCACACTCAGCCGGCGAAAGAAAAAAATGAAGACAAAGAGCGAACGAGGGGGGGGGCGAAAGAGAAGAAAGAAAGCGAAAGCGATGAACTTGCTCGCACCGTTGAGTGGAGCGCAGGGCGCGAGGACCTTGTCGCAGCCCTCCTTCAGGCGAGCAGTCGACTGAGCGTTGGGCGGGGAGGAGTCGAAAGGGGGCGGGGTGGGGCGGAGTCGCGCAGGGGAGCCTCGCCGGCCAGACTTCAGCAACCCGACGGCCACCTCGGCGGCGTCATGGTTGAGCGGGACGACGTGCCGGCGCAGTGACGACCCCGCCGCTCCCGTCCTCGAGTAATATGAAGATGACGACGAAGAAAAAGAGGAAGAGGAAGAAAAATCAAAAGAATAATCTGCGTGTTCGGTTTGGGCTGCTGTTGAGAAGATGAGAAGAATGAGGAGAAGGAGGAGAGGCACCACCACCGCAGTGGTCGGGGAAGGACCTACCCCGCCGCAGAACCACCACCTCGACTTCATGTGCTTTTTATTTCTTATTTGAAATAAATGGCCAACAAGTGGACTCCGGAAGCAGTCGGGCGCGAACGCCCATTGGCCGTGGTTTGCAGAGAGGGAGGTGCGGCACCACCACCACCAAGGGCCTTGCCGGTTCCGGTGCAGATCGAGACACACACAAGTTAGATGGCTTAATTAATGTTGTGATCGAGCCACTGGTGGCCTTTGGGCCTTCCCTCGAACTCCTGTGGGCTCCCACCTTTCCGGGTGGCGGCGAGGGCGACTGCCGTTTTTCGTCAATCGTTTCTCCGCTGCACATCAACTTCCCCTTCTTCTTGTTTTGCTGGCCAAGATCTCTCTTTTTCTATTGTCACCCCTTCACCTTCCTGCCGTAGACGCCACCACACCTGCACCACATCTTAGAGCTAGACCTAGAGGTTTTCTCCTTCTTGATCTAGTGGAGGCCGTCTTGCATCTTCAAACGTCTTTCACCGAATCGATTGCTGGCACCCTCACAGAAGAAGAAGAAAAGAGATAGAGAACATGATGGCCACAGGTGGCCACCTACCCTCCCAGCCAACATGGCAGCAGCTGGCTGCCCTCCAGCCGCTGAGCATTGCGCCCACCAACCCTTCCTCTTCTTCCACATCTTCTTCTACTCCAACCACCTCATCTTCTTCTTCTACTTCTTACACCGCACCAACAACCGCACTACCCAGCAGCAGACGTAGTGGTCTTCTCTTCCTCTGGCCTCTACGTTGTGTTTGCAAATACGTAGAGCTTCCCCCTTCTTCTTCGTGAAGGGGCACTTGTGGAGTTTTGGTCGGGTCGGCTGACGTGGCATCGGCTTCATCTGATGGTTTGCGTTGAGGTGTAGAGGAGAGGTCATCTTCAACGCGCAGCCGCAGAAGGCCAGGGTGGCGATCAGTTGCTCCAACCAGAGGTCGAGGGTCTACTGCCTCGTCCTCTACGTGGCTCAAGGCCCCACTCTCATCACCCGCATCGCCCCACAGCTCTACCTGACGGTACGCCGTCGTGCTTCTTTGTTGTTCTGCGCATGCTTGCTCACCTACCGCTGGCCAGGTGATTGAAGAGGGCTGGGTGCTGGTGAAGGACCCCTTGCGCCACCCATACACCCTGCAGTTTGGGTACACACACGATCGCACGACACGACACGACCAACGACACGACACGACACAGCACTGCGTAACAAAATGATCAGCTGAGTTGGTAAGTCAATCGGCTGTGGTGCGCCAACACAGAACGCAGAAGGAGGCGGAGGAGTTCTGCAAGCACGTTCTGGTCGCCAAGATGGCGTCCAAGGCTCCCCACGAACCCAAGACCGTGCAGAGCATCGACCTCAAGCCCGGCCAGCCCGCGATGGTATGAACGCGCGTGCGGTGGTGTGCGTTCGTGCGTGTGCGGCGGTGTGTGCGGTGGCTGACCTGATATTTGTCGCAGGTGGCGGAGCATCAGGATCAGGCCACGGTCCTCCTGACGTGCTGGCTGGTGGACTCGCACCACCACCACACGATTGCCGCGACGCCGCACTGGACCTCGGTCGGCGCGCAGCCCGCCAGTGGCCGGTCGGCGGCCAGGGGCATCAGCGACGACCACGACGAGCCCCTGGGCGTGGTCACGATCAACGTCAAGAAGCTGCGGCTCGGCGAGTCGGCGCTCGGGATGCGCGATGGCCTGCTTGGCATGCGGCTGAAGGGGACGCGGCTGCTGGTCCTCGAAACCTCCGCAAGTGAACCCGGCAGCTCCACGTCCCTCAAATCCGTGCTCGGCCTGCCGTCCGGGCGCATCTGCGTTTTCAAGGTAAGTGTGCGTGCGGCGGTGCGTGTGTGCGTGTGGGTGTGCGTGTGCGTGTGCGGTTTGACCTGAATCGCGGAATTGTAGGTCGAGTTGATCAAGTTGAAGAAGTCGGCCGCGCGCGGTAGTGGCAATGGAAAGAAGAAGGAAAAGGAAAAGGAGAAGGAGCAGCACCCGCGCGACAAGGCTCGGCCGTCGAAAAACGATGACAGGCAGATGGGCGAGCTCAAGGCCGAGGTACGCGGGCTCGAGGCCAAGCTGCGGATCGCGCAGGACACCGTGGACAAGATGATGGGTCGCAAGCTGGAGCGGTCGAGCGTGGAGGAGCTGGCCTCGCTGGAGGAGATCCTACTCACAAGCTACCGGCTGGTCATTGCCCAGAAGGTGAGGCTCGAGCTGAAGGAAGAAGAAAAGAAGAAGCAGCAGAACAAGCTCGGGACGCAGGTACCGTCAACTACACACACTTCTCAAGCGTAGTAGCGATGTCGATGTGAGACAACACAGGTTCTCATCATGTGCGGGGCATGCGTGCCGTGTGTTGCGTGTGCTGCAACCGATAGGAGTGCGTACTGTGCTTGGACAAGGCGAGGAATGCGGTGCTGGTGCCGTGCGGCCATGCGTGCTGCTGCCTTGGGTGCGCCAAGAAGTTGACCAGCTGCCCGCTGTGCAGGAAGGAGATCACCGACAAACTCGCCATCTACCTGTAGACCACCAGCATGACCATGAATCAAGCATCGACGCCGACGACCCACTGGCGTCACCATTGAAAAGAGAGAGGTGTGTATTAACCGTGGAAACGATGGAGCTCAACATATGTACATAACGAAGCAAAGAGGCAAGAAAGACAGAATAAAAGCGGACTTACGCAACAGCGCTCAGCTGTTGGAGGAGGAGAAGCAGGGAATCATCTCGCTGATTTGGTCGTTGCACACTGCGGCCATCTCATTGAAGTCCTGCACCGCATGAGGGTCAGCTGAGATGAACGTTGTAGTGATGAGTGCTGATCGGTCGGCGGTATACCTGATAGATGCTGTCGAGGTGGTCGTCGGGCATGTCGAGGCCGAGGTTCTTGTTCATGTCCAGCAGTCGCTGCCTCGTGTCGAGCAGAGTTTTCTTGCTCATCTCGATGAGGTTCTGTTACACGCACGAGACATGGCGGCCGACGGTGAGCAGACTAAAGCTGCACAAGGCGGCACAGGCGAGAGTACCCGCTTCTCCGTGCACAGGGTGAGGCAGTCTTCCTTGAGCCGAGGAAGGTCTTCCTGAATGCGCTCCAGCCTCTGCATGAGCTTCATTGGATTAAGCTGCACACAAGAAGAAAAGGAAGAGTGAGAGGTTGAAGGTGCTGCGAATGGTCTCTGGGGAGTCGAGACGCACGTTGGGCTCGCCGGAGGCCTCAAACTTTTGAGCGTACTCGGTGCGCAAGAAGTGCAGCACTGGAGTTGAAGTGACGAACGCTTCAGTCAGGTAATGAAGTAGCAAATTGACATTTTGTGTAGTACGTACCATAGTTGAGATCCGTGGCGGCTTTTTCCAGCTGAACGCCAAAGACAAACGTGGGTGAGCAACGTTCACCAAGAAATCATGGCCCCAACAGGGAAGTACCTGCGATTGCGGATCCATTGCGCTCATCTTGCGTTGTGAAGCACTTTTGGCGGGAAAGAAACAGATGTGGTTGTCTCGTAAGTTTCTCTTTGTTTTCTTTGTTGAGAAATTGCAGAAGCTCTCTGCGCATTTTCTCATCCCCCATCTTCAACGCAGCTCCATTTCGCTGACGCAACCGACCTCTCCTCATACATCGTCTGCCGCCTCTTCTTCGCTTCCGTTTTCGTTCTACCTGTTGTAAATCATCATCACCCCTCCTCCACATCCAAAATTTAACTTTAATCGCTATCGATAATGAGTGGAAAGATTTTCACACCAGTCAATCAAGTGCGATTCACGAACGTCGCGGTAGTTCGACTTCAGAGGAGCGGCAAACGTTTCGAGATCGCCTGCTACAAGAACAAGGTCATCGAATGGAGAAAAAAGATCACGACCGATCTCGATGAGGTCCTGCAAACGCCCACCATCTTCACCAACGTGGGCAAGGGCGTCATCGCCAAGAAGGCCGAATTGTCCAAGGCCTTCAACACGACCGATCAGGAGAAGATCATCCAGATGATTCTCGATAAGGGCGAGATCCAGGTATCGACCGAGGAGCGCAAGCTGCAGCTCGACAATTCGTTCAAGGACATCGCGCAAATCGTCGTCGAGAAGTGCATCAATCCCGAGACGGGACGGCCGCTCACGGTGGGCATGGTCGAAAAGGCGATGAAGGACATACACTACTCGGTCAAGGCTGGGAAGAGTCCCAAGCAGCAAGCGCTCGACGTGATCCGTCTGCTGCGCGAGAAGTCCGATTTCCCCATCGCCCGCGCGCCCATGCGAATGAAGATGATCCTGCCCGAGGGCGACCTGGACAAGGTCAAGACCGAGCTCAAGGACGAGATCCAGAAGATCGAGCGCGAGGACAAGAACGGTGAGAGGCGGGAGGTCGTCATCCTCATCGATCCCAGCAACTTTCGGTTCGTCGAGGAGACCATCAAGAAGCAGACCAACGAGGCCGGCGCCGTCGAAGTCCTCACCCTCATCGTGCACTCCGAAGGCGAGTCCAACATCGAGTAGTGTACAAAACGCAAATAAATAGCCACACCTGCTCTCTCCTCCATTCACTCCTCTTCTTTTGCGCTGCCCCCGTGCTCCTTGGTTTAGGCCAAGAGCGCGTGTTGCGTGTCACGTCCCGATGCGTGTCGTGCGGTGTCGACACCAAAGTGTCAATGTTTGTTGCGTCGCTGCTGGCGTGCGCGCTGGCATGGCACGGCCTCCACGCCCCTTCATAAAGGGCTCCTCCATTCCTCGTTCTCATCATCAACTTCATCAACAAGCAACCAGCACCACTACTACTACAAACAAACCGAGATGGGCAACAAGCAGATGCAGGGTACCAGCGACAAGGGCAAGAAGAACGATCGCTACGCGGGCGAGATGAAGCACAACCAGGCGCACGGCCGGGGCAAGCTCGTCTACAGCGCCAAGGACAAGGAGGGCCGGGCCACGTACGAGGGCCACTTCGTCGCGGGCCACAAGCAGGGCGAGGGCATCATGACGTGGACCGACGGGCGCGTCTACATGGGCGGCTGGGTGGCCGACGACATCGAGGGCAAGGGCACCATGCTCTACGACGCCGACCGGTCGGCGCGGGCCTACGTGGGCGAGTGGGTGGCGGGCCAGCGCGACGGGATGGGGCGGATGACGTACGCGGCCGACGACGAGCACGGGCGGGTGAGCTACTTCGGCCCGTGGGCGGCCGACAAGCAGGAGGGCAACGGCCTCATGGAGTGGCGGAGCGGGGCCAAGTACCTGGGCGAGTGGCGGCGGGGCAAGAGGCACGGTCACGGCGTGTTCATGTTCCCCTCGGGCGACCAGCTCGTAAGCAGCCAGTGGTGCGACGGCCGGCCGCAGGGCGTCGTCAAGATGATCTACGCCGACGGCCACCAGTGCGACGGCTTCTGGCTCAACGCCGACACCTGGGAGAACACGCGCACCCTGGTCTTCAAGTCGCTCAGCGCCTGAACTCCGCGCCAGCCTCGAAGCTGCTTTTTGTGTGTGTGTCGTCAAGAGAGTCTTCAGACGCAAAGTGTAAATAGAAACGGTAAACCTTTTTCCCCCATTCAATCGACTTGCGGCGTCTCAGTGGCGACGATGATGGTGGCCGGCTTCAGAGTGATGATGATCATCATCCGGCCCTGCGTACTCCCGCTCCACAAACCGATTCATCCCTGCGCAGCGGCCAAGAGTGTCAATGTGTGCGCCGTGTTGTGTGTGTGTGTGTGTGTGTGTGTGGTGTGTGTGTGTGTGTCAAGGGCGAATAGACGAATCGGGGGCGTATGTACCCTTGAGGGCCTTGAGCCAGTCGTGAGTCTCCTCCTCGCCTCTATTCACAGTGACGATCGGGTAGGGAGACGCGCTGATCTCCACCGACCCGCCGCGCGCCAGCCTGTAGTGCCGCTGGCTATCCACCCACACGTTGGCCTCGTCTCTGCTGTGTTCCGAAAGCTGTCTCGCACGTCGGTGCATGTCGGTAGCGGTCAGGCATCGAACATTTGTCGGTGGCAAGGAGCGAAAGGGGCGAGTCATCGTGCTACGTACGCGCAACTTGAGTGTTGGGCCCTTGGGTAGGATGATGGGCCGGAACGGGAGGGTCCTCGTCGCTATCGGGGTCAACACAATTGCCTGCATGCAATGCGGTGTGTGTGCGGTGCGCTCGTTAGCGCTCCACTCCACCTGCGGCGAGAGTGGTGTTATTACCTGTAGTGATGGGTGGATGGCCGAGCCGCCGCAGGAATAGGAATAAGCAGTCGATCCCGTCGACGTGGCGGCCAGCATGCCGTCACCCTGCGCAGAAATTGAGGAAACGTGGTGAGGCGTCAAAATACAATAAAAACAAATAAAAATAAACAAATAAATATAAGAAGTGGGGCCGGAGACAGAGAGGCACGCACGGTGGATCGGCCGAGGTGGTGGTTGTCTACGAAGCAGTCGATGGTGGTGAGCCGGACGAAGTTGCCCTGCACCGCCACCTCGTTCATCACCTGGAAGACTGGACGCACGAGGAGAAGGTTCATTGATGAGTCTTTGATTGGTGCAGATGGTGCAGCACCACGACAAAAGCATAGACGAGAGATTGTGGCGAACCTTTGCCGTCGTAGGGTTGATCGCGCGCATTCAGTCGACAGCTGAGTCGCATGCGCGACGTCACGCTAAACCCTCCCTTCATCACGCGCTCAATCGCACCCTCCATCTCGTCTGGTCCTGTTACATGCACGCATTGCGGCCCGTCCACGCCGCGGTTCAATCTTTCATTCACGCACAGGCGTTCATGCATTCACTCATTCATTGCTCACGCCCACCACAGGAGCTTCAGAAGACGTACGGAATGGAGTGAGAAACCCGAGTGTGCCCTTGCAAAAGGCCAGGATCGGCGGGGCCTCCTGCACATGCGGCACAACAGTCATGACGACAGCGAATGTGTTGAGCGTCACAAGTTGAAGAAAGGTTGTCGCACAGTTTGGTGAATGGAATGCAATCAACCACGCAGCGGGGTGAAGTGCGTACGCCGTTGAAGAGTGAGGCCACATGAAGTATGGTGCCGTCTCCGCCGACGGCAATCACCAGGTCCACCACGGTCCCCAGTGCATGGCGATCGTCTGTATTGCAATCGAGTATGGAATAGCAGATTTGAGTGCGCTGATGAAGCCTCAAGGAGAAAGTGTGTGTGTGTGTGTGTGCGTGCGTGTGTGTGTGTGTGTGTAATGTGTGTGTAATGTGTGTGTGGTGTGTGTGTGTAATGTGTGTGTGGTGTGTGTGTGTGGTGTGTGGTGCGTGTGCGGCATGGTACCAGGGTGATACGTGGGTAGGTGCGGCAGTTCAACACCCGCTGATGGCTCGATCAACACTCGCGTACCCGGATAGTTGGCCAGCACGTGTCTTTGGTGGCAGCGAATGGTGAGTGGAACGAACGAATGCATGCATGACTGGTGCCTGCAGGCAGCAAAGAGGAGAGCGTACGTGGCCATCTTGTCCAGTAGCTCTGTGGTCTCGTCGTTCTTGTGCTTTTTGATCATGAGGATCGTTTTGGGCCGGTCTTCGCCCCAATCCAGTCGTAGATGCGGCGCACCCGCGCCAACCAACCCACCGGCATCCGCGGTCGTAACGCCTGCATTTCGTATCATTTAATAAAATAAATTAATCAATGAGATATGAATGCTGAGATTAAAGCAAGGAGGCACTCACTTTGTACAGAATCGATGCGCTGGCTGGATTTTTGAGGCAGAGTTGTCAAATCGACCACTTTTGAGCTTGAGTAGAGGCGGCCTGCCGATCTTCCATTCCCGATTTGCCTGGCGGCGCCACGGGCCAGCCGCTCTGCTCCCCACCGTGCAGCTGTTGCCGGAGCAAGGCCGGCACAACCATATAACGCCCGCGGTGTGAGCGAGGTGCACACCGTCTTCCTCATGCGATTTGTTACACAATCATGGGATCAAAAACCAACGTGCGAATTATAATATTGACGAACCCTCAACATGTTGCCTACACGGGACTCGAACCTGCGCTCCACATAAATTGGGGGGGCAGTTGCGGTGCCACATTGGCAGAGGAACCAACAGAGATAGACAAGTTCACACACAGATGCTCAACTGCAAAGAGAAGACCACACAGATCTCTGAACGTGATGCATTGATGGGTGCCACGGTGAACATGCCAGTGCCCAGCCTGCTGTGAGTTCTTAGCGGGTGCCGGGAGGACAGCCGCCACGGAGGCCTCGGCTGGGCTGGGCGCGAGCGACCAGCAGTCGCAGGGCGCTGGAGAGCTGGACGGGGTCGAGGTGTCCGTTGAATTCCTCGACCAGGCGCACGATCCTCCGCTGATCCGGTCCGGGGCTCTGCAGCATAACGAAGAGCCTGCGCGACTCCTCGTAGATGAGGAGTTCTGCAGCGCATACAGCATGATGAGAGTCAGGCACTCACGTCCGTGTGTGTCGTGAGTGTCGTGTGCGTCGTGTGTGTCGTGTGTGTCGTGTCGGATGTACACACCCATGCTGACGAGACTGTTGATCACCAACCAGATAGTGGCAACTTCCAGACCTGCACCGGAACGCCTGGCGCGCCGCACATAACAACACGAAGTGGTCACTACACGAGTCACTAGCGCGGCGTGTCTGGCGCGCATACCTGGAATTCTCCTCATCGTCATCAGACTCATCAGACTCATCGGACTCGGACGAGCTGTCCGATGAGGTGCTGTACGATCGCTGGATGACCGGGCCAGTACCAAAGAGCGGCCCGCCAGGCCCCGCAGTTGGCTGTGGTATCGGTGACGTGCCGCCGCCAAGACCAGCGAAGAACTCGAAACCGCCTTGAGGCGATGAGGCGGGCGCGGGTGACGCAGACCAAGGCAGGCCCGAAGCCGGTACCCAAGCGACGGGGGTGGTGTAAACCTCGCCCTGACCATCATCGTCATAATCATCACCATCACCGTCGACGTCCCCATCGCCCCAGTAGACCTCGTCGTCGGTGTCGCTGTGGTAGTCGTCCTCGAGGCCGGCCACCGCCATGTCGCCCGGGGTCGGAGTCAAGTGGCCGCCCGCCAGCAGGAGATCGGCGCGCTTCTTGAGCCGCTGGCGGTACGCCTCGAGCTCAGGCTGCGCCGAACCCGCGCCGAACGCATCGATTTTGGCTGCATTGCCCACCTGCCCTCACAATTAGCATTTGGCCGTGCGATGGCGACACCCCACAACACCGCACGCACATGGCACACACAGACGAGTACCAGCTTGGCCAGGAGGTAGGTCACTCGCTTGATTTGCCATTGGCTGAGCTCACTTGCCCACGAGGCATTTTGCCGCGTAATGAACTGCCAAAGGTAGCTGTCCTCGGGCACACGCATTAACTCTGCGTTCGAGCGATAAACACAAAAATACGATTTGTAAGAACCGCGAGTCAAATGCACTGGCATGTTCTGGCGGGCGACGCACGATGGTAGTCTTCGTCAGAAGCGGCCTCCATCCACGGATCGTTTGGGTGGAGACTGAACGCGACCGGACTGCAACGAACACGAGGTGCGTGGTGAGTCTCTGATGATATGGCCTCGGGTCAGCACCGGGTGGGGAGGGGAGCGAACTTACTTCAGTCGCGCAATGGTCATCCAGGTACACTTGGCCAGGGACACCAGACTGCCCGTGGCGCGGAGCAGCTCGGCGACGGTCAACGGGTCCAACTGCAAAAAAAAACACCGGGGTTGGTCACAACAGTGGACAGAAAGGACTAATAATGAGTTGGGCCAGCGCACCAGCATCGCGAGGCCGGGAGCACTCTGTTGCGCCATTGTGGCGAGATCGTCCTGCAGGATTGTGTCAGGCGGTGAGTTGGGCTTACAGTACTGATGGGAGGTATTCGGGTGTTGTTACGCACCTGAAGGCCAACGACTTCCTTTTGCGTATCCACGATGCGCTTGGCATGCGCGAGCATGCTCCTCTCTTCGGCCTGGCTGATGTCGCGCCCTGGAATGAATAATAAATAAAATAAATAAATAAAATAAAATAAACATGAGAGTGCTGGCCTGCTGCTATCAGAGCTCTGTGGCGTGGTTGGCGTACCGGAGGAGATGACCGAGGTGGCCAAGATGCTTCCCGCCAGCTTCTTGCTCCCCACGATCTCGCTCAACGCCTGGACAACGCCACCTCGCCACGCCGTGGTCACTGTCTTTCTCTTCCCTGTTGTTATGGGACGCACATGATTGGGTGAGTCGGCTCGGGCGCATCTAATGTGGTGACAGGATGATGGCACGGACCGAGGAGAAGAACAAGGCTCGGCCAACTGGTCGCCTCCGAGCGCCCCAAGTCGGCGGGGAGCAGGTCCTTCAGTTCGGGGAAGTGTTCGAGGTACCACTCCTGCAGCTGCTGGCCGAGGGCCTCGAGCGCACGCAACTGCTCTCCCAGCATCGCGCCCATGCGGATGATGCCATTCTGCGCAGCACACGCCCATTCAAGTGTTAATAGCGAAAGCGAAAGCGAAACCTAGAGAAAGAACGAAACCTCGTTGGTCTCCTGGACGAAGCGTAATTTTTCTCTGGCAGCGGCAAACGCTAGCGCCCTGTCGAAGAAAGCGGTGGTGAGATCGGGTCCGAAGATCACACATCAAGATGTGCGCAGACCTGCGTGCGGCGTCTGGGTTCCATGCCTGACGGTTTAGTTGCTCGTCCGCCACAACTAACCCACAGCGGCAATCGGTTAGTTACCGCCCCGCACACGAAGACTTTGTGGGCCGTACCACGCCGCCACCTCCGGCAAACGAGCTCCGCCTTGGCGAGACTCGCTTCGCTGGACAGGAAAGAGAACAGATGGAGCAGCACCTCGTCGGGCAGCCGCTCGAACTGGTCATCCTCCGCAGGCTTCGATGCCTGCGTTTGTTTGGTTGTGGCCACACACACACACACACACACCACACACACGCACACAACACACACACGCACACACACGCACACACACACACACACACACATACGGTCATCGCGTAAGGGACAAGCAAGAGCAGGCGCGCCGAGACAGAGATGGCATGCCGTACCAAGTGCGGAATGGGATAATTGTCGCCGATGGCGAGCTGGGATTCGAATCTCTGCAGCTCGATGAAGGCATCCAAGTGCTGGTAGATGCCACGCAGCACTTCCCGAGGCTCTTCATCAGACGCCAACACGAACCTAACATCACATACATAACCATGCACACGCACACGCAGCACCGCACACGCACACGCACACGCACACGCACACGCACACGCACACGCACACGCACACACAAAGCCACACGGCGCACACGCACAGGGCAGCCAGGGTCAGGCTTCTCTCCCTAGAGAGGACTGGCAAGGACGAGGGCAGTACGTTTGCGGGTCCTTGCGCTGAATGATCACGTTGGACGTTGTCACATAGGGTCGCGATCTGCGCTTGGTCTCTGTCGAAAGAAAAAACAGGAGTGGATGAGATGATATTTATAATAACAGCAGCGTAGAAATATATGAGCACATGTGCTACCTCGCTGCACGAACGCCACCAGTGCCAGGAATGCGTCCTCCTCATTTCCACCACCTAGAGCCATGGCGTTGTTAGCTTATGAAAAGGTTATGCCAATGGCAGACACCTGTCGGGTGACAAACGCACCGGACAGAAGGCGCTGATAGGCCAACGCCTGGTGCATGCTGCGAAATGGCTGGAACGCCACCAGACGCACCCTGCGCCGGAACTCCTGTGTGGGGAGTGTAAACAAAAAAAATGCCCAAAAATGCAGAGTGAATTACTTAGAGGAAAAATAAACGCGGGGGGGGAGCGTGCGTCGAAGGAGTGCGCAGCGCTGAGCCAGGTGAGCTGTGTCTGCCACACGACGGTGCTTACGCGGTGCAGGGCCTCTGGCTCGGCCTGACTGCCCCGGTCCTCAAACAGACACAAGCCATTTGCGGCCTCGGCCAGGAACAGTGTCGTCGTGTTGTCCATTGTGGAAGATAGTTCTGTTTGTTCTTCTTGTTGGCCGATACGAAATTATAATAATTTTCGATAATAAATTTGGTTTCTTCACTTCAGCCCCAAAACGAGTTTTTCTCAACTTTTTTAAATTCTCAGGATAATTTGGATTGGTCTGTTCGAGCTATTTTAAATGAATTAAACTGGTATTTGAGGCCTCACGCGAGGCGGGCACGCAACAATCAAATCAAATCGAGGCCAAATAATGACGAGCGTCCCCGACCTCACCCTGTTGGTATGTCTGACGATCTTTCTTCATCACTTTTCTAGTTTTTCTGATTTTAAACACAAACAATTGAAAATCAACTCAGGTGTACTATGGCGAAGGAAAGGAGGTTGAGGTCAAGGTACCGGCGGAGTTCACCGTCGACCGAGCCAAGGTACAGCTGCTTGTCGCTTTCGTTCTTTCTTTCGTTCTTTGCCCCCCCTTCTCTTTCTCTCCCTGACAACACGGAAGGTGGGCCGTGTGGCTTGGCTACGGCACCAGTTTTTCTCACTTCTTTTTGTTGTCGTGGTCATCACAACACGCAGAAAGCCATTTTGGCCAAGGTGCCCGAGTTTGCCGGAGCACAGACCAGCGAGTACCTGCTGTCAATCGCGGTACATACGCACTTTCCCGCCTTGACATGTATCTTTGGCATTTGTGTGCGTGTGTGTTGTGTGTGTCGTGTCGTGTACATGTCTCGTTTATTAGCGACACGAGTGTGATCGTCGAATGTGAACGGCAAAACAGTAACAACGGTTTGTTGGGGCAGGGTGCATTCCTGACGACAGAGTTCTCGAAGCTGGGCACGCTCGAGGTGGTGCGCGAGAGCGACCTCAGCCAGCCGATCAAGGTCAAGTTGCTCCGCCGAGTCAAAATCAGAGGCGGCATCGTCTCACCCCGGCCCGGCCACATCGCCACCACTTGGTAATTAATTACTTGCCCACCTTCTTCCCTCGGTGTGTGCGTGTGTGCGGTGGTGCGTGTGCATGTGCGTGTCGTTTGCTTACAGACTTTTGACTGGCTGCAGGGAGCCGGCCACCCAACCGAAAGCCTTTGCCGGGACTCCACGCAGACACAGCCACTCCACAGGTTCCCCCATCCACTCTATGCTATCGCGCACGGACACACTTACCTGAATGCGCGTGTCGTGTCGTGTCTTGTCGTGTGCGCCGTGTGCGTCGTTATGCGTCGTTGTGTCGTGTTTCTCACAGAACTGTCTCCGGTGACCGAGGAGTCGTTCGAGCACGAGGAGGCGCAGGAGCTCCGAATAGAGCTGGCGCACAGGGACAAGCTGATCGCGCAGCAGAAGCGGGAGCTGGACAACCTCGCGAGCTACAACGCCGAGCTCGTCCGCCTGCTCGAGGCCCACAGCATCCCCGTGCCCCCCGCCCCGCACACCACCGCGCCCGCCGCCGCCGCCCGTCCGCCAGATCAGGCCAGCGTCGACAAGAAGCACACCACAGTGCCAACGCTCACCACCACTGCCGCCGACCCACCCAAGCCAACACCTGTCGACAAGAAGAAGAGCGACGAGAAGCAGAAGAAGGAGAAGAATGCGGAGGAGAGCAACAGAGAAGAGAAGGAGGCCTCGAGCGAGGCGGGCGGCAAGCAGCGCAAGAGCGGTGGTGGAGGCGGTGGCTCGTCCAGGGCGCCCGAAGAGGCGGTGAGCGGCGGTCCGACCAGTCCCAAGACCAAGGAGGCCAAGGAGGCCGCCGCCGCCGGCGCGCCCACCAAGAAGAAGCAGAAGAGCAAGGAGAAGGACGAGAAGGAGAAGGAAAAGAAAGAGAAAGACAAAGAAAAGGAAACGAAGCGGAAGAAGAAGTTTACGTGGAAGTCGGCCGGGAAGAAGCAAGGCGCGGCGATGAAGGACGCTCTGGCGCGGGGCGACGTCGACGCCGAGGAGGTGACCGAGGAGCAGGCGCGCACGCCGCAGGCCGAGGCCGAGGCCCAGAAGCCAGAGCCCACTGTCGACAGCAGCAATGATGACGCCAGCGAAGTCCGCAAGCGCGACAGCGGAACGCTTCAGGATCCGGGTTCGACTCCGACCAAGGCCAAGGCCTCGGCGGTCGCGTCTCAAGTTGCGGCGCCGTCGCCGCCCCAGTCGCCGGCCGCCACAGCCAAGAGCCCGCATTCGCCGTTGATCGCTTCGCTCGCTTCGGAAGACTCCCGCGGAAACAAGCGCAACTCGCTGTCCAATATCTGGCGCAAGGGAAAGAAGGACCGGAGCGACAGCATCGGCAGCAGCCCGAGCCGGGAGCGGCGCGCCGAGTCGGTGCCGTCGGGCGCCACCAGCGAGGCCATGCCCTTCCCGGGCATCCGGTTCCACCAGACCACGTCGTCGCTGGAGGACCTCGTGGCCGCCGCGGGCGCCGATGACGACCAGCAGCCGCAGCCGGTCGCCGGCGTGAGCGCCGACCCGAGCGACCTGGTCGCCGCGACCGTGGGCGGCAGCGCGGCCAGCGCGATCGAAGAGAGCAGCACCAGGGAGGGACGAAGCGGCAGCGGCGGCGGGAGCGGCGTGTTCGGCAAGCGGAACAGCCGAGGGAAGAAGGCCGGCAAGGACAGCCGCGGCAGTGGCAGCGGCATTCGGTCGCCGAAGACCACTGAGAGTGTCGACAATAACAAGATCGAAGCGCCGGCGAAAGAGGAGACGGCCGTGGTCAGCGACGGCGAGAAGGCCTCTGAAGGAGCGGAGTCGGCGCCGCCGGCCAAGAGGGAGCGCAGCGAGTCGGCCAATGCGCGCCGGGGGACGATGGCCTTCTACGATGTGATGCGAGCGGGCGCCGAGAAGATGGTCGTGGCGGGCGATCTCGAGGCCACCTCGCCAAAGAACGAAAGCGAAGACGAAAAAAAGAATGAAAACGGTGACGCGAACGAGAACGGAGGAGTGGAAGCAGAACAAGAAAAGAAGGAAAACGCGGCCGTGCCGCCCACGGAAAACGGTGAAAACACAGGTGGCGCGGAGGAGGTCAAGAAGGTCGAGCGGAAACTCACGCCCGAGGAGCACGCGCAGAAGATCCGCGAGGAGTTCATCAAAACGGAGGAAAAGTACACGCAGAACCTCGACATTCTGCTCACGGTACCTTTGCCCGCTAATGAGTTAAATTCATGTTTAAGAATGCGCTGACGTCGTCACACGCGACGCACGCACGCACGCAACACAGCAATACATGACTCCGCTGAGACAAGCGGCGGCGGCTACGAACGAGGAGGAGCGGATCATCGCCACGAAGGAGGTGGAGAAGATCTTCTCGCGTGAGCTGAGCCTGCTGCAGACCATGCACTCGCACCTCCTCAAGGAGCTCAAGGTCTCCACCACCTCGAGCGAGTTCATCGACGCCTTCTTCTCCTTCGTCCCCTATCTCAAGGTGACGTCCTATCATCCGCGCTCGTGTGCGTGTTATGTGCGTGTGTGTGTGCGTGTGCGTGTGCGTGTGCGTGCGGTCGTGACGTGCGGTAGTTGCTGACGTGGGGTTGCGTTCGTTGACTCCAGACGTACACGGCCTACGTCAACAATTTCACGACCTCCAACAAGGCCCTGTCGGAGCTGATCAAGTCCAACGCCAAGCTCCAGAAGTTCATCCAGGACACCTACGAGCGCCTGAATGCGGAATTCGTGAAGGAGGCGGGCGAGGAGAAGATGTCGGACAACCAGACCCAGGTCGACCTGCGCGGTCTGCTCATCATGGTACGTGCCATTTATTCCTCGCATTCCGTATTTAATGGCGTGTAGTGCGATTTATTATTTATTTATTTTGTTTATATATTTCTGTTTTAGCCAATCCAACGATTGCCGCGCTACGAGCTCCTGTTGCGCGACTTGGCCAAACACACGACCGAGAGCGAAGATGAGAACGAGAAGCTGCAAAAGGTGCGTGACACGCGTGATCAGCCGCATTGTGCAATGCACAGACTCACACAGGGCCACAAACAACAAACAACAAACAACAACCACAACAGTTGTTGAAGGACGTGCAGAAGCTGAACCAGCACATCAACGAGGCCAAGCGAAAAGACGAGAACACCAACAAGCTGGTCGAGATCCAAAACGCGATCAAGACCAAGGGCGACAAGGTACTGCTGCTGCGCCTGCTTGCCTGCGATCATTCCCCCTCGCACACGCGTGGCCCTCACATCAACGACTCCCAATCCGCACTGCGTCAGGCCTTTACGCTGTTCGACCGCGTGGGCCGACAATTCGTGCGCGAGGGCAAGCTGGAGACGCGCGAACTACACACCGACCCCGCCAAGAAGATTCCCGGCTTCGCCAGGTATGCCAAACAGCCATCACATTCCTGCCATTCCGCTGCTCACCGGTCGTGTCGTGTCGTGTCGTGTCGTGTCGTGTCGTGTCGTGTCGTGTCGTGTCGTGTCGTGTCGTGTCGTTGGTCGTTGGTCGTTGGTCGTTGGTCGTGTCGTGTCGTTGGTCGCGTCGTTGGTCGTGTTGTGTCGGGCTGCAGGGGTTATGTGTTCCTGTTCGACGACCTGCTGGTGCTGACCAAGCCTGAAAAGGGCGGAGCGGATGCGCCGCGCACCTACGTCCTCGTGAAGGCCTACTCCCTGTCCGGCTACACCGCGTCGTCCCATTTCGAGCTCGCCTCGTGCGAAGGTGCGTGTGCCCGTGCCCGTGTGCCCGTGTGCGGTGTGTGCGTGTGCGCGTGCGATGGTGTTGACAGCTGACTGACCGGGTGACGACGGCGTAGTCGAGGAAAAGGAGAAGGAGCGAATCATTTCGCTTGTGCCCATCGAGAAGGAGGGCCGGGTCATCCAGCTCAAGGCGCACTCGGCGCCCGACCGACAGGTCTGGCTCGACGACGTTTCAAAGTACGATCGTGTCTCGTGTTGTTGCGTTGCGTGTGGTGCACGTGAACAAAGACACACGCAGACACTCATACCACTTCGCCCTCTTCTCTGTGTGTGCGTGTGTCGTGTGTCGTGTGTCGTGTGCGGTGGTGCGTGTGCAGACACATTCAGCACGCACTGCAGAGAGTCCTTGGCTCCACTCCCACCCCACCGGCCAACCGCAAAGGCAGCTGAACAGTGCATGTCATGGCAGGCGCGTGCATGGCGAGTGAAAAACAAGTCATGTATTTCTTCGATGCAACGACTCAGTTGGCGTAGCGGTACGACACGCGATAGCCCACACCCGACCAGTCCAGTACGCGCTCGAGCACCACCTCAAAGTAGCTGCCGTCAGCTGCGGGCGGCATCACCTTGAAGGTGACCGACACGCCGCTGTTGGGCACGAGCCCAACCGGTTGGCCGATGAAGGTGGAGGCGGGGTGGCCCTTGGGGAAGGTGGTCTCGGTCAGGGTCAGGGTCAGCACGGGCGGGAGCACGACCTCGGGGTCGATGAAGGGCGACACGTAGCCGAGCGGAGGGCCGAACCGGGGGCGGCCGGTGTCTGGCTCGATCCAGGCCTCGTGTCTGGTGAGGGAGATGAAGAGGTCGTCGCTTGTCATCTTCTGTACTTGGATGCCATCGGCCGGCTGGTTGTGCGGGATCGCATCCGGAGCCAAGGTGATGACATCGTTTTCATCAACTGACAGCACCCTGCACCCCATTGAACATTATGGCCATAATTAGTCATTTACTATTTGAGAAACACAAAGATATTAGTAATATACAAATGCCCATAAGAAGATGTGTGGATATTAATAATCTAATAACAAAAAATAATAAGATGGTGGCTGGTACCAGTAGGTGCCTTCACGAGCCACGACCGGACCTTCGTAGAAGGTCTGGTCGCCCACCTGGACCGACGCCGACAAACCCGCCAGTCCGCCGTTGTTGTGCAGCAGGAGGTCGCTGCGGGACGGGGCCTTGGAGAGGGAGCCCACGGCCCAGATCAAGTCTTCGTAGCGCTGGTCCGTCTGGGCGATGGTCTGGTTGCAGTAGAGGATGAACTCGACGGGTGCGGCCGTGATGTTATTCTGCACGACCGAGATCTTGAACTGGCACGACCCGAGCGCCACGAACAGGCTCAGGTGAAGAAGGAGAACTAGACATAGCACCGAGCTGATGAAGGAGGGAGGTGACATGTTGTGCTTGTGTCGTGTGCGGGAGGAACAGCGCGGGCCAAGATGAGATGTTGCGTCTCGCCCCGAAAGTTAAGTCCGGCCGGACAATGCAAGATGTCAAGTTAATCACTTGGTGTGGATCTATTGGGGGGTTCTAGCCAACGAAAGTTCTTCATGTCTGGCCAATGGAGGTGCAATTTGAGGTTGCACAACACACTCACACTCATGCTCCCAAAAAGATAGGGCTTTCCTAGGGCTGATGGTTGTTGATGAATGATATGTTTATTGTAAAAATTGAAACAGAGAAAAGAATGTTGTGGAAGAATGGTGGTGTACTTGAAAATGATAATGTGAATATGTGGATAAAAATGGTGAAGAGGGATCTCAAAATGGCTGGGGCAATGCGGCTGGCGATCAGGCCGGGCAGAAGAAGCCGGAGAAGGGCGCCTCGATCTGCTCGAAGCTAGAGCCGGCCAAGGTCGCCGCCACGATCGAACCCTCGACTTGCACATTTCTGCACAGAAACATGGAAATCAGTGAGCCGCACACGACACGACACACGCGACACACCAGCACGTACCCAAGGCTGAGGGTGGAGAAAGGCGCCAGCAGGGAGCCTCGGAACTGGATGTTGGTGAAGCCCACCGCGCCGGCGTCGCACACGTTCCAGATGAGGTTGGCCGCGGGCAGGCCGTTGAGGTTGATCACCGCGTTGGTGAGGTTGAAGCTGCCGTCGACCGCGCCGGCGACGTTGATGACCACCAGCGATGTGTTGACGTCGGCGCCGGGCAGCAGGTTGAAAGAGATCTGCGCAGCCCACACGATCGCCAAGTCAGTGTTGTGTGCGTTGAGTAAACATCATAGGAGTTAAAAAGCAAAGGCTCGGAGTTACCTGATTGGCGGTGGCCAGTGCGGAGGCGTTGATGGTGAACACGTTGGCCACTGGCACGCTCGAGCCGTTGACTCCGGTGGTGAAGCGCTGCTCGGTCTGGTTGAACGAGATCATACCGAACGCTTCCACGATGGCCGCTGTGCTGTTGGTGGTCTGGGCGCAGAGGGCGAGGCTGACGGATTCGAGGTCGAGCGAGGCCGCCTGGAAGTCGAGTCCGGCGATGGCGGTCACGTTGCCGGTCTGGCCCGCAGCCGCGGTGGCCGACAGCTCGGGCGCGCTCAGCACCTGACCGCCCACCACGAACGTGCCGCACTCCAGGCGGCCGTTGGTCGCATTGAGATCGCCGGCCACGATCAGCGTGAACAGCTCGGCCCCGCTCAGCTGCGAGCAGTTGAGCCCGAGCCCAATAGCGTAGCCGCTGAGCAGCGCGCTGCCGTTCACGGCCACGCGGCCGCCGAACATTCCATTGACGGCCGCCAGGTCGTTCGTGGTGGTCGCATTGCTACGGCCCACCAGGAAGGTGCCGAAGGGCTGGGCCTCGCCCAGCAGCGGAGTCGTGCAGTTGGTGCCGGGGCCGACCACCGCGCCCACCGCGGGCGACGGGACTGGCGAGCCGAAGATCGGCGGCGTGGGCGTGGGCGTGGCGGCAGCGGTCGGGCAGGGCGGCGGGAGCGAGGGGCAGGGCGGCGGCAGGCTCGGGCACACCGGGCACACGGGGCAGGTGAAGATCGGCGATGCCGAAGCCGAAGCCGAGGGCGAGGCGGAGACCTGCGGGGTGCTGACGATGGTGGGCAGCGGGGTGGCGGAGGCCGACGGCGACTGCGACGGCGACGACGAGGGCGAAGCACCGGCGGAGGGCGAGGCCGACGGGGTGGGCGAGCCGGAGGGGGTGGTGGACGGCGAGGCGCCGGCAGAGGGCGAGGCCGACGGGGTGACCGAGGCCGAGGGCGACTGCGAGGGCGAGGTGGAGGGGGTGACGGAGGGCGTGACCGAGGGCGAGGCGCCGGCCGACGGCGAGGTTGAGGGGGTGGCCGACACCGAGGGAGTGCCCGACGGTGAGGCCGAGGCCGAGGCGGTGGTCGACGGCGATGCCGAGATCGAAGCCGACGGGGAGACCGATGCGCTGGCGGAGGCCGAGGGCGAAAGCGAAGGGGAGGCCGAAGCCGAGGCCGAGGCCGATGCCGAGGGAGTCGCTGACGCGGATGCGTTTGGCGAGGCCGAGGCCGAGGGCAGGGTCGACGGCATCGGGCTCACCAGAATTGTGGGCGAGGCCGACGGCGCTGCCGACACTGATGCCGAGGGCGTGGCTGAGGCCGATGCGTTGGGCGAAGCCGAAACTGATGCCGAGGGAGTTGCTGAGGCCGACGCGTTGGGCGAGGCCGAAACGGAGGCTGAGGGCGTCGCTGAGGCCGACGCGTTGGGTGAAGCCGAGGCCGAGGGCGTCGCTGAAGCCGAGGCGTTGGGCGAAGCCGAAACGGAGGCTGAGGGCGTCGCTGAGGCCGACGCGTTGGGCGAGGCCGAGGCCGACGCGGTTGGCGAGGCCGAGACCGAGGGCGTGGCTGAGGCCGATGCGTTGGGCGAAGCCGAGGCCGAGGGTGACGCTGAAATCGAGGCGTTGGGCGAAGCAGAAACGGAGGCCGAGGGCGTCGCTGAGGCCGACGCGTTGGGCGAGGCCGAGGCAGAGGGCAGGGTCGACGGCATCGGGCTCACCAGAATTGTGGGCGAGGCCGACGGCGCTGCCGACACTGATGCCGAGGGGGTCGCTGAGACCGATGCGTTGGGCGAAGCCGAAACGGATGCCGAGGGCGTCGCTGAGGCCGACGCGTTGGGCGAGGCCGAAACGGAGGCTGAGGGCGTCGCTGAGGCCGAGGCGTTGGGCGAAGCCGAGGCCGATGCCGAGGGCGTCGCTGAAGCCGAGGCGTTGGGCGAAGCAGAAACGGAGGCCGAGGGCGTCGCTGAGGCCGACGCGTTGGGCGAGGCCGAGGCCGAGGGCAGGGTCGACGGCATCGGGCTTTGCAGGATCGTGGGTGAGGGCGATGTAGACGGCGAGGCCGACGTAGAGGGCGACGCGGAAGTGCTGGCCGTGGGGGACGCCGAGGCGGAGGGCGACCTCGAAGCCGACGGCGAGGCCGGAATTGACGAGGCGCTGGGCGAGGCCGAGGCAGTAGGCGACCGCGACGAAGACGGCGAGGCCGAGGCGGTGGGCGACCTCGAAGCCGACGGCGAGGCCGGAATCGACGAGGAGCTGGGCGAGGCCGAGGCGGTGGGTGACCGCGACGACGAAGGCGAGGCGGGCACGCTCGGCGAAGCCGAGGCCGACTTGCCGGGCTTGGGGCTGCGCGAGGCCGACGGTGAAGCCGGTGCGCTGCTGGCCGAGGCAGACGGCTGAGGAGTGTTGAAGATCGCGGAGGGCGACGGTGATGCTGGAGCGCTGCTGGCAGAGGCCGACGGTGAGGCCGGGGCGCTGCTGGCCGAGGCCGACGGTGATGCCGGAGCGCTGCTGGCCGAGGCCGACGGTGATGTCGGGGCGCTGCTGGCCGATGGCGAGGCGGGAGCACTGCTGGCTGAGGCCGAGGGCTGCGGGGTGTTGACGATGGTGGGCGAGGGGCTGGGCTTCCACCAGCCTCCGAAGATACTGAAGCCGTCGTCCTGCGCAGCTGCAGAGGAGGAAGAAGAGAATCAGAAGGGATGACTGGAGAAGGTGGCAAGTGGTGGTGGTCGTACCAGCGGAGGTCATCCACACGCTCAGCAAAAGTACGGCCACTGCCAGTGCCCCGGGTCGGGGAACAGAGGAGAGTTGCATGCTGTTAGTAGGGGGGTGGATATGGTTGCAGTTGGTGTTGGCTCTTGTGTGTGTTTGTGGCTGAGCTTGGTTGCTTGATGAAGTTAAACCCACGCTGGTGCTGCCCATTTAATACCTGACCGGGCCGACCCTTCTGAGAGAGCACGCCCAGAGGTTGCTAGTTCGCCTTTCGGACACATTCCGTGCGCCCTGTTGCTAGGAGCTCTCCCCTCAGATCACCTATCGCAAGCGGGCAGCTCCGTTCTCCCTGCCGAGTACTACTACCCAGGCCGGGTGAGTCACCAGAAATGAGCCAGCCCTGTAACCCGTCATGTCGACAAAATTGTTTTTAAAAATAAAGATTGGCGTGTGGTGGTTGCTTTCAGGGCCTCTGCTCATCTTCCGTTTCTTCTACCGGCTGTCTTTCTGTTGTTAGTTACCAAAAAACACAAATGGTCAGTCAAACACTCGCTCTTGAAAGACAAGCTTGCTTCGACGTGTAGTACCTCTAGTAAACGGCTGCTCGTTGCAAAAGGCTATGGGAGGTTTGGGTCTCTTCCGAGCGTGCTGGACAACTCGCTTGGTTGCTTTGGGCCGACCTTCGTGGTCGCGCTTTCTCTCCGAGGGACCTTCTTGGGTGAGCTCGATCTCCCTCTTCCTCTTCTTTTCGCCGCTTGGCTTGTTGACCGGCTGTTCCTCTTCGAAGTCTTCGTTCTCGGCTTCGTCTTCGTTCTTTGACTTCGTCTGCTGGCTCGCTTTTGTCTTGGTCAATGTGGCCTTGGCCTTCGTCTTCTTCGGCTTGGCGCTGCGGAGGGGTGTGGCGGAATTGACGGAGCCGGCTTGCTTCTTCGTCTCCTTCGTCGTCGTCGTCGTCTTCCCCTTCTTGCCTTTCCCTGCAATTGGTTGCTCCTTCTCGTTCGCTTGCAATTTGCCCTTCGTCTTGGGCTTCGTTACCGCCTTCTTCTCTTTCTTACCCTTCGTGATCCGCGTGCCGTCGGTCTCGGTGTCCTCGGCGTTGACCAGCGAGCGGGTGGCCTTGTCAACACGGTGATGGAAGGAGAACCAGTACACCATGTAGCCGCTGATGTTGTTGAGCAGCAGGTACCTTGAACCACACAACACACGACACATCGGTAGCCGGTGATGCACAAGAAACGAGTCAGTGACGCACGCATGTAAATGATAACGGAGCAGCGCGTACTTGATATAGGCAGCATCGGAATGCTTGTAGCCCAAGCGCATGAGCTTCAGCTCTTCGGCGTTGTAGGGCTGCTTGGCTGACCTGCTCACCTTCCTCATCAGTTCATGGCGCGCGTGCGGCGAAAGGGGCTCCTCCCAGAAGGCGTCGTCGGTGACGGGGTGGAATCCAGCGACTGCCTCCAAGTTGTACAGCACCACCTGCACCGCACGTAGCCGTTTTAGTCGTGACACATACACACACACACACACACGCACAAACACACCTGGTATCGGATGGGCGAGATCATGTGCGTGGACTTGTGGAATCCGGACAGACGGTCGTGGTAGCCTTTCGCGCAGGTGAGACTGTTCCACAGGGCCACCTGGCCCACGTGCTGCGACTTGGCTTTGGTGATCTGCTGGACCATCTGGGCCGCCCGACCGAGGTTGCGCTCCTCCAGCTCGCGGATCAGGCAGGTCGGGTCGCGGGCGACCTGCTCTAGTAGTCGGGAGACCGCGATCTGGTCTACCAGCCTGGCTTGATCGTCCGCGTCTAGCTCTTCATTCTGGTAGATGATGCGGTTGTAGGCAGCCTTGATGCCTAAGAGCGCCTCGGAGCGCTGGCGCACCGACTCCGTGTCGGAAGGGAAGAGTTCGGCGTCCATCGTCAGCTGAAGGAAGAGCAGAGCGCGGGCTGTGCTGCTCGTATGCTGTATCGAACCACGGATGTAGATGGCCGGATCGTACTCGTGGAATTCGCTGATGTCGTCGTCCACCATGAAGAACCTTGAACCAAAGTGAAATTAGTGTCAATTGGACTAAAATAATTCAAGACGTCAGATTAAGAACCAAAAGAGTAGGGGGGAACCTGGAGAGGCGCCATTGCTCTGCAAGGAGCAGGAACAAGGTACGAATGCGTCCGATGCCAAGTTCGCTGTCGGGCAGCGATATGAAGATCAGCCCCGGATTGGCGTCGGCCGGAAACCAGCTTTGGTAGCGCGGAAGTTCTCTACTGGGCACCGCGCAGAAGATGATGTAGGAGAGCAGCGGATGGAGCTTGAGCTTGTCGGCAAGCAGATTGGGCCGCCAGTGCGAACTTTCTTCGCGGAGCGGTGTGGCGCGGTCCTGTTTTTGTGTTGTTTGTTATCGTTAACGGATTGTAGGGAGTGGTGGAAGAGGTGCAGGGGAGAGGGACATACCTCGGAGGAGATAAAGATGGGGTAGAGACCACGTTGCCCGTCCTTGCTAAGCGCCGCCCTTTGGATCACTCTGCCTAGTGCGTCACGGAGCCAGGCCGGCTGCTCGACCGTAATGATCTTCAGGGTCCGGTCCAAGCTGATGGTGACTTGGTTCGTCTCGGCGGAGACGAGCCTGACGGCGTTGGCCAGGTCGCTCCTCTGTTTCCCCTCGCTGAGCAGGGGGTCGAGTACGTTCTTCCCACGAGTCACGAACTCCTCCTGCATCCGGGCGTAGTTGCGGTCGATGCAGGCCTGCAGGTTCTCCGGCGGCTCGGAGAAGACGCCATACTCGGCCTTCCTCTTAGTCTTCTTGCCCGTCGTCGGGATTCGGCCTCGAGGAGGAAAGCTGTACATCTGGCCGTCGACACCGTACAGCTTCGGTTCGGGGAACGGGCTGTCGAGGGGCTTGTCTCTCCGCACGCTCACCTTCTTGTCGCACGCCACAAGTGCGCGAAGGTCCTTCTCGCAAGACTGAATCTGAGGAGGGACAACAACAACGAAACGAGCATGTGAGTGTGTGCGTGCGTGCGTGCGTGCGTGCGTGCGTGCGTGCGTGCGTGCGTGCGTGCGTGCGTGTGCGGTGGGTGTGTTACCGTGCACATGTGGTTGCTCCATATGGCAGAGGCCGGCAGGTAGGAGTCATCGAAAAGGTCGAACTCGTTGAGAAATCGCTCAAGGGTTGGCGTGTCCAAGGGGACGCTGGCCCCTTTGCCCCAGAGATGCTTGAGCTCCAGCTTGAGCTCCCGCAGCACCTTGGCCAGCTTGCTCGACGGCCTGGCCACCTTGATCGTTTCCGGCCAGCCGATCCACCTGATGAGCTCGTGGTGCAGGTGGCCGGCCCGTATGAGGTGAACCAGTTGCTTGAGCTACGGGACTCGTCGAGCAGCAGCTGCAACTTCTGCTTGGAGTCGTAGCCGTATTGTTCGCGAATGTCCTCCTTGGTCCGGAACAGGAGGCACCGGGCCTCGGTCACGATCTGGACGAAGACCCCAACCGCATTGGGGATCGATATGCGCGGGCGTACGGAGGGCGCGCTCTCTCCGGAGGTCGAGGGTGGTGGTAGACGATCGGTCGAAACGAACTGCGAAGTGATGTCGGGGTTCAGGTTGAACGATGCGGAAAACAGCTCGCGCAGGTCGTGCAGGGCCGAGTTGCTGCGGAAGTACGCGATCGTCTTCTCGAACGTATCCCTGACTTCGGCGATTCTGGCGGGCGGAAGCTCCTGCGGGAGCTTGTCCGGGCGGTCGTCCTTGAGGTTGCCTATGAAGACGATGCGAGGGAGCGGATCCAGGCGAAAGGCCCCGCATTGGTGGAGGCGGTGTACGGTGTCGGGTTCCTGGTAGTGAGGCCCAGGAAGATCACCTGCGTCCCCACCAGCGCCGAGCTGATCGTCTTGGCCAAGCGAGGGACCTTCTCGTCGGGGTAGCCAGGAAGCTGTCATGTCACGCGACAACAAGCATCAGCCCCACGAGCAGCAAACACCAAGTGTGTCGTGTGTGTCGTGTGCTGTGTGTAGAGGGACGTACATCCAACAGCTCCACGCTAAGATCGCGGAGGACCGGAAAGTTGTACTCGACCACCACCATTTGCAACTCGGCGTCGTTGTCAGCGGACGAAAGGACATCGTTGATCTTGTCGGGTAGTTCTTCGAAAGTGGCTTCAGCGAGGTCGCAGCTGACGGTCTCCTTCCCGCTCATGTCCTTGATCTTGATGCAGGGACCTGTAGCCGGAAGACGGAAGAGGACCGGCTTCTGGGTCACACCCTGACCGCTGCTGGCGGCGGACTTCTGGATGTTGGGAGTGCTGCAGTGCATCGGATCCTCGCCCAGAAGGAGGTAATTGAGGAGGTAGGATTTGCCGAAGCCCGGCTCGGCAAAGAAGGCGCAGCGCAATGTCGGCTTCGTCGCCTGCGCCAGGTGCTCGTGAATGCTGTTTTTCAGCTTGCTTAGCACGTCTTCTCTAAAAAATGCAAACGTAAGCTGCTGGCCATTGCGACAGGTCGAGAGACCATGACGAAATAAGAGTACCAAATTTTTGGTCTTGATCTCGGCCGACCCCAAAATCAGCTTGTCGATCAGTTCGGCTGTTGTGTTGAGAGCTTTGCTCATTGGAGTGTCCAGCTTGAGCACGTTGGGCTTGCCTTGAAAATTGAACGTTGTTGTTGTTGTTGTTGTGTGTGTGGTGTGTGTGGTGTGTGTGGTGTGTGTGGTGTGTGTCAGAGGATAGGCCAATAGCAGGCAAGTGAGAGTTGACGCACTGTCGATAGAGTCGTTAATCGCAGTGAGCGCAGGTGCGGAGTTGTCGTTAACATAGGCGAACGCGATAACCTTGCCGAGACCGCCGCACGGCTGAAAGAGCTCTGGCGCGCCGTTGCCGGAGAAGAGGAGCACCCCCAACTGGAACACCTCCATCGCAGCGACCACGACCAGACCGAGAGAATGTACCGCGTCCGGGTTACGCCGGAGCTCGGCCAGGTGCTCGCGCCACTGTGCGCCGTCGAGGCCTGGCTTCCCGTCCATCGCCACCAGGTTTTTCTCCGTCGTCGGGTGTCGGTAGGTGCGAGCCGACGAGAGGCGCGCGAAGAGGGCTTCTTTGACCTTCTCCACGTCCTGCTCATCGCCGTAGACGTGCGAGGAGACCAGGCCGTAGAAGTGGTCGATCGGGCTGAGCCCCCGTCGAACTACTGCCCGAGGCCGTCGCGAGCTTGGTTCGTGCGCGGTGTTGAAATCTCGGACCCAATGCGAGACGACCGAGGAGGGTGCGGTGGGCGCCGCTAAGCGCTCGAAGAGGTGGTTGAGTGGCGTCTCGGCCTGTCGCAACGCCACCTCAAAGAGGGACTTGCCTGCAAAGTCCAGCAAGTTGCCGTTAGTTCTCCATAATGAGTGACAATGGGCAAGGGGCAAACCTGAGGCCTCAGACACCGGTGCTTGCATCAGGCTGGTTTGGCTTCCACAACGTCTCTCTCGCGCCTTGCTTTTGAGTGTGTGGCTGGTTACCGGCGGTGAGGGCAATTTAATCTTAGTCAAAGTTAACTCACTTCCCAAAGATACGACATACGTGCAACGCAATTTATTGGCCAGCTTGCAACCAGCCGACCGCGAGTAGCCCGTGCGTCACGCTGGCGCAGAGTGGTGACGAATGAATTGGATTAGAATCCATACGTTGGCGCTGAAGAAGGCAAGGGAGGCGAGCCAGATTGCAGAGAAGGTGTTCTCGCCCTCGAACTCCAGGTAGTAGGCGTTGCTCAACCACATCGCCTGGCGAACGTTGGCACATTCGTTGGGAGTAGTGAGGCACGGTGAACAGGTGCAGGTGGTGAGAACGAACCTGGGTGCCCATCCAAAGGGCAAAGAGGAAGACAAGCTGTAGGAGGCTCATCGACGATCTGTACAGCGCCAGCGGCAGGAGCGAGAAGTACCAGATAAAGTACTAATACACCCAGAGGTTAGAATAGTGCAATTGCCGTGTGTGGTGCGTGTGTGTGTGTGCGTGTGCGGCCGCGTGATCGCACCTGAGATGTACAGACTTTAAGGAAGGAGACGAACGTGAACGTCTGCAGGAATAGGCACAGCGCCAGGTCTCGTGCAGCGCCACTCAGCGCGTAGCGGAAGGAGAAGGAGAGCAGTAGCACCACCTGCGGCAGGAACGCCAGCAGGCCGATCGCCCGGGACGATGCCAGCAGCGAAGACGCAAGCGTCGACACCAGCGACCCATCGCCATCACCGACTAACGTGTGTTCGACCTGCGGCGACGAGGCAGACGAAGAGAGCAGGTAGAGGTGGTAGAAGTAGGGCGAGAAGTTGTGGCGGTGGTCGGTGCGGGTGATGTGATAGAGGTAGGTGTGGTAGAGAAACGGGAACGAGTAGACGGCGTAGAGCGCGAGCGAGAGCAGCACGAAGGTCCCACCGCTGACGAGAGTGAAGACCACCTGCTCCCTGGTGATGCGGAAGAGGTCGACAAAGGCCGAGATGAACGTGTCCTCCTGCTTCTTGCCGGATCGCTTTTGTTGGTGGCCCCGTTGGTGGTGGTACTTGACGAAGAGGACCAGTGGCAGCGCGTAGATGATCGGATAGATCTTGAAGTGCACCGACAGGCCATAGCTGCATACACACTTGTTAGGTGTGTATCGTGTGTGCCGTGTGTGTCGCGTATGTGGCGCGTACAGGATGGCGCCGAGGATGAGCCTCTTCGTCAACAGGCAGTAGAGGGCGGCGACGACCAGGAGGCCGATGAGCGACTCGGCATTGCCGCGCGTGGAGATGACGATCGAGAAGGGGTTGAAGAGCCACACACACGCCCACACGATTGCTTCCTCTTGCCCTGCAGCAACCACAGCCTCCGCCTTCTTCGTGCCCTTCGTCGTCGTCGACTTTGGTTTTGTTGTAGACTTGCCCGCAGCTGGCGCGATTGTGGGCTTGGCTTGGTCATTGAGGAGAGGGACCAGGAGGTAGATGAGCGCGCCGATGGCCACATCGCCGGCGGCGAAGAGGAGCTTCCCGAACACCGGATGGAGATAGATGTTGGGCGTCATCAGCCACGCCCTACAATGGTAGGGTTGCTTTCAACGTGAGAGCTCACGTAAAGGCATGTGGGCTGTGCCTTTGCGGAGGTGCGTACGTACAAAAGAGGAGTGTAGCGATAGGTGCTTCGGTCATAGGGGCTGCCTCCCTCGGTGATGAACCGGGCGGCATCGGTGAATACCATGTAGTCGATGTCCGTGTACTTCACCACCACTGCACGCAAACCCGTCCACACGGCCGTCGTGAGTGACGTCGCTTTGCAGAAAAAAACAAATAAAAATAAAGAAAAAAGGTAGGAGGGTACTAGTGCGGTCCTGCCACTCGCCGTAGCCGATCAGCACAAGGCGCACCACGAATGCCCCCACGAACACCCACCAGGGATGTCGCCCCGCCAACCCTACGACCGGCTTCAGCAGTCCTGCCCCCTCCATCCGAAACAACAAAATGCTGCGCGTGACTCAACACGATTTCTTTTTCAACAGCTGAAAGGAAATTGGTTTTCTCTTGAGTTTTGGGGTTCGCGCCAAAACGAGGAAGAAGCAAACCCACAACACCAACGCAAGATGAGGATCGTGATTCGCTCTGAGGGCAAGGCGGCCGAGTGGAACCTGATAGAGATGCAAGGCGAGCTCTTCGTGCCGGAGGGGACGTATGATGGCAAGGAAATCGGCAAGTTGTCGGAACGCGATGGAGTACGAAACAAGATGACTGCCTCTCACCTGCAATGTAAACTCATCTTCGGTCTTTCATTGCAGGTTCCCATCCTTATTATTGGAAATCACTACCTGGAGGGCAAGCGAGTTGCATTGAAGAAGCCGCTCGCAATTCTCAACAAGGACGAGACAGCTGCAGCTTCGATGGAGCTTGACACCGATCAGTCGCAGGCCGTAGACTACCGACTTGCGGGTGTCATCAAGTTCAAGTACATCTTCAAGAATCGCCCCAAGCCACTCTAGACGGCCGATTTGTACGCCTCCCATCTTGTACATAAAATAAATCAGCAAATTCATCGCAGCAGAAAATGGCGCGAAAACAACAACGCAGGCCAAACGAAGAAGTCAGTGGCGCCGCACACGCGTACGATCGCACACACTCACGAACGTAATCAATGCGCATGTGTCCGCAACGCGTCAGGTGCTCTCTACGAAGCCGCTGCTGAATGCGCAGACGACGTACACCACGTCGATGGCGCCCTACAACGGGACCTACACCACCTTCATGCGCGTGTGCCCACCGCCCTGCACACTCCACCGTCCCTGGTCCTCGTCTTGGCCGTTCTGATTCGGTGCTACTCATGAAACGTTGGTGGTCGCGTAGTCGAGCAAGCCATGAAAACGATCATCATCTTTCTTGACTTGCCAAGGCGCGTTACCTTTCGGCCCTCGGAAACTAAAGACAACGGCACAACGCGTTCACAGGAACCCACAAAAGAAGCTTCAGAAAAAGGCCGGTCGTCAGACAAAACCAAACCAAAGAAGAAGAGGGGCAGAGATGGATGCACAGCACAACCATATACCGCCGGAGCCTGACCCCGGGGCTGCCCCAAAGGTCGTGGCCCGAGCCTGCAACTTTTGCCGTGCGGCTCACATCTCCTGCGAAACGTACCCCCCCGGCCATCAATCAATGCATGAATGCAGTATCGATGATTCAGTAGAGGAAGACAATAGATTTATTTGTGTCTGGACTATATGTCACACAGCGCGCGGCCGTGCCAGAGGTGTGTGCGGCTCGGCCGGGGCGAGTGGTGCTGCGACGTGCCGGCCAACAAGCGGGGCCGCCCGCCCATCCACGGGCGCCGCTCGGCCCAGTACCAGGAGCAGCAGCGACAGAAGAGGAAGAAGCAGAAGATGCAACAGCAGCCACAGCAGCCGCAGCCGCAGCCGCAACTCCAGACCCCCAAACTGGAACCACATGACAACGACCAACAGCCCGACGACGGCATAGGCCGTGCTGCACGCGCCCCTCCCGAGCCGCCGCTTAGCCTACGCCCGTCTCCAGCACCAGCACCAACACCAGTACCGCCAGCACCAGCTTCGTCGTCACAACTATCGCCACCCCCGCTGCCGTGGTCGTCTTCATCGTCATCTTCTTCGTTCTTTCAAGCCACCAACACCAAGCTCGAGGCCTTCTTTTCGGCCCTGCCGGCGACGGCGACGTCAGCCACGTCAGCAACAATGACAACGACAACGACAACGACAACGAAGCGGTCACCGTCGCCGTCGCCGCCATCATCGTCGTCTTCGTCGTTCTCGCTCGCGCCGCAGCCCACGTCTCCGCGTCAGCTGCCGTTACCGGCGGGGAACGGCGGCGCCAGCGGCAGAGAACAGCTGGCGGCGCTGGTGGCGCAGCTGATGGCCGAGGTGCGCACCCTGCGCGAGGCCAACGAGTCGCTACATCGCGACAACGAGACCCTGCGGCGGCGGCTCGACGCCCTCGAGTCCCAGCAGGCCGCGCACGCCCATCGCGTCGACTCACTCCTCGAGTTCGGCGCCGCACGACACGCGTCGTTGCGTAGCGACCACAACAACCACCACGGCGCGCCGCGGCTCCAGGGCCAGACCACGACGCCGTTCGTGACCTGCGCCCACGGGCTCGAGGGCGCATGGAGCCACCTCCTCTTCACCCCGCCGGCGTCGACAACAATGCCGACGTCATCGGCCTCGTCGCGGTCGCCGCTGTCGCCGCGGTCGTCGTTCTCGTCGTCGTCGACCGAGTCGCTGTCGCCGCGGTCGTCGTTCTCGCTCGAGCGGTCGGTGCTGCAGTCGAGCCTGGTGGCCTCGCAGCAGGCGCTCGACGAGATGCAGCGACACGTCCCGCTCCTCCGGCATTACTACGTCGCCCCGAAGGACTTTGCCGTGCAAGACATCAGGTAACCGCACGCACGCGCGCACACACGCACGCACACGTGACGGTAACTAACGCGGTCACGTGTGAAGGTATCCGGTGTACGTGCTGGCGCCTACACTGGGCGGAAATAGCGCGTGTCCCGTGATCAAGTGGGTCAACGAAGCCTTCGTCAGTCTCAGCGGCTACACCATGGTACGCCCTGTTATATATGCGTGTGTTATACATTTTTGTTTTTATTTTTGCTATTTGTTATGCTTTGATTGTATTGATTTTATTTTATTTGTTTTGTGTTTGATTTGGTTTATTTTTGCTAATTTGCGGTTGGTTGGATTACAGGACAAGCTGATAGGGATGCCTCTCTCAAAGCTGTTCTCTTCGCAGAAGAGCCAGACTGCGCAGCTGGCCGCCAGCATATTCAACCAGTACGCGCCAGCAGGCCTCGCTTGCCCTTTTCATCCAACTCTGACCTGCGTCTCGTGCTGTTTTCGCGCGCGTGTGCGTGTTGTGTGTGTCGTGTCGTGTCGTGTTGCTCTGGCCAGATGTCCGATGAGTGTTAGCGGGACGTTTGCTCTGCATCCGCTCTTGCGGCAGCGCAACGGGTGCACGGTGCGAATCGACGAAGTCAACCAATTCTTCTACGGCCAACACGGCGCTGTACGTATGCGGATCTCGTTTGACAACACACACACACTCACGACCTGACCACCGTGGTTTTCTTGGTGCCTGCAGGTGTCGTTCAGTGTGACGTGCATTCTGGGCTGGCAGGCAGACTCGTTGCGCCCGGACGAGCAGTTCGGCCAGTGGCTGCCTCAATTGCTGCGCCTCACGTGATCCTCGCACCGAGAAGTTTGTCCATGACCAAACATGATCTTCTTGTACAGACCCTTGACATGTTTGTGTGATATTCAGTGTGGGAGCAGGGAATTGGTGGGTACAGCGTCCAACTGAGGCTGTGATCACAACCCAAATCCACAGAAGGTGTGGCTTCTGATTGCAACCAACTGCAAAGGCGGCACAACTGCAGAAACATGTCTGGCGTGGGTCAGCGCACCACATGGGGGTATTAAACCAACCAGATGTAAGTGTGCCTGTGGTTGGCTCTCGCAACCCAATCCAGCCAGAGAAGAGTAAAAATTAGCTTTGTACGGGCCAATCATCGTCCGGGTGAACGACAAGTCACTTAAAGTGTGGCGCGATCAGTTATTGACTTACCTTCACCCCAATGCGCACCTTCCACTACACCCTCGGCCTGGGCCTAGCCCTGGCCCTCCTCCTGGTGGCGGCCTTGACTGTGCAGGCCCAGTCGGGCGTGCCCGGCACCGTGCTACTCGACGACTACCCCGGCGCGACCGACGACGACAAGCTCACGGCTGCGCTGGCCGACGTCAAGACCAAGACCTACATCCCGGCCATCTTGCTCAGCGGCCGCACCTACACCTTCACCAAGACCCAGACGCGCGTTCAGCGGACTTAAAATCGTGGGTCCTCCAGCCGGCTATTTTAACTCCGAGCTCTCCAGCGGCCACTTCAACAGCGTCAAGGTATCATCATCGCACCTTCTTGAGGAGTGATTCTATGGGAAAGGCTATGGGCGGTTTTATTGATTTTTATTTTTTTATTGGCTGCTTTTGATAGGTCAACTTGAACGTCGGTACGGGAGTGAACTCGTGGTTCGTGGGAACAGCTACGACCTACGACGTCTACATCGCGCGCATCGGCTTCGCCTCGTCCAACGGCAACTCGCAGTTCTGGCACCACCCACTCAGCGCCGGCACCATCTACGCCTCGACCTTCGAGACGCTCGGCTTCTTCGGTTTCAAGTACGTCTTCGGCAACCCCACCGAAAAGTGCGCCATCACCCAGGTACACCACTACCACCTCATCATCTCCACCTCGTCACCACCGTCGTCGTCATCTTCATGATCAACACCTTGATTGACCACCTGTGTGTCATCAGGTCAACTTTGTGGGCCAGTGGACGGCGGTGCCGTCGCTGGACACGGCCTTCACGCTCGGCGGATCAGACAACGAGCTGTGGACCTCCGGCTACCTCAACATCGGCGGCGGATCGGTATGTGCCACCACTTTCAGTCTTTTTAAGGTGGCTGCTTAGCTAAGAATTCAAAATCAATTTCAAAAATAAAAACAGCAAGCGAACCAACGGGCGGTACCTGCTGCGTTTCGAAAGCCTGAGCAAGACCAACGTGGGTCCCATCTACGTGACGGCGCACAACGGCTGGTCGGGCCTCCTCGTCACCGGCTCCGACTCAAACGGCCCTGGCCTCGTCATCAACGGCGCCCGCTTCGAAGGGTATGGTGCATCATCACACCACACACACCGCACACTCGCATCACTCATTTTTCGTGTGTGTCGTGTGGTGTGTCGAAAAATACAGAATGAACGCGAACGACCCGTCCAGCGGTGCCGTAGTGGTGCAGAAGGGCGGAAAGACCATCTACCGCGACGTCTGGATCGCCTACGGCATGACCAACCCCACCGCCAACGGCCACACTCCCGTCGATCAGGTACGCCCCAGTCGGCTTCGCACTGTTTCACATCGCGTGGGCTCACACGTGTGCGGTGTGCGGGGTGTGCGGTGTGTGCGTGTGCGTGTGCGTGTGCGGTGTCAAACGAAAGGGCATGATTATGCACACGGGCGGCGAGGCGCTGTGGGACGGCATCAACTACGATCGCGCCACCGGCGTGTCGCAGGCCGTGCCGCTCATCTACGCCAGCGGCGGCAAGGTGCGCGTGCGCAACACCTTCACCGCGGCCAAGGGCGGCGTGTGGACCGCGTTGCCCATCGTCAAGAGGGCCGGCTCCGCCGTCTACAACCTCGACGACACAGTCACCGAGACCATCTAAAATTGATAAAGAAAAAGAGATTATTTTTATTTATTTTGCTTTTATTGTGCTTCTTCCAATTCTACGTCGGACGATGCGAAGTTGACCACTCCGCCCGGCGAGGCCATTTGCCGTCGTTTCCACACGGCCACGGCGATGGCGGCTACCACCACCACGACCACGAGCAGGACCGCCACGCCCACCAGCACCGGCACGAGCACCTTCACCAGAATGTCATCACTCTCACCATCTTCGCCTCCTCTCCCTGCATCAAGCACCGTTTCAAACTCAGTGCGTGTGCAGTGTGCGTGTGCGTGTGCGGTGTGTGCGGTCGTGCGTGTGCGTGTGCGGTACCTGGCAAGAGCATGCCAAAGTGCGGGTCGTAGTTGACCAGGTCGAACGTGCCGGCGAACTTGAGCACCAGAAGATAGCCGCGCGGGTCATCGGGGAGCGGGGCCAGCGTGTAGTTGAAGGCCGACCCGTTGCGCGAGCTGAACACCGCAAAGTTGGGCACCGCCAGGCTGAGGCTGAAGTTGGCGGCGTCGAACGACACCGAGTCCACCGCCGCACCACCCGGCGCCACGGCATTGTCGGCCAGCGGGCTGGGCTGGCTCGACGAGCGGCGCGTGGTGGCGGCCTGACTCAGTCGCAGCGAGATCTCTACTTCGACGCGCCGCGTCGCCACATCGAGCTCGGGCCACTCGCGCGTCTGGTTGTCGAAGCTCTGCAGGCCCGCCAGGTTGAGGGTCACCTTCTGGTAGTTCTTGGGGATGGTGAGCACTTGCTGGTCGAAGACCACCTCGGCCTGGGCGCCGTAGAGGCACTGCTGCAGCACGAAGCTGGCGCCGTTGTCGATCAGCCGATCGTAGCGCACGCACAGGGCCTGGGCGTTTCCATCCTTGCAAAAAATAAATATTAATAATTTGATTTCAATATAAATTCAACAAATACTTTAATAGAAATAGAAATAGAAAATAGAAATAGTATAAAATAGAGAGAAATAACATTACCTTGGGCTGGGATCGGAGGTACTGGGTGTCGTTGACGGTAATGACGAACTGGGCCTGCTCTTGCTGGCTGGTGGTGTTGACGTAGTACACCTTGACCGCTTCATAGCGCAGCTCCAGCGACGCTCCCTATTTTCGGTGGAAAACCACAAACTAAGCGTCGGCCAATCATACCTGCGCAACATTGATAGTTTCCTCCAATGGCGCTGAAGAGGTCGTACCGGGAAGATTGCGCCCTGACCGTCCTTGGGTTGGAGCAGGCAGTTGGGCGAGGTGAAGTTGAAGCTGGCGTCGGCCCCCGACACGGCGAGCTTGTTCAGCGCCGTACACTCCTCGGTGGTGGCGAGCCCAAAGGGCTTGCCGTTGCAATCGCCGCACTCCAGCGGGGCTCCCGCCGCATCGCATCGGCTGCACATGTCGAGCCCTTGTTCGCAACCGACGGATAAACCCGCTGTCGTGTCGTGTCGTTTGTGGCGTGTCGTCGCGTCAGTGAGAGATATAGTGTTTTTTTCTACATTATATACAGCCTTTAAAGAATAAGACGGTAGAGCGTGTACATACCACCGATGTCGGTGATGTTGATGGCGTTGGTGCAGATGTTGGGGTCCGACGCGATGCTGAAGCCGAGGCACCCGCCGCACAGCGCGTCGCGGTACCGATTGGCGAAGTTCTCGCGCTTGTACCCGTTCCTTGGGGTCGTCCCATTTATACGTGGTGTCAGACGCTGTGGCACGCACACAAAAACACGCACACAAAAACACGCACGCACGCACGCACGCACGCACGCACACACAAACGCACGCACATGACCGCACACCAGGCACCTGAAAATGGAGGAGGTGGTGGCGTCAATGCTGGCAAGTGCCCCGCATATAGCGCCAAATGTGCTCTGTCCCCAGACCATGCTGTTCCTCATCTCCGCGTGGCATCCAGCCACTCTCAGCGCACCACCTACAGGTGAGTGTGCGTGTGCGGTCGATCGTGTGCGTGTGCGTGTGCGGTCGGTCAACGTGTGGTGATTAGATTCAATCCAGTACAACGTACCGAGATTGTGGGAGATGCTGGAGTTGGTGATGGTCAGGGTGTCAGCGCAGTTGTTGACGGTGACCATGGACGACACCGGCGAATTGAAGTTGACGTCGAGCGTGGTCGAGTCGATCCGGGAGCCGGCCTTGAGCCGGAGGAGCAGGAGCATGCCGCCCCAGTTGATGCTGATGTCCGAGTCGATGATCGTCAGGCGACCCTGATCGACGATCATGAGAACGGTGCCCAGCGATGCCTCGTTGCCGTTCGCCAGGAACTTGCAGCGCGTGATCGCCAAGTCTACGTCTTGTGTGTACAAGACACTAGCCCTGTCATTGGGAGAAAGATAAGTAAGCACACGCGCACACGCACACGCGCACGTGCACACACACACACACACACACCACACACCACACACACACACACACACACGACACACACACACGACACACACGCACGCACGCACACACGTGCACACACGCATACGTAGGCGCTTGATTGTAGAGGAAGACGGTGTCGATGATGTTGAGAGCAAACACTTGCTCGGCGTTGATGACTCCTCCGAGAACCGTGGCGGTGCCCAGCAGGAAGGCCGAGTCCACCACCGTGACCACCGCCGAGTCGCAGAAGAAGAGCGCCAGCTGGAGGCCTGAAGTGTAGAGGAAGGTGGCATTGGCGATGGCGATGTCGCCCGTCACGTTCCGCAGCGACAGGCCGACGGCGTAGATGCTGGCGTACACGTAGAGCTGGTCGACCACCACCCGCTCGGCTTGGACGACTTCAATCACGCTCAACGAGGCGATGAGCGAGTCGAGATAACAGTTGCGGATGGCGACCTCGCGCACGGCGCGCGCGGTGAGCACGGAGGCGATGGTGTTGTACTTGAACACGCTCACGCGGTCGAGCGTGAGCCGTTGCGCTTCCGCGATCGCGAAGGGCTGGCGCTGCTCGCCGTGGGCGACGAAAATCAAATCTACGGTTGACCAGTCGTCAATCAGCGCAACAGCCAAACACGCACACAACACACGCAACGCGCACGTACGCGCGCGCGCAACACGCAAAAGGCAGGGACTGACCAGAAAAGCTGATGTTGTTGGCTTGCGAGATGTTGAAACTGATCTTTCCGCTCACCGCAGCTGCCGGCAGCCGGCCCACAAAGGAGATCGTCTTGTTGGCGCAGCCGAAGCATGTGAACTCTTGTGTGTAGTTGCCTGTGTTTTGTTGTTTGTTGCAACAGTTCATTAACAAAGAAAGCCCCGCTACACGTCCGAAAATGAGTCTTTGGCCGCGGTGGGGGAAGGTGCCTGATGCCACGTGGACGACGTGGTCGGTGTCGGCGGAAGCTGTGATGGCAGCCACCAAGGCGGTGAGGTCGGTCGTGGGGTTCATCTCGTGGGTGGCCCCTGGTTAGGGGCGGGCAGCATGGATTAAATGTATATGCATAAATAATAATAATAAAATAAATGTTTTATGTCGTACCGTGCGCGACTCCGGCAATGCAACAGAGGAGGAGGCAGAAGAGGGCGGCGAGGAGGAGTGGCCGAGGCTCCATCGTGGGAGGGAGTGAGGGGAATGACTCCACCTGCCGGATTTGCTGCAGTGTGAGGCCCGTGTGAAGGCACTGCGGCAAACTTAGTGGAAAGGAGGGTAACGGCATTGTTGACAACGAGTCGGAGTTCCAAACTGACTCGTGCCGTAACGACCACTTCCTGGTTGTGCGATCATTTCAGGCCAGCTGATGGCCATCAGCTGTTGATTGCTCTCCCCCGTTTATGGTTGTCATATTACAGGTCTTCTCTGCCGCGGGCCGTTCTGACGCTCATCTTTACAAAACAAATAAATAAAAATTCCATTTTTGATTTTTTGAGACTTTTTCTCAACTCGGCCAAACATTTCCCCAACCTTTCTGTGCTGGGAGTATTAATCGAAAAAACTAAATATTAAATAAATCACAACAAACCACACATGGCAGATCACCAAGAGGGCGCGCGACCACCATGGCAGACCAACGCGCGCTACAGGCCGTTCAGGAAGAAGCGATTCGTTAAAGGCACATATGGGGAGGATGTGGAGGTGGATGCGAACGAAGAGCAGATGGATGATGTCCAGCGAGCACGGCTGGGCGCTGAGGTCAGCTCCTTCTACTCGCAGTTGCTTGCCACCGCTCCCGCTCTCAGGCCGCCCTTGAAGCGACCACGCTCGGTCGGCACCGACAGAGATGTACAATCGCCCTCGATTCCGAAATCTGCAGCCCAACCGCCACCATCTTCATCCATCTCGACCACTTCCTCCTCTTCTGCTGTGTCCCCGCCTTTAAATCCAGCAGAATCCCAACTCATTCTTCATCGCGATTTCTCCACCACTACTTCCTCTCACTACTTCTGTGCCACGTGCAACGACCACGTACCATCGACCGTGTCCCTGAGCCAGCACAGGACGTCGACGATTCATCTCTTCCACACGACCCACAAGGCGACCCCCACATTCGGCATCCCGCCCAACAACGTGGGCTACCAGATGCTGCTACACAAATACGATTGGGAGCAGGACAAGGGCCTCGGCACCGAGGGCCAGGGCCGCCTGGAGCCCATCGCCACCCGACTACGCGCCCCCGACGATCGCAAGGGGGTGGGCCACGAAGCCACGCTCGCGCGGCCGCTACGCATCACCCACACCAAGTCGCGACACGGCACGGCCGAAGACGAAGAGGAGCAAGAGCACCTCGAGGCGGCACCGCTGCCCAACGAAGCGCTCGCCCTGGAGCACAACAAGCCCGACAAGAAGAAGAAGAAAAAGAACAAGAAACGTAAGCGTAAGGAGAAGCGACAGGAGAAGCGGGACCGCGAGGATCGACAGCGGCAGCGCGACCAGGGCGTACGCGAAGCCGTCTACAACGAATGGCCCGTTCTCATCGCTCCCTAGCAAGCCCTTCTACACGTACAGCTTTCCTCCCCTCCTCCTTCAAGTAGCGAGGACTGACTCGAATGTAAATAGAGTATGTGCATTGTACTACATGTTGCGTTGTTGTTGTTGCTTCTTCTTCTTCTTGTCGAGCGGTTTGACACGTCTTGCTTCAGCGGCTCTTGGTGTCGAAGGACCACACCCAGATGCAGCCGTCGGAGGCGGCGCCGACGAGGCGGCCGTCGGGCAGCACCACCATGGAGTTGACCTTGAGGTCCTTCGTGCCGGGCACCAGCCGCCACGTACTGCCATCTCCCTCCTCCCTCTCCTCCACCACCACCGCCCTCTTCTCCTCCTCCTCAACGCTCCATTGCCGCTCTCGCTCTCGCTGCTTGTCGCCATCTTCTTCATCTTCGTAAGCGTCGGCGTCGTCGCCGCTGGCGTCGCCTTCGCTGCTGCCGCTTCGGCTTCGGCTCGAGCTCGAGCTCGGGCTCGGCTGCCGCTCTCGTCTTCGCGTGATCCGAGACTGCGCCGTCGTTGTCGTTGTCGTCGCGCTGCTGCCGCGGTCATCAGTGGTGCGTCGACGCGTCGACGGTGGCGATGACAATGGCGCGGTGGAGGACTGGGGCGCGGTGGCGGCGATGGCGTTGAGGTCGAGTATCACGAGACGCGCGTTCGTGTTCGACGACCCGTAGTAGTGAATCGCCACGGCGAGGTATCCTCCCGGCAGCCCTGTCATGATGTCAGTTACGTCGGTTGACACACACGCGCGGCACACGCGACACAACGACGAGGATGTGCTGACCCATCATGTTGCGTGCGTAGCCGTCGTATTCGAAGATGGTGCGCAGCTTCTTGGCGTTCTTGACGTCCCACACGGCCACCTGGCCCTTGTTGGTTCGCTTCTCCGGGTCCCAGTGGCCCGTCGACGAGATCAGCCGCATCACATTCTTCGAGTCTGTGTCGTGTGTGTCGTGTCGTGTGTTGTGTGCGTGTGTGTTGTTGAGGGTAAGCACACTACAGAGTATCTCCAACGCGAGGAGTGGCGGATTCGCACCCGAGACGTCGGCAAAGAGGCCCTGTTTGTCGTACATCACCTGGAAATGCCACACGGGCTCCGTCGCTCCCTTGATCGTATTTACACGCTTCCCTACACGAGTGCGCGTGTGCGCGTTGAGTGTCGCGTCGTGTGTGGTGTGTGTCGTGTGCCATGTGTGTTGTGTGGTGGGGAGGGGCTGCAGTGGAGATGAGCGACGTACCGGCGTCGACATCCCAGACGGTGATCTTGTTGTTCTCGGCGCCGGCCACGAGGTGCCCATTGGGCAGCGTGGCGAGCGAGAGCACAGGGCTTCGCATCAGGCTCACCATCCGCTGCAACACTCTATCATCGTGTGTCGTGCGTGTCGTGCGTGTCGTGCGTTTCGTGCGTGTCGTGCGTGTCGTGCGTGTCGTGCGTGTCATGAGTAACAGAGCAAAAAAAAGTGTTGGGTGGTGGGAGGTCACACCGAAGGCACTGCCCGGTAGTGACATCCCAAATGCGGATTGATTTGTCTTCCGAGCCGCTGGCCAGCTGTCGTCCGCCCTTGAGCGGTTGCAGCGCGTTCACTAAAGGTGCCAACCCAACAGATACACACACGACACACACACACACACACACACGACACACACACACACACACACGACACACACACACGTACAACAGATCACGCAACACTCCAGTCAACGCCTCATTTGCAGACCGGCACGTCGAGTCGGGAGGAGCCGAAGGGTACGAACCTTCGAGGGTGTGGCCTTCGAGGGCGCGCAGGCATTCGCCCTGGACCACGTCCCAGATGAGGATGAGGTGGTAGTACACGCTGGCCAGGTGCCCCCTCCGCCCTCGCGTCGTGCTCGCACTCCCCTCGCGCGCCTCCTTCCCTACGGGCGCCGCGGGCCACGGGATGCTCGCCAGCTCCCACACCTCCTCGCTGCCGCCCACAGCCCAGTCGCCGCTCGACTCGGCGTCTGCTCGCTGCGCGGCCGCCGGCTTCTCCTGTGTCGCCGCCACTGCCACCTCTTCCTCCTCCTCCTCCTCCTCGATCCGCTTCATCAGCTCCGAGCTTTCAATACTCTCCTGGGCCATGATTCGTTCTGTGCGTGTCGTGTGTCGTGTGTCGTGTGTCGTGTGTCGTGTGTCGTGTGTGCGTGACGTCAGCGCAGGGTCCGGGCAACGACAGCAGAAGCGGGGTAGTAGGTTTGGGGGCACCTCGATAGAGCGAATAGCGATTACGCCGCGAGACCACCGGGGCGCTGGTGTACCCGCGGTCGTTCATCGTCAATGCGGTCGGCGACTGCGGCGGCGATGTCGAGGGCGACGGCGATGGCGACGTCTCCAGGGTCGGCAGCGCCTGCGGGGAGGACGGCGGGCTCGACAAGGGCGACGACGACGACGATGGCCTGTTGCCTGCAGCCTTGCTACGCTCCCACTTCTTCGCGATCCACGACCGCTTGCGCGTGCGGCTCACCGTCGGCAGGTCGTCAACCGAGCGCGGCAGCAGCAGCGGCGACGGCTGATCGGTCGCTGTCGACACTGTCGACGACCGCACCAGCGAAAAGGGCGACGCCGAGCCCAGCCGGGCCATCAGCCCAGAGGCCGAGCCGCCGTCGACGGCGAGCTTCGCCTGTCGGCCGCGCTGGCCGCTGTTGCTTCGGCTGCGGCGGGATTCGATCTCGCGCTCCTCCTCAGGCGAGTAGGCGGGCAGCCGGAGCTCGACCAGGCTCGCCAGCGCCATCGACCGGAAGCGGCGGTTGAACCACCGCAGCATCGTGTACTGTAGGGTCCGCACGCAGTGGCTTCCGTCCGGTCCCGTGCCGTCCACGTCCCAGATCTTCACCTCGCCCTCCGAGTAGCCGCTCACCACGTACAACTTCATTCCCGACGACGACGATGATGAAGCCGATGACGATGATGATGGTGGTGGTTGAGTTGATGAAGAAGACGATGATGGTGAAGGCGGTGTTGATGGTGGAGGTGGCGCGGCAGAGGGGAAGAGAATGGCGGGGAGTGGTAGTAGGACGAGGGAGAGGAGCGAGGAGTTGGCCGTGTCGGCCGCGGTCTCGCCGGCGTCGATGCCGGTGCCGCTGGTCAGCAGGTGGCGCGAGGGCCGCGCGCGCAGGTAGTCTACCGGCGGGCAGATGATGCGCGCGACGGCGCGCCAGAGCGTGCACACCCTGCGCACGTTGGCCAGGCGCCGGTGGTGCGGCCGCAGGTGGTCCACGCTCGCGCTGGGGCCTGTCGTCATCGACGATGCTGATGCTGATGCTGACGTGGCGCCGAACAGCCGACGGAAGATCTTGAGGAGGAGATAGGGGTCGTGCAGGACCTGCTCGACCGCGTTGGACGGCACGAAGCAGTCGTCGCCATTGTCGACGCGGCCTTCTTCGTGGTCGGTGGTGGTGGTGGATGAAGGGTGGTGGTCGTCTCCCTCGTGATCGCTGTCCAGGCCACGATCGGCCGTGGCCGGCTGGTGGTGGCCGGTGGTGGTGGCCGGTTCGCTTTCTTCGGCGCTGGCGGCGCGAAAGAAGCGCTCGGCGGCGGCACCGCGGCGCGTGGTGAAGGTCGCCGCCACGTCCATCTCGCCTGTTGCGTTGCGCGATAAAAAAGATTTCATAATTATTACTAACTGAGAAAGCTAATAAAAATAAATTTATCGTATAAATAATAAATATTGATATACTTAAGTAAAACCAATTCATAGGAAATATTCGAGTGGCACGCCTACGAAGGCTGCAAACTTGAAACTGTGTTTTATAATATTATAGAATAGATTTAAAAGCGTTGCTTTATTTTTTAATAAATTTTTTAAAATTGAGAATGCGAAAGATAAAGATATGCACCTGGTTGATGGATGCGATCGAAGTAGCAAACTTGCTTCAGATCGGCCCTGCAGGCCAGTACGGCGTTGTGTTCGGCACCAACGACAACGAGAATCTGTTAAAATCAAAGCGAGCGCGAGTCAGTCTCCGCCGGCACCTTTACTTTTAGCTGTGCAACCAATGCCGTCATTGCGCCAAAGCCAGATGGTGGTCAGATGAAACACACACACTTCCCCACCAGGGACCATCGTACATGTTCATCAGCTCATGGCCTCGCCGAGTCTGAAGGAAGTCCATGCGTGGTGCAGGGCGTGCCACAGCCCACACACCGCGTGTAGGCACGCCAAAGCCACGAGGCAGTGCTGACGTGGCGGGCGATGCGCTTTTTTTTTGAACCAAAGTGACCAAGGCCGGTGAGTTGCGTTTTGATTTCTGAAGCAGGTTCGGAAGAGGCGGAAGAGGAGGACGAGGAGGATCGTTTTTTGATCAGATCTTATGGATGAGACGATAGACAGCGCCCTCTTGGAGGCGGAGGTGGAGGACACCTTCGATGGAGGGGATCCATCCATGGCGTTGTACAATTCGGCCGTCCTCTACGCTCAGATTGCAGGCACCATCGCCACCCTCCTCTTCAGCGTCCAGTGCGTCCCCCCAATCTTCAATCAACACCTGGCTTCAACATTTTTCCATTAATCCACACTAATCTTCATTCTTCGCCAATTGTCTTCTTCTTGCTGAATCGATTGCAATGCATTCGCTTTGGGTGCAGGTACTTGCCACAAACGTATCTCAACTACAAACGCAAGTCGGTGACGGGCTTCAGCGTCTCTGGAATCATCATCAAACTGGTCGGCTCCTGCTTTCTCATCGTCAACGCCTGGGCGAGCGGAGGTGACTTGTGCCCCCCCCCAAAGCCTGATGCACAACCCACTCAAACTGGCTCACTTTTTGTGACTCATGTGGCTCTCGCCATTGCGCAGAGACCTGGCCAGTGGTCATGTACGGGCTGTGCAACACCATCCAGCACTCCATTTTCTGCGTTCAGTGCGCCTCCATTCACCATCGCCATCGCCATCACCTTCAACCATCATCATCACCTTCTTCTCTTTGCTGACTCCAATCATTGCAATGGAACGTATGTAACCCCAGGTTTTCCATATACAAGAACAACCCGAACTACAGCCTGTGGCTCTTCTTCCTCCTCGTGCCCGCCCTACTCTGCGGCATTTTCCCTGGGAGCATGGGTAACGTGAATTGTGTGTGGCGTGTGCTTGTGCGTGTGTGTGTCGCGTGTTGCGTGTGTCGCGTGACGAGTTTTGTGTTGTACACGTCTTTGCTCACATCACCCATTCTGGCCTCGTTTTGGTTTAGTCTTCACGAACAGCATCAAACCCATCACGCAAGTGATCAGGTACATTGCGGCTCACTGGCGATCGTGCTCTGGAGCTCTATATTTGCTAACACGTGGCCGCACACACGCACACGCACACGCACACGCACACGCACACGCACACAGTCACTTCCCCCAGTTGCAAGAGTGCTTCTCGGCGAGGACGACCGGCGGCGTATCCCTCATGTCGCAGCTATTCAATCTCTTTGGCGGCATACTCGGCGTCTACAGTACACTCCACTTCTTCGTCGTCATTGTAGCCATCATCAGTTTTCGCACCCGCTCACTCATCACTCGTACTCTGGTGGCAGTGTGTTGGGTGATTCCCGCCAAGTCGCCCATGACGATCCTCTTGTACATCAACTCCATGTTCCAGGTAAAAACACAACGTGTGTGCGGTAGTGCGTGTGCGTGCGGGTGTCAAGCAGAGAATCACCGTCTTCGTCCCGCCCATGATGTGTGTGGTGTGTGGTGGTGTGGTGTGTGTGTGCAGGCCCTCTCCCTTTTTGCTCTCTACTTCCTGTTCGACTTTGGGCGATCGCCCAAGCAGCAGCTCGACCCAGCAGGACCCGCCCACGAGAAAGCCACAGTGTACGTACCTCGACACTAGAATATAAAAACTTTAGGTTTGGAGTGAACCCAATGTCTCACCGGGTTTTGCTCTGACTAACCAGATGATTGCTCATGGGAGCGCGATGCGAACAAGGCCAAAGCGTGTGTGCTGACGGCCTCATAGTCAGTGGCCAACTGGACGACTCTGCTTCTTCTTTCCTCTCGACGCGCCATTTTGTGCGTGGGTTCGCACCCAAATTCAATGAGAAAATAAAGAAGAAGAAAGAAAAAGGATCCTTAAATATTTTTATTTTATTTTGTAGATGTCGCGTGCACCACCGGAGGATGGGACCTCGCTTGCGCCCACGTCCGGTCGTCCCGCAATGGTCCTGCCCAAGCGGGGCGTCAAGGACGTCCTCTCCGGTTCATTTTCCCTTCATTTCCATTTTTCTCCGTTTGCTAAATTGGTGCAGTCATCCGCTACTCATCTTAATTGATTTTGGATTACACTCACCCCACACTTTGCTACTACCAAGTTGTGGTTTGTACTCAATTTTATGTGGAATAATTATTAATAAATTATTCTTTGTTTTTTTCTCCTCTCAGGCTGCTTCGCTGGCGTGGTCGGGACCTGCATTGGCCATCCGCTGGACACTGTGAAAGGTACATCAATGGCCTATCATCCACCAACACGCGCGCGTGCTCGATCTAGCCTAAGCTCTACTCGTCCCCCAACGCACTGTGCAGTGCGCCTGCAGACCCAGTCGCACTACCGCGGCGCGCTCGACTGCTTCCTCAGCGTGGTCAAGAATGAAGGCGTACGCTCTCTCTTTCTCCTCGCCACACTCTTGCGAGGCACTGATTGGTCGCTGGTGCGCAGGTGCGAAGCCTGTACCGCGGCATGGGCTCGCCGTTGGTCAGCCTCACCATACTCAACATGCTGTACATATTCCTTTTTTTTATTATTATAACACTACTATAACTTTTTATTTCACTAACATATGTGACCCACAGCTCGTTCTCGGTCTACGGGCAGCTCAAGGTGAAGTTGCAGGAGTGGAACCAGGCCTTTGTGCTGCTGGCCCAGGAGGACCCACGCCTCACCACCACCAACAGCAGCAGCTCTGACCTGCCTGTTGACCCATCCGGTGCGTCTCTTCTCTTGTGTGTCGTGTCGTGTCGTGTCGTGCGATTGCAGCAAACAAAACACAGAGCAAAAAAAGAGAAAAAAGAGAGTGGCGCTAGGAAGGAGGAATTGAACCCCTACGCATCTCTGCGTCCATAGCTTTGAAGGCTACGCCCGCCACCAGACGAGCTCATCCCAGCATCTTCCAGCTTGCCTCCGCGCCACCTTTTTATCGGGCATTACTTTGCCTCGGTTAAATTATTATGGGTCGAATTCTTTGCATTCCTCCATTTTTACCCCGCGTGTCGTGTCGTTGGTCGTGTCGTGTCGTGTCGTTGGTCGGGCTGCTGACGTGTAACGGAATGGGCGACGCTACAGGGAGGCTGGCCGGATATCAGTATTTTCTTGCCGGGGCGGGGGTCGGGGCGATCGCCACCTTCCTCTCGACGCCGTTCGAAATGGTCAAGGTGCAGCTGCAGCTCGACAACGTGGCACTCAAGCAGTACGTCTTTCTTCCTCTCACACGAAAGAACGAAAAAGAAAGAACGAAAGAAGACGGACGGCGATGATGGTGATGACGAAAAAGAGAGAAACTGTTTCTAACCAACTGTGCGATCGCAGATATCGTGGAACATTCCATTGCGCCAAAGAACTGGTCAAGCTCCACGGACCCAAGATTTTGTACAACGGTACGAGAGTTTCCGCCGCACGCCACGCACGACACGCACGACACGCACAACGCCAGGGGTTGGTGCGTGTTCGCTCGTTTAACTGCGCTCTTCAGGCTTTTCGGTCAACATGTTTCGGGAGGTGGTGTTCTGCACGGTCTACTTTGGCTGCTACGAACAGCTCAAGCACGCCCTCAACCAATATTTTGGCCCGTACGACCGCCTTTTTTCCGCACACACCACACACACCGCACACAACTCTCATTTTATTTGTTTGTTTTATTTATTTGTTTTATTTATTATTTGCAGCACTGCCGACGGGAAAGACCACGCTCGGGCGATCTTGATTGCTGGCGGCACGTCGGGCGTGGCCGCCGGCTTCGCCAATTTCCCGCTCGACGTGATCAAGGCCAACCTGCAGGGCCAGCCGGTGACGCGGGCCTTCTACGCCGAGCGCCGCGGCTTCCGCGAGGTGGTGCGGGCCTGCTGGGCGCGAGGCGGCGTGCGCGCCTTCTTCTCGGGCCTCGGGCCGTCCACCCTTCGATCGGCCTTCGTCAGCTCCACCCGCTTCAGCGCCTACGAGTTCGCCTTCTCCTTCCTCTCTTCGCTTGAAGAAGACGGTCATCGATGACAACAAACATGTTTCTATTTTGGTTGAACACATTCTTTTTCGGTTGAAAATGTTGCATGTTGTGTGTGGTAAATATATATGGTTACATGTTGTTGTGAACATGTTGTTCAAAAAATGTTGATAATAATAACTGTTCACTAAAGCCCGTCGTGGCTTGTGTGGTCGGCAAAGTTGACCATGCTCGTGCTGTTCCGGTACGCGCGGTTGGTCTGTCGCTTCTTCCACACGAACCACGACGCGAAGCCGATGGCGAACAGAACCACCACCACCAGCGCCGAGCCCACCAGCACCGGCACCAGCACCTGCAGCAAGATGCCGTCGTCGCTCGCGCCGCCTTTGCCGTCTGCACGCACGCATGAGCGTGTGTGTGTGTGGTGTGCGTGTGCGTGTGCGTGTGCGGTGGTGCGTGTGTGCGCGATGGAAACGTACCAGAGCCGACGAGGAGGCCGAACTGCGGGTCGTAGAACACGGAGTCGAACGGGCCGGTGAACTCCAGCACCAGCTTGTAGTCGGCCGTCTTGTTGGTGGTTGACGACGACGACGACGACGCGTTGAAGCTGTAGGCGAAGGTCGAGGTGTCGTTGTCGTTGAAGACGGCGTAGTTGGGCAGCTCCATGGCCATGTCGAAGCTGGCCCCGACAAACCGCAGGGCCTCCATGTAGGTCGCGTTGGTGGGCACGGCGCCCATGGTGCCCGCCTGGCTCATGCGCAGGCTCAACTCGACCGCCACCCGCCGCGTCGTGATGTCGATGTCGGTGTGGTTGCGCGTCTGGTTGTCGAACGAAACCATAGACGACAGGCTCACCGCAATCTGCGCAAAAGCAAACATCAGCCCCGTGCAGTGTGTGCGGCGTGTGGCGTGTGCGGCGTGTGCGGTGGTGCGTGTGCGGTGTGTGCCTTGGTGAAGTCCGGGGGCACGATGAGGGTCTGGTTGCCGAAGAGCACGGACTGCTCGGCGTCGAAGAGACACTGCTGCAGCAGCAGGCCGGCCCCATTGTCGAGCACCCGCTCGTAGTTGATGCAGAACTGGTCCTTCGTCATGTTCCCCTGTTTTTCATGACACACGTCAACCCACGACCGCACGCGCATGACCGCACGACCGCACGCGCACGACCGCACCCGCGCAAAAATAGGCGAAGAATATGGACGTACTCGCGAGCGGGTGTAGTCGCTGTCGTTGATGGGGAAGCGATAGAGGGCCTGCTCGGCGTTGCTCGACGTGTTGAAGTAGTATACGGTCACGGCGTCGTACTGGAGCGCCATCGACGCCGATTCGTCGGGCGTGGCCGTGAGATCACACCGCGGCGCGGTTCCGTTGTAGTTCACCCGGGCGCCGCTCGACTTCAACGTGTTCCAGCTATCGCACAGCTGGCGTCGATGAACCGTCAACATTGCACCGCACTCGTCATCGCGCACGCACGCACGCACGCACACACACACGCACACGCACGCACACACGCACACACGCACGCACGCACGCACGCACGCACACACACACCATGGCACGCGCGCACACGCATACGTTGAAGAGAGGGTGGAGGCGGACCACTTGGGTTGCGTTGCCAAAGGGCTGTCCGTTGCAATCAGTACAGAGGGGCGCCTGTTGGCATTGGCTGCACTTGTTGAGTCCGAGCTTGCAACTCACATTGTAGCCTACGAAAACACACACGATACATGACACACGACACACACACGACACACACGACACACACGACACACGACACACGAAGGCAAATGTTGAATTGGCGGAGGGAGAAGGGTGGTCCAGAGAAGAGAGCGCACGCACCTCTCACGATGTCGGTTGCGTTGGCACAGGCATCGATTTCTCCGTAGAGCCGCAGACCGTTACAACCTAGCACGCGTCGGCGACAATTGTAAACTGTGATCGTCACGCACACACGCACACCCGCACACACGCACACACGCACACACGCACACACGCACACACGCACACACGCACACACGCACACACGCACACACGCACACACGCACACACGCACACACGCCACCGCCGTCGCACAAGCACTCGCACTTCCGCACACGCACGCAATAGGACGTACCGGCCATGCACGCGGTGTCGACAAAGTAGGACGGCCTGAACAGCACGAATGTCCAGCCGTTCCTGTTCGCCCCGCCCCCCCAAACAGGTGTGGCGGTCAGAAAGAAAGGAATGCAAAGAACGCGAAGCAGGTGGTGGCGGCATGTACCGGTAGATGGACGCCCGCTGCGCGTTGATCGTGCCCAGATTGCCACAGAGCGCGCCGAAGCCGCTCTGCGCCCACAGCTTCGTGTGCGACACCTCGGCTTCGCAATTTTGCACGAAGAGACCTCCACCTGCGCGTTGTGTGTCGTGCGCCGCGTTAGAGGAATGCGTGGAATGTGTGGAATGGAATGTGTGTGTGTGTGGATGGTATGTACCGAGATTGTAGGAGATGGTGGAGTCCAGTAGCTGGAAGCCCTGGCCGCAGCCGTTGACGCTGATCAGCGGACCCGAGGCCGAGTTGAAGTTGAGACCGAACGTGGAGCCGGTCACGCTCGACGCGCCGACGAGGCTGGTGAGCGCCAGGGTGGCGCCCCAGTTGAGGCTCACCTGCGACGCGGCCATCACCAGACTGCCACCAGTGACCGCGATCAGGGGCGTGGCGGTGGCAAACAGGTTCCCGTTCGATACGAAGCTCGAGCCGCTCACCGTCACGTTGGAGTTGGTCGCGCTCAGCCCATGCGCTCCACTAACAAACGCACATTCAGTTCAACACCGCACACGCACACGCACACGCACGCACACGCACACGCACACGCACTCACCTGCCGATGTTGAAGGCAAAGGTGGAGTCGATGACGGAGAGCGAGGTGACGCTGTTGGCCCGGATGCCGCCGGTGTTGGCCTGGTTGCTGTAGAAGGTGGTGTCGCGCACCACGACGGAGCCGCACGAGTCGAAGCTGGCGGGGGCGACCGAGGGCTTGCGCGCGGAGAAGCTGCACCGGTCCAGCACCGCCTGGCCCACGTTGCTCACCTCCAGCCCGGCCGACCCCAACAACCACTGGGTGAACTGCACGTTGGTCATGGTGAGTCGTGCCGCATTGCTGATCTTGACCGAAGTCACATCCTTGAAATTGATATCTGTGCCGTGCGTGCGTGCGTGCGTGCCGTGCCGTGCGTGCCGTGCGTGCCGTGTGTGCGTGCCGTGCGTGCCGTGCGTGCGTGTGTGCGTGCGTGCGTGCGTGCGGTGGACAATACGTCAGCGATTGAATTGAGGGTTCAGTTGTAGGGATGGAAATACCTTGAATGTGTACAAAGCCGGTGGTGTCGAAGTTGAGAGTAAATGATGAGATCGCCGTTCCGGTGAAGGTGACGCTCTTGGTCGTCGTGCAGCTGAAGCCCGAGGCTTGTTCGTTCGACAAAAAAAAAGTGGAAAGGTAATGGTGAGTGTGTGCGTGCGACTGAACCATAACAACACACGCACAGTCTGCGCACGACACGCAGCAGGCCAACGCGTACCAGGAAGAAAAGTCAAAAGCGCAACGGTGTTGTTAACATCGGGCGAGGCGTTGAGGCTGGCGCAGAGGGTGAGCTGGGAGAATGCGTTGAGCTCAAACTCTGCACAGACAACAAAAATTCCCCTAGGTGATTTTTTTTTCTTGAGTTATATTTATTTATTTATATTTATCTTTAGTATTTGGTGTGCGGGAGAAAAAAAAAGCAATAAAATGTTTTTTGGGAGGGTACGTGCGGCCTGGACCCAAGCAGCGAAGAAGGCCAGCGTCAGTGCCAATAGGAGCACTCGCACCGGTGCGCCCATCTTCTGGCCGTGGCAGCGCTGAAGAAGGTGGAGGGAATGGCGACTGCCTCAGTGTCGGAGCTAAAAGGCCCGTGCGGTCAGTCGTCGGCGCTAAAACAACGAGATGAGCGCAGGTCGCGGCAGATTCTCTTGCTGCCGCCATTGGCCTGAAATCAGAAACAAATTGTTATGCCCCTTCCGGTATTGGCTGGTTCTCTTACGCTTTTTTGCGCCTCCTGCGCACCTCTTTGTTTGTCTGTGTGGGATGGCGTTTTTTTTTTTCTTTTGTAAATCTCATTCACAATACAAAAAATAATATATATTTTATTATGCACACTAGGCTCCAGACGTGCCTCTGCGCTGCTTGCCCTTCTTGGCTGCCGCTTCCCGATGGGGAGCAGCCGCTTTTTGCATCAACCACGCCTGGGCGATGTGGCGAAACGGAAGCTGCACGTTGACGTTCTGCTTTGCGCTCGTCTCAAAGAACGGTATTTGATGCTGTTCAGCCAGCGCCTGCGGACCACACACAACCGCACATGCACCGACCACACACGTCTCGCTTTGAGTGACAATTCGGGCGCTGCCTTGGGGGGATTGTACCAGAGCTGTGATGCCATCAACCGCCCGGGAAGCGACCAGATCGGTCTTGGTGGCCACCAGCACCTTGATGCAATCGCGTTTGGCCAGCGCGTCGAGGCACGCTGCGGCGGTCGCATAGGAGGAAGCCGACGTGCAATCGAAGCACACAATCACCGCATCCCTGCACCATCACATATAAATATATATAAATATAAATATACTTTATGCATACGAAATATGTAAATATATATATGTATACACATTCAAAAACAGTCAATAGCATCAAGAAGAAAAAAAGTCATCATCACGAATGAGCGAAACCTGTCTTTGCGTTTGCTCGGAGTTGGGAGCCACAAGCGCATCTGCACTTCGTTGTCGTCCACCTGTTCACCTTTCAGTCTCTGTTGCGCGATCGCAGTGAGTAAACAACAGCTGCGATGGGAAAGAGGGAGGGCACATACGAAGCATTCTGCCGTTGGGGAGCTCTGGTCCGAATAGGAGTCGTCAGCGTAGCGAAGCAGCAAACTTGTCTGTGTGTATTTTCACAACGTGGTGCGTGTCGTACGGTTGTGTGTCGTGTCGTGTCGTGTCGTGTCGTGTCGTTGGTCATGTCGTGTCGTGTCGTTGGTCGTGTCGTTGATCGTGTCGTGGAAGGGGTGTAAGATGTAGGCAATAACGCAAGGTCGCAGTGGGGATCTGCGTACCGCGCCAACGCCTACGTCGCCGGCGCAACTCACGTCGACCTTGTAGTTCTTGGTATGCGCATAGGCCTTCATGCATTCTGTGCGTTGTCGGCCGGCGGGCCGGCGACAGATGTCAGCGAAAGCGGGCAATCTCGCGACACGGCCATGCTCTGGCGTACGTGCCCTGGAGATAGGCAGCGATGGCCGTCTCGTGGACTTGATTAGCGACGTCCGCTGCAGTGCCTTGCGTGCCTCGTGCGAGCGGATTAGCGCCCTTTCCTATCAAGTACTGCGCAAAATGCAATCGATTAGCATTGCCGAGTGCCGTGTATGTCGTGTGTCATGCGCCGTGTGTGTCGTGTCATGCGCCGTGTGTGGCGTGTGTGCGGTGCAAGAAACCTTGACAACTTCCATGTGACCAGCGCGGGCGGCAAAATGCAAACACGTCCACGAATTTCTGAGGGCGCAATTGTTGGTGTGTAAGTGCCCAGTGGCAAATCGCATGCGAGAGAGAGAGAGAGAGAGGGCGGAAGCGCACTTGTGCGATTTGATGTGGAGGCTGGCGCCGCTCTCGCAGAGAACCTCCGCAGCGAGGAGGTGGCCCTTGAAGCAGGCCAGGTGGAGGGGCGTCTCCCCGGCGTTGTTCTGGTGATCAATCGGCAGGCCCGTCGTGGTCAGCAGCGCACGAATCATTTTTCGGATCTGCTTCGGCGATGCTGCATGTGTGTCGTGTGTGTGTCGTGTGTGTGTCGTGTGTGTCGTGTCGTGTCGTGTCGTGTTGGTATGTGTGTGTGTGTGTGTGTTGTGGTGTAAGATGATAAGTTGTGAGTGATGCTGGGTTTCTGGGCGACTTGCCTTCTTTGCCGCTGACGCGGTGCATATTGTTGACGAAAACGTGGAGCGCCGAGTCGGCACCTGGCGACTTGCACAGCACGCCGCACCTCCTGTACAGGTTCACCAGAAGCCAACATAGGCCCATGTGGCCGTTCCTGTTCAGGTTGAATGAATGCAGGAGACCAGAGCAGTGAGCAGTGAGCACCACCGGCACACAACCGAATACCACAGTAAAGTTGACAGTACGCAGCGGCATGATGTAGCGCCGTCCACCCCTTGTCGTCGAGGGCCAGGAGCGCACGCATGTCGGTGTTGATCACGGTTTCCAGCTCCTTCACCACTTCGGCGTGGCCTGTGTGACAAGAATAAAATAACGCCATGTGGATAAATAAATTGAAATTTATGTTGACAAAAAGCCGTAAATAAAATAAATAATTAAATAATAAATAATAAAATAAAGAAATAAAAGAAAGTTGATTTGGAACTTGCCGTGGATGGCGGCGAGGTGCAGGGGCGTTCGCTGTTTCGAGTCGACCACGAGAATGGCCTCGGCTTTGGCCGCTCGCCTGACGTAGAGGAGCGCCTTGACGCGCCCCACCTCCCCACTCGCGCACGCCTCCAGCAGCTCTGGCTCCTCCATTTATTTATTGTTTTAAACTATAAAAACAAAATAATGCCTCAGATCGCGATTTCAAGTATGTGCACGTGATGGAATTAGGTGAACAAGACCCAATCTCCTTTCTTTGTTGTGTCCTTTGGGAAGAGAACTTTGATATAACCCAACTTTCTTTTCTTTCACCAACATACATCATGACTGACTATGTCACGGTAACAATATACGGTGCTGACAAAGTGGGCTCGTCCTCACTCGCCAGACAACTGGTCGCACACGAATTCGAGGAGGACTACCAGGTGGCCAGGGATGAGGGCATCTACCACACACAGGTCGATATTGACCAAAAGAGCTGCTGGATCCAAGTCTTCATGGGCTATAAGCATCTGGTCAGGTTTTCCGATAACAGGACCCACCACGAGGGCTACCTGTTCGTCTTCTCCATCACCGACCGGCCGTCGTTCGAAGCCACGCGCAAGCAGATCGACGAAACCAAGGATTACAGCAACCTGCCCATACTGCTGGTGGGAAACAAGTGCGACCTGGAGCACCGTCGGGTGGTGCCCGCGCGGGAGGGCGCCGAACTGGCCGAGTCCGTGGGCTGCAAGTACCTCGAGACGTCGGCCAAGGAAGGCATCAACGTCGACGCCTGCTTCTTCGAGCTGGTGCGCGAGGTTCGCAGGTTGAAACCGGAGAACAACGTCGACGACAACGGCTCGAAGAAGCAGTGCTCCCTCTCCTAACCATAGACACCACACCACATGTGCAAAGCGCTCCTTGGCCGCAAACTTCGTCAGCATAGCGACCCCGCCTTTGTTGCTTCACCGGCTTGCACATATGTTGAATGTCATCGAACTACACTCACCACACTACACATAAATTCATCGCACCACGACAGCGATGCTGGAGGACGTTATGACGGCCCGCAGGGTGGCCAACAGCACACCCAGGTGGTTGACCAGCACATCGCAGCCTGCACACCAGTCAAAAAGATGAAATCAATCCTGTTGGTCGTTGGCTCCGCGCCCGCAAAGTTGCCTCCGGGGGCTTTTGCCAGTTGCAGGGCGGAAGAAGTTCGATGGCCTCGCTCGCTAACATCGGGTAACCAACGTGCTCTCCCGCACATGATCGAGCCTCCTCCACAGCTTCCGGACGACATGTCGTACCCCTTCACCTTCCCTCCTTCTTGGCGAGCACAACAAGAGCTTCCGCCCATTTGTTGTGCAGGCAGATCACGCAGCAATGACAGCACAACTCCAGCCAGTCGACGACCACTACCACGACGTCGAAGGAGGGCGGTCGCGCAGGCCTGAGCCAGGCCTGCAACCACTGCCGCCAGGCCCATATCACCTGTGAGGGGTCATACACAAGCACCTTTCCCCCCTGGTCACACCTCTTTCATTCTTTGTTTTATGGCTTCGTTCTTTCTGATAATTCAGTTTGACTAGCGAAGGGTATTCCCTTCAAGCCTCTCACGCTCTTCACTCTCGCTCTGCAGGGAAAGGCCGTGCAGGCGTGCGGCTGGGCCTAGGAGACCTCGGCACTGACGTGCCCGCCCGCAAAACCTTGGCCTCTATCCACAGCTTAAACTGCTGGAATTCCACCTTCCCTGGTCAGCTCTTTGCATGGGAGTCCTCCCCCACTGACAGTATGCCCACAAAGGTTTGACATCTCTGCCTATCTCCTTGATGATAGGCCCTCTCTGTTTTGAGGAATTTAGCTTTTTTCACCACAAAAGGCCCTTTTATTTTATCATTATTTTTTTCTCGGCTGGATTTTGCTGGCCAGAAAGTGGCCTTACTGGCTGCGCTCGCTCAAAATGGTTTCATCTTATTGGCCCTGCCAAACGTTTTTTCAGCTTCGGAGATATTTTTACATGTTGATGGTCACACACCGGCGCTCAAAATGGGCGCCTAACACCGAAACACTCGCCGAAACCAAACAGCGAACACTTTTATAGAAGAGCAGGTACCTCAACCAAACCAACCAACCAACCACCCAATACTACTCATGGCGACCACCATCCAACACACACCACCCAAGGCGCAACGCTTGGAGGGCAAGACCGCTGTCATCACTGGCGGCGCTACCGGCATCGGCCGCGCCGCGGCAAAGCGCTTCATCGAGGAGGGCGCCTTCGTCTTCATCTTCGGCCGCCGGCAGGAAGCGCTCGACGCCGCAGTGGCCGACCTCGGACCCAATGCCCGCGCGGTGAAGGGCTCGGTCTCCGACCTGGCCGACCTCGACCGACTCTACGCGGCGGTGAAGGCCGAGCGCGAAACCCTCGACATCGTCTTCGCCAATGCCGGGGCGGGAAGCCAGCTTCCGCTCGGCGAGATCACCGCCGAGCACATTGACCAAATCTTCGACACCAACGTGAAGGGTTCGATCTTCACGGTCCAGAAGGCGCTGCCGCTAATGGGCCAGGGCGGTTCAATAATCCTGACCGGATCGAGCGCCGGCACCACGGGCGCCCCGGCATTCAGCGCCTACAGCGCGAGCAAGGCGGCAGTGCGCAACCTGGCGCGGACCTGGGCGGAGGACCTGAAGGGCACCGGTATCCGGGTAAACGTGCTGTCGCCCGGTCCGACGGCGACCGAACTCGCGAAGGAAGCGCTAGGCGAGGAGGGCATGAAGGCCTTCGCTTCGCGCAATCCGCTCCAGCGCATGGCCGATCCGGCGGAGATCGGGGCGGTGGCTGCCTTTCTCGCGTCACAGGACAGCAGTTTCATGACCGCCAGCGAGGTCGCCGTCGACGGCGGCCTTGCGCAAATCTGACGCGCTACTCCCGGCGCTTCATTCGATTATTCGGGTGGTGGCATTGTTGGTGTTTGATTCTTGGGCTGTTTTGCTGTGGAGGGAAAATAAAGGCTGCAGCCATGTGTGGAAGGTCAGTCCCGTGGCAATACCAGATGATTGTTGAAGTAAGCACAGTTTTTTCCCTAAGATGCAGTGTTTATTATTTGCGTTGTAATAGGTGGCTTCCTTCCTTGTACTCTGACGGTTTATATCCGCTTCTGCGCTCTCCAGTGTTGTTGTCAATCACGTAGAGGTCATGATAATCCACGCCGGGCAAATCGTGCTTCAGTTTATCTTGCCCAGGACCGTCCGGACGTGTCGACAGCTGCTGTGGTTGGCACCCATTGGCCCCGCACTTTAAATTAACGACACGGATTGGCTCGGCTCCAATTACCAGGCAAACCGTTCCGCCCCTCTGGGCACAACTCAAAACTCTAACGCCGGCAGCACACCGTCCGCCACACTCCCTGCTGAGTCTACGCACCACCATGTCGTCCGTTCAGATGCAGTACCCTCCCGCGCAGGGCATGTACACTCCGGCCTATCTGCCCGCCGTGGTCAGCGCCACCAGATCGCCCCACTGGACCTACAGCCCGAAGGCCCTCGCCACCCACGGCGACCAAAGGCCCTACAGACCCGATGACGTTACAGTAACCAAAGCCTTCTTCTATCTTCTTACATATCAAAATGTTGAATGTTAACATTGTATGGAACTAACACAGAGGGGCCATGTTCTCGAGTTGCTCACCAAGGAGACGTTCATCAAGCAAATGGAGGAGGTCAACCTCCTCAGAGACGCAACGCCGAACGACATGCAGGAGGCCCGGACCACGACCGACCCGCACAGGCTCGAGTACGTGTGTAACTTCGGCAGGCCCGACCGAATCAAGATCTTCCGTACGTACCCACCATTTTATGTTCTTTCTGAATATAAAGAATATATTTATATATATAAGTATGTGTATAAGTTTTGATCATATTAAGAATCACACTCTTTAAAAAACAGTGCACCTGTTCTACCTGTACCGTCTGAGGGCCGAACCGGGCAAGCTGTCGGAGATCTACGAGAGGTGGAAGCAGGAGTACACTCTGCGGGACTCGGCTGTCCGCCTTCGCGAAGTCGCGTGGGAATGCGACCGTAACGTGGTCCAGAACCTGGAAAGATGTTTCATCCGGGACTGTAAGAGTACGGTTTATATCTACATATCTCAATTATACACATATCTGATGAATCTAGCCACCATATCACTCGCTGACGCTTCGACTTCTTCTTTGTCTCTTCTCCATGCGTGCACGTGCAGAGGTCCAGTACGCCGGCCTCATCAAGGAGAAGGACTGGCTCGACTTGGAGAAGCACAGCCTGATCGTCCTGAGGTCTTTCTTGAACGACATGGCCGTGGCAGATAATGGGCTCATCCAGATCCGAACGCTCGAAGAAACCAACAAGTCCAACGAGGCGAAGGCCGAGTCCAGACGCCAAGCCCTGGCCGACGCCCAGGCCAAGCAGGAGGTATGTTGCACTTTTATCTTTATGATTGCTATTTTTTGTAATTTACTTTCGCACTGAAATTGAAATGAATTTGGCGCAGGCGCTCCAGTTGGCGAGGGAGGAAGCGAAACGCGAGGCCGAGGCGGAGGCGAAGCGCAAGGCCGAGCTCGAGGAGAAGGAGCGCGAGGAGGCCCAGGCTGCTCGCGATGTCCAGACCCAGACCGCGGTGCTCACGGTGCAGGCCAAGATCGCCGCCTACCAGGGCTTCATCGCGCAGCTCACCGCTGACTTCGCCGCGGGCAAGATCACCAGCGCCGAGTTCTCCGAGAAGATGGCCACCGCCTCCCAACTACTCGCTTGAGTAGAGACTTCGATCGAAGAATTAATTCTTTTTATATACACAAATAGCCAATCAAAATGCTTGCACGCATTTTAAGAGCTGGATGAAGAAGACGATGACGAAGATGAAGAGGAGGACGGGGCCGGAGGCGACTTGATGGTGAAGGAGCCCGAAGTGTTGGCGAGGGCCAGCATCTGCGACGGGCGCGTGGAGACCACGGCCAGCGTGCCCAGCGCGGTCCACCCAAAGCTATTCTCGCCGTACTCCAGCCGCAGGTCCAGCTCGCAATCGCCCTGCAGCGCGCGGGAATCACACGAGTGCGTGGTAAGCCGAGTGTGTCGGATGTGTCGTGTGTCGTCGTCGTGTGTGTGTCGTGTGTGTCGTGTGTGACGTTTACGTACAGCGTCCCTGAGCTCCTTGAGCTTGCTCATGATTGTGGCCTGGCTGATGTGAATCTTGCCCTCCGTACCAAACGAAACCACCTGCACACACACGACACGACACGCACGATACAACACACGAATGAGCGACACTGGAAGCCGTCGCGGAAAGGTTGTCAGCCGAGGAGGCGGTACTGTGTCGAAGCGGGTCGAGTCGGCCGGGAAGGTGTCGGGGGTCATGAAGGGCTTGATGTTGAGCGGGTGCATGGTCCACTTGAAGGTGCTGATCAGGCCCGAGCCCACCAGCTTCTTGAGCAGGCCCCAGAAGCGTTTCCCCTCCAGGTGCAACCGGAAGTCCTTCAGCTCCAGCCCTGCCCGATTCGACCATTCGCCGGGTCAGTGTGTGCGGTGATGTGTGCGGCGAATTGGCATACCTTTGGGCTTGGTGGCGCGGAGGGAGACGCGAATGCCGTGGCCTTCCACAGGTCCGATCTCCATGGTCACCGACTCGACCTTCAACTTGTGCTCCAGAAACTGTGCGGTCTGCACTCCATTCAGGCGAACCTCAGCCTCACACCACACACCGCAAACACCGCACACACCGCACACACCGCACACACCGCACACCACACACACCGCACACCACACACCGCACACCGCACACCGCACACCACACCGCACACCACACACCACACACCGCACACCGCACACCGCACACCGCACACCCCACCACACACACCGCACACACTGACGATTACCTTGTCGCCCCAGTTGCGGTCGACGATCTTGTAGCCGGTGAAGAAGAGGCGGGTGCAGAGGAGCACGGCTGGAATGTAGAGGGCGGTGCTGCCCAGGACCAGGGGCAGCGCCAGTGGCCAGAACATCCAGAGCGGCACCAGCGCCGTGAGCAGCAGATTGCCCACATTTCCGTTGGCGTAGCACCACCTTTTGGACCCCAAAAGGATGCTTGCGTCAACTCAACAAAGTTCGTGTGTGCCGTGTTCCGTGTGCTCATGCCATGTGTGTGTGTGTTGTGTTGTGTTGGTGTGTGTTGGTGTGTGTTGGTGTGTGTTGTGTGTGTTGTGTCGTTCTGTGAGAGCTATGCGAGGGATGTACGTACCTGGTCATGCGCACCAGGAGGCGGTTGTTGCCGCCCAGCGCCTTTTGGAAGACCATCCACAATTTCTGCAAAAACGAAACGAGAAACGAAACGAGGACAGTCGATCAGAACAACGCAAGGAAAAAGCGAAAGAGAAAGAACGACGAGGGAAGTGACGCGTACGAGGACGGCGTTGAGCACGGATGATGCAATACGGCGCACGACGAGCACCAAAGCGTCGCGCGCTCGGCGCAGCTGGCGAAGAACGAGGCGACACGCCCACGCCACGTGCTCTGCGGTCACCTGGAAGACCTGTGGGCGCGATCGATACATACGCGGGAAGGGTTCCGCACACACTCGCGTCAGCGCCATTTGCTGATATATCAGGTGGCAAACGGCAGCCGTTACCTGCATGGTGAAACGCATCGAGGCACCAGCGGCACTCCGCAGCCTGCGGTAAAGCCAGGCCCACATGACGCCGGGCTGGTACATCGGCACCCACTGGCGGACTGCGCGCGTGTTGCACTGTTAGTCGCACGACACACACCACACGCACACATATATATATATTTACACACACACACACACACAGGCGTACAGAGTCGGTTTTGCAGGGAGCAGACGAGAAGTGCGCTCGGGTACGCCAGTAACCAGCCAACCGAGCCGAAGATGAATTGGAGCCACGACAGGTCGGCCCAGTGGGTCTCCACGTACACGACCCAGACGGCGGAGAGGTAGAGGGCAAGGGCGAGCTGGTAGGCGAGCACGAGGAGATACGAGGCGCCGCTCAGGGCGTGGATCACCAGCCGCAGCCAATGTGGCGCAATTCCTGTCCGCGTCAACGAACTCGAATCAGCTGCGTGTGTGCGGTGTGTGCGGTGTGTGCGTGTGAGGTGGGGAGAGTACGTTGTGGACTCCAAAGCGGCGATCCGAGCGTCGCGGCGACGTAGACCAGATAGACTGCAGAAGAAAAAAAGTTTGTTTAGTGGGCGTCAGAATTGCAGGAAATAAGAAAATAGCGTGGTTGGCTGGCGTACGTGGCAGGACGAGGAGAGTGAGCAGGTCGTTGATCAACAGACCGACGCACTGCGCCAACCTCACGAGCAGGTACAGCTCCATGTACCAAAAGGTCTTGTAGCCGCTCCCTGTTATCATTACCACAAACCCAACGTCAGGTCATACTCTGTGTGCAGCCATCGAGATGGACCTAAGCGAAGGGGAACGCACATCGTGGGAGAGAGAAGAGGCGGCCGTCGCAAATGGTGGCTGGCAGGACGAACCATCGCAGTGCGATCGCGCGATCGAGCACCGGCGTCAGGACGTAGCCCGCCAACTTCACCGGCAGCATGATCGTGGCCGGAATGTGCTTCAACGCCAGGAAGAACTCCTGGAATGTAATTTCTGTGAATAAAATACCTAACAATAATAATAATAATAAAAAATAATAAGCGAACCTGATGGATGACGTAGCGGTAACCGAGCTTGTAGTCGTTGGCGCCCGGGGAGAGGGCCAATAGAACGCGCTGCTGGTTCTGCCACCCCAGGTGCTTGTAGCGGAAGAGCTGCTTCAGGGTCTTGCACCTCCGCTGGTTCTTGACCACCTGCGGCGAGTCCGGCCCCAGGCCGGGCCACCGGCTGTCCGAGAACAGCAGGGTCCGCCACAGCGAATCGTCCTCGGCCAGGCACCACCAGTCACTGCATTCCACACATACGTCAGATTCCCGTGTGCGTGTGCGTGTGCGTGTGCGTGTGCGTGTGCGTGTGCGTGTGCGTGTGCGTGTGCGGTAAGCGACGTGCCTGCAAACGAGTCCGGCGCCGAGTGCGAGTTGGTCGTAGGTGAGATAGGAGAAGATGCGTAGAAGGACCTCCTGCGGCAGCTCGACCCCGCCGGCGGTCGAGGCGCCAGATGGTGTCGGGTGGGCCTTCTTCCGGCGCGCAGCCAGGAGCGAGGCCCAGTAGGCCCGGCCCTTGCGCTGTAGCATTGACGAGAAGCCAGTCTCGGCGTTGTGTCGCTTGGCCAGCGCCCAGAGGCGGCTGAAGAGAGACGGGACGTGGACGATCAGCACGACGACGCTCAGGATCTGGAGCAGCTGCAGCAAGTCGACGGCCCAGAAGATGAGCTCGGTGAGCATCACCTCGTGCCAGTGCGACATCTCACCCGCTTCAATCGTGAAGCGGGTCCTCTGTTGAATGAGACCGGTATCAGTACCACCGCACACGCACACGCAACACACGCACACGCACACGCACACGCTCAAGTTGATGTGCGTACGAGAAGGCGGGAAACGAGCGAGGGAAGACGCCACACGGTGAGAGCGATGACCACAGTAGCAAGGCCGGCCACGAAGTCGGCAGGCAGCATGAGCGCGTGGCCGAGAACGACGCATCGCGCCTCCTTGTCGGTCGGCGCCTGAGTGCACCACAACGTCCCATTCAGTACTGGCAGAGAGCTGTGTGTAGTGTGTAGTGTGTGTCGTGTATGTGTGTGTGTCGTGTGTCGTGTGTGCTGTGTGCTGTGTGCTGTGTGCTGTGTGCTGTGTGCTGTGGAGGGGACGAACCTGGCGCATGTGCCGGATGAGAGCCCGAGAGCGCCACACGAACGGGAGCGTGATCACAAAGAGAGGAATGAAGGGAATGTCCTGCAGCCACGCGACAAACAGCCAGCCGACCTGCGAGCGGACCCACAGGGCGAGGCCCGGCGTGCGCGCAGCCGACTTCGCACGCATCGTGCGGTAGATCTGCACCAGGCTCGGTATGCGCCACAGCGTTGCAATCATGACCAACACTGTTTTGGCCACGCGCTGTGTAAGCTCGACAAGACCACTGAGTTGCGATGGTAGTGTGGTAAGCTAAGAGGTAGCGTACCCAGCACCGCGCCGATGTACTCGAGCAGGCCAGCCAGAGCCGAACGAAGAACGTAGCCGCGCTTCACGCTGTCAGCCATCAACGGCTGCCCCCCCCCCACACCACCACACACCACACACAAGGAGTGGTGAGACCATACATCAACAGTGCGTGGGTGAGGCTGGGTACCTGGCCCATGCGCGAGAGGACGCGGGGCAGCCGCCACGGACAGAGCACGCACACGGCGAACGGCACCACGAACGGCAAGTCCAGCAGCATCTCGCCCACCTGTTCCACCACCTGCGTCCTGCGCTTCGCGGCCGTGTCGAGATCCTACAGTGTGCGTGCAGTGGGTAGCGTAAATATAGAATAAATAATAAATAGGACCATTCAGTGAATACCGCCAAAGGAGGCCCTTGGGTGGGTACCTGGAACAGTCGGCGCAGGAAGAAGGGGAGGCGCCAGAGCATGAGGGGCGCGACGATCACAAAGGGCAAGTCGAGCGCGAGCCTGCCGAACTCGCTGAACACCACCCGATGGAACGATGTGGGCTGCTGCTGAGCTGCGCTGGTCTTGGCGGCCACCGCCCTCGTCGCCGCTCTCTCCCTCCTCTTCCGCCGCCTATTGGATTCAGCATTGACTTCGCCACTGACGGCGTCGGCCGGGGCCTCGGCCGCGCTGGGCTCGGCTGCAGTGGAAGCGACTGCGTCGGGAGCGACGTCGGCCGACGTGGTGCTAGTGGTCCACAGGGCACGCAGCTGTCGCACGGTGGAGAAGGCGCGCCAGGAAACGAGCAGGACCGCCAGGCACACGGCGGCGGGCAGATCAAAGAGCAGCAGCAGGAACTGCATGGCGATCCCGCGCCGCTGCGCCCAGTAGTCATCGGTGCGGCGCCACAGACGCAGCACCTCCGCGCCGCGCCAGCCGCACACGATGAGCGGGAGCAGCAGGAGGAGGAAGGGCACGTCGATCACCAGCAGCGCGAAGTTGTAGAACACCACCGCGTGGCACTGGGCTCCCTGCTTCAGGCTGTACACGTGCGCACCAGACGTCGCCTCTGCGTGTCGCGTTGTGTCGTGTGTCGTCGTGTGTCGTCGGTGTGTTATGTGATTAGAACAGGAAAGTGTGCTCGACGCGAGAGTCCGGATCAAACCTTTGTAGCGCTTGTAGGCGTCGCGCAGCTGGACGACGAGGGAGTAGGCGTTCCACACGGTGACGAGGGTGATCAGGCCCACCACGCCAGCCGCCAGGTCAAGCAGTGCCAGCCGGAATTGCACAAATGCGACGGAGCGCTTGTCGCCATTGCAGGTGCACTGTCGTTGTGCGCGTCAAGAAGGTGAGAGGGTGGTGTAAGATCAGTGAAAATCATATAATGGTTATCATTGGCCGTCGCTGCATCAGGCTGGCTGGTTGGGTGAGCTTACCTTGCCGAACTGAGTCCAGAGGGAGGGAATGCGCCAGAAGAAGAGGCCGGTCATGAGCGTCAGCAGGATGAAGGGCAAGTCGATGAGGGTCGCCAGGGTGTGGCGGAAGATTGCCTTGTGCAGGTCGAGTCCCGAGGCGGTCTGTCAAGGTACGATGTGCGCCACAGAACAGTGACTATGAGGAAACAACACATGGCAGACCGACATGGGCACAGCTCGATCGTACCTTGAGCGACGCGATGAGGGCGGGTGCGTGCCAAACGCCCAGGAGCGAGAAAAGGCCCAGGACAGCCGCAACCGCATCGAGCAGAGCGCACAGCAGCACTTCCCAACTGGCATTCCTCATTTCTCCCAGACTCTTGGCCTGAGGGCCATAGCACGACAAGGGTGAATGTGTGAGCCCAATAATGGCGAGTTGGCTCAGGCGGAACGAGGGACAGATCTACATGGAGAAATTGAGAAACGTACCGCTTTCAATCGGCGGTAGAGCGAGGGGAGACGCCAGAAGGCCACAGCGACCAAAGCCATGGCGGCGAAGTAGGGCAGATCGAGCACCACCTTCCCAAAGCTGGCAAACACAACCGAGTGGACGCCCAGGAGCTCCTTGCCCTGCACATTTCCATTGAAATGTTAGGAATCTACGCTCGCCGAAACAAGAAAGCCCTGAAGAAGACGTACGGCGAGCTTCTGCTTCATGTCAGAGTAGTGCCACACGGTGGCGCGCACGGCGGCGTAGGCGAGAAGTGCGGGCACGTCGAGGAGGACACATCCTAGAACCTGCATCACCGCGCTCCTCTTCTTTGCCAGCCGCCCGCTGGTGGCGCTATCGGTCGGTGTCGGCGCGCCGCGTAGGAGTCGCACGAGCGTGGGCAGCCGCCACAGCGTGAGCGCGATGCAGGCAATGGCCAGCAGGTGGGGCGTGTCGAGCAGCAGCACGCCGACGTTCTTGAACACAGCGGCGTGATAGCGCATGCCGTTCCGCCCGCGCCCGTTGGGACCCGTCATCGGCCGCAGATCCGCGTCGAGCTGCTTCGCATTCCAGCGAAGCAGGCGGATGAGTAGGTTGCATACGAGGCACGGAATGTCGAGAATGCCGCAGGCGAATTGCTGCAGGCAGGCCTTGCGCGCCGACGCGAGGCCCTCCTGCGGTGGCGGCTTGGCCTTGCGCAGCCGTGCGATAAGGACCGGCAGGCGCCAGAAGGTCACCACCGTGCCCGCTAGGCAGAGGAAGTACGGCGTGTCGAGCAGAACCAAGTGAGCACGAGCGAAGATGGCCCGATGGGCTTCGAGGCCCGGCAGCCAGTAGGAGGCGTTGAGTCGGCGGAGGTCGTCGACGAGGTCGTGCCAGTGCCAGCGCGTAACGAAGACGGCCGCGGCGGCCAACAGGGCCAGCGGGTCGAGGAGCACGCACAGCGCTTGGTCGTAGCACGCCTGTCGCCTGGGCTGTCGCCACGCCCACGTTCGATTTTGGTTGGCGTCGTCCCGCCGCAGCTGTGCGTGCTGGGTGGCCAGCACGCGCAGGTGGTGACGCAGGGCTGGCGCGCGCCACAGGGTGACGCCCACGAACGCGACGCAGATCAACGCCGGCAGGTCGCGCACCAGCCGGAGGGTGTGGCGCAGAATGACGGCGTGCGGCTCCAGCCTGGATTTGTCGCCGAGTCGACGCAGCGCGTGGAGCATGTCGCCCCAGCCCCACACGGTGACCAGCAGGGTCGCGGCGCAGAGCAGGCACGGCAGGTCGAGCAGCACGCAGGCGGCCTGGTCCACGCACGCCTGCTTCTTGAGCGCGATGTCGTTGGTTGAACGCAGCTGCTTGAGCAGCAGCCAGCTGCGCCACAGCGTGACGCCGACGAGCAGCATGCAGGCGAGATAGGGCAGCTCGAGCAGGGTGCGGCCCAGATGGTACGCGACCGAGAGGTGGTAGGCCATGTTCTTCTGCCCGGCCGAGTCACGCCGGAACGCTGGCGCATTCCAGCTCGCGAGGATGACGCCGACGGCGACCAGCGAAGGAATGTCGAGAATGAGGCAGACGAACTGGTTGCCGCAGATGGCGCGCCGACGGCCCAGCGAGGCGCCGCCGGTCTTGCGCAGCTTCTTGACGAGCCGCGGCAGGCGCCACAGGGTCAGCGCGATCACGACCGCCATGCCGATGAAGGGCAGGTCGAAAACGAGCCACAGGAAGTGCTTGATCGCCGAAAGATGCGGCAACCAGGTGCCCAGTTGCTTTTTCGATCTCATTTCCTTTTTTAAAATGAAGAAAGATTAGTTTTGCGTGCTAATGATGATGAAGCAGTCACTTAAGTGTTGATGGTGGGATTCGTACCTTGAGCGAGGCGAGCAGAGACCGAGCGTTCCACTGCGTGATGACGACAACGACAAGGCAGAGGAACGCGGGCACGTCGAGCACGGCGCACAGGAACTGATGCCACACGCACCAGCGCCACGACTTCGTGCCGGGTGCGGTCGCCGTCTGCCCGAGTGCGTCGCACAGCCGGCCCCAGAAGTAGTACGAGCGGCCCCACAGCGCCAGCGACGTGAGCAGAGCCATAAACACGAAAGGAATGTCCTTTATCCACTCGAGCGACTCCTCCAGGCAAATGCCACGCCACTGCTCGACACTCGCCTGAGAGAAAAAAAATGTTAGCAGTGTGAGCGTCGTAGGTGTGCGTGCGTGCGTGCGTGCGTCACAAGGTGGTATGGTGGGGGAGTACCTTGGCCAGTCTGCTGAGGAATGACGGCGCCCGCCAGAGCGTGAGCACGAGAGGAACGGTGAGTGCGAGGTGCGGGATATCGATCAGCACGTTGATAGCGGTGGCCACCAGGTTGAGCCGCCGGTTGATCTCGCCATTGGCCTAAAGTAAGGAAAGTTGATGGGCGTGGGTACATGAATCCCAAGAATGTGAGTGTGGGACGCGTACGGATTTCCAGAGCTTTCGCAGTTGCGGCAGACGCCACAAGGTGACCAGCACGATGAGAAGGAAGGGTAGACACGCGTAGTCGAGCGCAGCGTACAACAGCTGCGTCCAGCAGTACTGCAAATAGGGGTTGGCCTTCTTGAACGATTCCTTGCTTCGCGCCCAGTGTACGAGCCACGGGATCCTACGGGGCCAATGCCGCCAAGCCACACACGGCCCGACCAGAGTGAGCATGCGCGGCCCAGGCTGGCCCGCTCAGCCACATCCGGGCGTACGTACCTGACCACGGTGACGGTGACCAGGGCCGTCCCGATGAAGGCGACGAGATCGCACTGGGCCGCGACAGTGGCCTTGGCGTACTCGCCCCTGTTAAATGCCGACTGTGAGCCATTCGGGGCACTGTGATGGTCTGGGGAGGAAAGGAGACCAAGAAAGTCATACATGTCTACGGCGGGCAAGATCTTCATGGCCGGGAAGAAGAGGCCTTTGATTTGGGTGATGAGCAGAGCTGCAGAGCCGACAGCAAAAAATAGAGAAGAGGTCAGCATTGATCGATGATCGGAATAGACTCGCTTTCAAAAGAAGAGCGAGGAGCCGGGCGAGAGAGTACAGATGCCCAGCGACACGGTGGAGATGATGGCGATGACCTTCCCCTCGTGTTCGATGGCGGCGTGCGTCGCGTAGAGAGCAGCGGCCATCAGCCCCACAGCGAACACGGGGAAGAGCGTGCAGCCGACCCATCTGCCCACAGCCGCCATCACCACCACACGGTCAGACGTCGCACAAAGCACGTAAGCTGAGGCCCAGCAAGACGGTACCGAGGTAGCCACAACAGGGCGTGCAGCACCCTCGAACGTGCCAGCACTTGTGGACCCATTGTAGTCTGCTCCACATGTAGAAGGAGTAGAAGGAGAAGAGGTGAATAAGGAGTGGCACAGGTGTGGTGGCTGGGACGCACTTGTAGAACGAGGAGGTAGAGCTGAAGGGGTGCGGCCAAGAGGGCCGAAGAGAGGTGGAGGGCCACGAGGGCCACCACGTAGGGCAGCCGCAGCAGGCGCAGCACCATCGCCTCCCCCTGCGCCATTATGATTCAGAAGAGTGATATGTCACCTGCCGCTAGCGATTGATTTCTTTCAATGTTTGGTTGTGTGTGGTCATTAGAAGTCTGTTTGCTAGGAGAACTGCCCTGTTCACTTCATCGATTTCCTGAAGCTGGTGGGCGCCACGTCTTTTCGTCCGGCCGTGGAGCGCCACGCAGGCATTTTATTTCTTATTTATAATCAAGAGTATTTTATTCATTTCTTTTCTGGTTGGGGCGAGCATGGACGATGAAGAAGCGGCTCTGCTGGCGGCAGCCATCGAGCTCTCTCTTCGTGATACGGGTGGCCCAGCAGAGCAGCCCGATGCTGCCCCAGCTGCACCATCTCGTAATTCCCTTATTATGTCAAATCTGATATTATTTTTTTGCTTCGATTTGATTTTCATGTTAACATCACCACAGCAGCGCTACAGGACGCAGGCCTTGCATCGCTTCTGGCGAGCTTGCAGCAGGCCATGACCCAGCCTTCTCCTGCCCACGAGGGGGCGAAAATGGTACTGTTCTTCTTCTACACGCTTGCGCCACGTTGCTGGCTGACGCGAGCGCACTGAAGGTGCTATGCGTGCGACGAGACTTGGCCATGACCACAGGCAAGATCGCTGCCCAGTGCAGCCATGCCACGCTCGGACTGTACAAGACGATGGTCGCCCATCACTCCCGGTACTGCCCGGATTGCGTTGGGGAGGGGAACAAGCTCTCAGCTGACGTCTCGGTCGTAGGCTGCTCGAAGAGTGGGAGGACAGCCACTGCCCGAAGATCGCCCTCAAGCTAGACGATGAGAAGCAGATGTACATTCCGGAACACTTGTTGGTATTGTTGTTGTTTGTATGGTGGCGTAACTACATCCTCTCTTTTAATTGTCTCCAGGCTGGACTTACAGCAAAAGGTACGTCTTGAGGCGGCATGAGCTGTAAGCGACATGACTGAAAATCGGTGATGCAATGACCTACCAGGCTGCCATGCTCGGCCTGCCTACGCACATCGTCAGTGACGCCGGCAAGACCCAGATCGCGCGGGGCTCGCGTACGGTGCTGGCCATTGCAGGTAAGCAAATCGATCCGTTCTCGCTGCACTGTAGTGGTGTGTACCCTAACCTGGCTTTGAACACGCCAAAACGTAACACAGGCAGAAAGTCGGCCGTGGACAGCGTGACTGGAGAGTTGAAGCTTCTATAGTTGTATGATGCAAAAACACAAGACGTGTTTAGGCGCTGAAGGAGTCGGGGTGAGGCCTGGAAGCTGCGATGACTTGGGCATGCAGGCGGGAGATCTGGTTTTGATCCCGGCTGTGCTGGGGGGCTGCTTGGTCTGCTGCTGCGTCCCTCATCAGCTTCTCTAGCATCTTCATCCTCTGCATTTCCTCTGCGAGCTGCTGATGGAACTCTTCCTCCTTCTTCTTAACTTCGCTCCAGTCCTGCAGAACCTTGAAGAAGCTGGCGAGGATCACGCACGCAGCCAGGAAGACAAGAAACCAGCCAAGCACCAGGATCATGTCCTGGAGAAGGGAAAGAAGAAGAAAAAGAATAACGTGAGCATAGACAGTGCCGGTAACGAACAGTTCTGCTGCATTGAGTACCTCTCCACTTGTTTGGACAAGAGGTGGGACCGGCAGCAGAAAGAAGACGACAATCACGAGCACGGCGATAAGAACGAGCATGTTGAGGCTGAGGCTGCGAGGTGTGCAAAACAAACAAAACAACTTCTCTCCAGAAGACTTCTGACCCACTTACCAAAACTGTACTGGGCGTTCTTTCCCAAGCCGGGACGGATTTCCAGGTGTTTGGGCAAAGGGGAAACAGTTTCGTAATTTTCTTTCGTATTTGATCCAAGTGAGGCAGATGAGAGATTAGGGCGCATCGCCTTCCGGCCTTTCCACGAGACATGTCACAACAACATGCTACAGCAGCCCGTGCCTTCGCAGCTTGGAAAAATGTACTCTATTTTTTTTCTACATATATTCATTTCATTATTGTTTGATTTAATCACTTAACATAATGCGGATGGTCAGGGAGGGTTCGTGGCAGTGCTGTATGGCCTCGCGCTCGTGACTGCGTATTCGGCTGGCGTCTACTTCCTGTTCCCCTACTACTCCATCCAGCCGGGCGAGACGCACTTCAACGGACCCGTCCCCATGACGTGGGCCGACAGCGAGTACCTCCTCTCGCTCAAGGGTACGCGCACGCACGCGCCGCACGCACGCACATGCCCAAGCTAATCAGTGCTGGCTTCGTCTCGCTGCGGCAGCCGTGGCCCAGCAGAGTACACTATTGAGCGATCTCGAGCTGGTCTTGGGCGTGCGAGCCATCCTGCTGAGCAACGTCACCAGCGACCGCTCCTGTCCGCCCGGCTTCTTCTACAGCGACCACAGACATGCAGGCCGCGATGAACCATGCGAGTGCGCCACACACACACACACACACACCACACACACACACACACACATGTGCCCTCGTCAACCCCTAACGCGCACGTGGCCAGGTATGTGCAGCTGCACGAATTCAACTTCCTCGGGTTCGCTCTGGAGTACGACACGCTTGCTCCCGGCTATCAGGGTACCAACCACCCTTCTTAATTGCGAAATTGTAGGCGTTCCATGACTAACGGAGTGGTGTGGCAACAGGGCTCACCGAGCGGCCAGAAGATGTGGAGCTGCTGCCGTTCAACATCGTTTCGCCGCCGCGGGCCGGCGTGGTCTGGACGCACGACTCCGTGTTCCTGGTGGAACTCCTCCGGTTCGCCGCAAGTGCGTACACTCAGCTTAGCGTTGGCACGACATTGCTTGTGAACATCATCATCACCATCATCACCATCGGTACGAACTAACCGCGCTACGATGGTGACCGCGAGCTAGAGGGGAGCTGTCGCACGCTCGACGACTGCCAGGACTTCATCGCCGACGTGGCACGGAATCGCGAGGGCCTGCCCTACGTGCCCGGCTCGGTGCAGTGCGTGCGGCCGTCCATGGCGGGCTTGGGCAACTCGACCCTGTCCGGCTGCGCAGTCGTACGCCCACTGACCCCACCCACTGCTCTCGTGCTTGGTGGTGCTGTGAAACATGGCCGGCTCTGAGGAATGCAAAATATTTCGTGTTGTGGCATGCAGGCTCTGCGGCTGGGAACGTCGAAGGAGTGCTTCCCCGATGACTCGTACGTCATGCAGTGCGACTTCGCCATGTTCTTCAACGTACGTCGGGCTACTCTTATCTGATAGATGAAGAAGGCTGATGAATTCCGCGACACGCACGACACACAGTTCTTTGTGCGCCCAGCAGAGATATTTCTGGTGGGCGACATGTGGAAGTGGGGCACCATCCTCTTCGTCAGCTCAATGTTTCTCTGGTGCGCTCACTCGCCCTCTGATCACGCGATGTTGAGGGCTTTGCAAGATCGTACAATGAATGTTCTAACATATATCATTTTATATATTTATATTCTGTGTATGCGCTCTAGGGGCGTGGTGAGTATGTTGCACGGCAGGCGGCTGCATTTGCAGTACCTGCGCTATTACTACCTCACCCCGAGCCACCTGTATCTCGAGGTAATCGCCAGCTTTGTTTCAATGGGTGAAGGGCCAGGCCAATTAACAGCCGCACACGCGCACGCACACGCGCCACTAAATGTAGGAGGGCGCGACCTACGATCTGAAAATGACACTCATCGGGCAGCAGTTCACCAAGCGGAGCGGGATCTTCCGCGTCTACGATGCCTCCTCGGCCATGCGCGAGGTCATCTTCCACATGCCGCTCCGCGTCAGCTTTGGCGAAGGTTCGCCGCCGCCGCCGCTGTGTGCAGCGCAGCGTGTTACTTACACCACTGCTTGGCTGGGTGGTGTGGGCTTTCGGCAGAGGACGTGGAGTGCGAAAAGGTCGCGCGAAACCTGCAGCGCACCACCTTCACGCACACGAAGGGCAGCTGCCTGGCCGAGTTCGAAATCAACTGGGCCGACGACTTCACCTCGGCCTACGTCACCGTCCCCCACCTCCAGCTGGCACGACTCCATTCTTCTTTGATTTTTTTTGTGTATTCTTAGTTTATAATCAATTTTATTTAGAATTACGAGAAAATACTAAATTTTTGCATAATTTTTATTTGTTTTATTTATTGTTCCAGGAGATTCGCCAGCAGATCCCCGCGCGTGTCAAGACGCCGTGGAACCTGGTCTTCATCTTCCCCTTCTTCCTCGTCGGCCTCCTCTTCCGTCGTCCGGCGCCGTCGCAGCTGCTCCGCGTACGCGTCACCGTCTCGGTGGTGATGAATTCGGAGCGTGTGTCGCGTGTGTCCCGTGTGTGTGTGTGTCGCGTGTGTTGGTGATGCGATCTGATCATCACCATTGCCCTATCTTGTCCCTCTGCTCCAGTACCGGCACTACCTGTGCGTGGTGGCGTTCGTCACCAGCGTGCAGATGACGTGGCTTATCGTCGTGGTCTTCGCCTCCCTCTCCTTTTCTTCGCATGCCAGCTTCTTGCGCTCATGGGTACGCGGCCCTGCCACGTCGACATGCCCCACTTATCCACCATTCAATGTCTCACTCATTTCGATTGCCCGCACGTTGTGTGCGTGTGCGGTGTGTGTGTGCGCGCGCGCGCGTTCCTGCGTGTGTTGTGGGTGTGGGTGTCGTGTGCGTGTGTGTCGCGTGTGTGCGTGTGTGCGTGTGCGACAGGTGTGGGGGTCGATGGAAGAGAGGCCGTGGGGCTCGCTTGTCCTGTTTCTGGCCTTCCTGCTGTTCGTCTTCATCTCGCTGCTGGCCCACTTCATCTGCCTGTCCATCCTCAGGTGAGACTTGACCACGCCTTGTGTGGGTGGTAGGTGGTTCACTTGACCCACCTCTTTCCCTCCAGTGAATTGAAGCCCAAGCCCAAGGTGAACACCGACGACTACACCCGCATGTCCTCGTCAATCGCCATCAACCCCGAGGCACGATCGCACACGACACACGCACACATGACACACGCACGCACACGCACATGCACACACACGACACGACCAACGACACGACACGACTGACGTGAGTGTGAAACACGGCAGGAGGACGACTACTACAATCATGGCATGAACGGGTCGACGAACCACCTCCAGCACCACGAGGACACCGACTTTTCCACAATCGAGTTCGTGCCGCTGATGAGCTCCACCACGCTGGCCTCGTCCTCGTCCGCCACTACGACGTCGCCCACGCCGCCGCCCTCGGCCAAGGCGCGCCTGTTCGCCTCCACCGACGACTACCACTTCACGCCCGAGTCTTCGCCCAACGCGTCGCCCGTACCGCTGCGCCGGGCCAGCACGACCGCCTCCGTCGGCGCGCTCGAACCGCCCATCGCCCTCTGAGGGCGCGGTGGGTCCACCACTTGTACAGAGACCCCGACGTGGTCGAGCAGACACACCGCCGCGCATTTTTGGTTGGCTGTCGGTTTATCTGTTGGACAACCAATCGTCGCACTGGCAATTATAAACAATTATTTATTTTCATTTTTGCCACAATCCATCTTCATCACACAGCTACAAGACGAGCAGCACCATCATGGCGGACCACATGAGCAAGTTCAACGAGTACAGGTCTCTTCCTGTTGGCGAACAAGGTTGGCCTGCCCTCCTTCGCTTCTCTTTTTGTTTTGATTATCAAATAATCGAAAATGATTAATAATCAAAACAGGATTTATTTCTTAATTGCACAAAATAATGAACTAATAAATAAATCAATTTATATTTTTCGTTGCGTGTAGCCAAGGTGTTCCTGCGCCCGTTCGTGCTGGAGTTCCAGGGGCGGTTCCAGGAGATCCTCGACATCGCTGACGACTTTACCCGCTTCGCTGCCAACCCCAACGCCACCGTCGTCGAACTCAACGAGTTCGAGGGTCACCTCTTCCTCGAGGTGCGTCTCCCTCTCCCCTCCCTCCGCTTTCGCTTTCGTTTTCGTTCTTCTTTCTTCATTTTTCGTTTCGTTTTTTGCGCCTGCTGACGCGACGCTTCGATATAGAAACGCGGCGAGGCGATGACGGTGGTGAAGATGCGGGAGCACCTGAAGGACATCGACTTCTCCGGTCGCACCAAGCTCTCCTTCATCGAGTACCTCATGTTCAAGTACCACAAGACCCTCGCCCAGCTCTTCGCCCCGCCTCCCGCCGTACCCTTCCCTCCGCCCTGCAGCTGACGTGGCATTGCACCTTAACTTTATATTATATTAATAATTATTTTTAAAAAATAATTATTAATAATTAATGGTGGTGCTGACGTGGCTATACAGGGTGGTGTGCCGGCTGCGCTGCTGGCGGCGCTCGACACGGCCATCGATTCGTACATCGGGACCAAGCGGGCGCAGCAGCAGCGGCTCGAGGAGATGAAGCGGCTCGAGGAGACGGCCCAGTCGGGCAAGCGCACCGTGCAGAGCGTGCAGGCCCAGAACAAGATCAAGGAGCTCGAGGGCCAGGAGTTCTCCCAGAAGTTCGCTGAGATGCGCGCCCTCAAGGCCAAGAAGGAGGCCGAACTGGTACACAACACACGCACCGCACACACCGCACGCACCACCGCACACGCACACGGTGGAATTGACGTGAGGTGGTGCGCAGGCGGTGGCGAATGCGCCCAAGATCGATCCGTACGAGGAGGAGCAGAAGAGGCTGGCCGAGGAGCAGCGGCAGAAGGAGGAGGCCGAACGCAAGGCCAAGGAGGAGTCCCGCAACCGCCTCAAGAACCGCGCCGCCTTGTTCGGCAACTGAAAATCAAAAATAAATTAAAATTAACAAAAATAAATTTACAAAACAAAAAATAAATAATAAATAATATACATATAAATATATTAAAACAATAAATATTTCTGTGCGAATTGTTATGCTGCGGGCTGGTTGCTGCCTTCGACCGAAAAGTTGATTAGGTCGCGGTGCTGGTGCGACACGACCAACGACACGCACGACACACGACACACAGTCAGCTGCTGATGTTCATCATTATGATGAACACCAGGGCCATGTCGGGGGCGGCGTACTGGCGTCGAGGAGCAAGCCGAACTGCGGGTCGTAGTACACAGAGTCGAACGCGCCGGTGAACTCCAGCACCAGCGCGTACTGGGTCGACGATGATGAAGAAGACGATGATGATGAAGTGGAGTTGAGGCTGTAGGCAAAGGTCAAGGCGTCGTCGTTGAAGACGGCGTAGTTGGGCAGACATACCACTGAAGCATGAACTGCTTAACCGCACGACATGGCACACGACACGACACACGACAACAAGATGTACCCGTGTGCGGGTGAAGTCGCTGTCGTTGATGGGGAAGCGGTAGAGGGCCACCTCGGCGTTGCTCGACGTGTTCAGGTAGTACACTGTCACGGCCTCGTAGTCGAGCTCCATCGACGCACCCTGCCAACCATCATCACAATCAACATCATCAGTGCCGTCATGATCATCATCTTCTTCATCAACGTTTTTGAAGGGTGGGTACCGTGAAGGCGTCATCGTTTCCAGAGACGGCCGTGAGGGAGCACCCCCTTCTTCATCGCCCGCGGCAAAACATTCACTCTCCACCGACCTTCAACATCATGTCGCCTTTCCGTTATCATGCTTCCGTGGGTGTTCTTCTCATTCTTGTTGCCATCTTCTTGGTGCCCTCGCACTGCTTTTCCCAACGGGCCTACCTCGACTACCTCGATGTCCGTGTCGTCTTCCCCTACCATGGGTTCAACTTCACCTGCACGGTATTGCCTCCGCCATCAGATACCTTCTGCAAGCATCTGAGCACTTTTACCGGATAGGAGGCGAAGGTGTTTCAAGGCAGCCTTGCTGGTCCTGGTGTCCCCCAGATTGTGACGAATGGCACCACGTGGGGGCCGTATGCGTCCAGCGACACCGGCAATCTGTTTGGTGCGAATGTCACCTCCCCTATCGGAACCGTCAAACAACTCAAATGATCTCTCTGACACTGCTCATCCTATCAGCCAGTGTTCAATTGAAAGCCAACGGTCAACTGCTGGCCATGACCTACTCCGGCGCCCTGGGCAGCCGCCCCAAGATCCTGTTGCAATTGTCGCCACAGAAGGGACTCTATTCCAAGGTGACTTTCGACCTGGCCGCCCCGACTAGTGGCCACGTTTGGAATGCCACTGTCACCTTGGCCTAATCAAATGTTCTTCCTGTTTTCCCATCTGGCCAATACATTTGGAGGAACAAGATCTTTGTGGAAGAAATGCTGAGAAAGGAGGGATCACTGGCAAAAAATAAGTGGTGGTCGGTGGTGGTTGGCGGTGGTTGGCGGTGGTGGTCGATGGTGGTCGATGGTTGGAGGCGATGGTTGGTGGTGGTGGTCGGCGTTGGAGGTCAAGGCCTTGTCATCACCCCTGCAAGCAAACGTGGTTAGAAAAAAAGAGATGCGATCTGCGAGCCAGAGCACAAGGTCCGTACGTTTTTGGGGCAGCAGAGGCGGTCTTGAGCTTGCATGCGCTGGGTACCTTGTCCCCGGAGCACATCACCCCTTGCTTGTGCTCCTCACACACGACGCCCTTGCCCACCGATCCGGCCAGCGTTTTAATCGCCTGCATGACGCCATTGTCGCGCATGCTGCACCGAGTTGGGGGCAATTCTATGCGAACCTGGTGTGGGTGCTTGGTCATCACGGTGACCTTGACAATGTGGTGCGTCCTTGCTGACACTGCATCCCTGAAGTATACAACACTCCATTCCTTCAATGATGATGTGGAAATTGGTGAGGGCGACACAGTTGGTGATGATGTGTGGATATCACTGTCAATTGGTACCTACCACCTCCACCACCACCACCATGCTTACTTCTGTTGCCTGACCGCCATCTCAACCCTTTGCTGCAGGTGTTCCCTGGACTCTCCCACCCTTGGCCCCAGATGCTGAGATTTCTCAGGAGCTGTTTTCTCACTGCTCTCAGCCTCTCTTCACCTCTGCTGAGCTCCAGGAGTGGCAGGACACACTGGACCAACATTGGACTGAAGCCATGGCTTCTCCACATGTCCTCCCCACTCTCTTTGATTCCCTTACCCCACACTCTTCTGCTTCCCAGCTCTGTGGTGGTGTGGTAAAGCCCGTTCCCCCGCTATACATACATACATATATATAATGGGACTTGTTAATGGATAGAAGCGGCACTCAAGCGAACGTGCTCCCGGGGGGTTAAACCACGAGAGCGCAACTTGCGTTCAAAGATTCGATGATTCACTGATAATGCACTCACTTGCTTCCAAACACATGTGCAGGTAGCTCATCACCAACATCCTCAAGATGCCCAGCACTTTGTCTTCACACCTGGCATCTGGGTGGCCATCCACCCAAGTGAGGATGAGACCTTGGAGCAGTTCTGGATTGCAAGATTACTGCTCCACATCAACTGCACTCTAACACTGTGTCTGGAAAAAGGTGCCAGTGGCACCTTTTGTTAAGTAAAATCTGTACAAGTGATATATGTGTATGTGCAGCGAAAGCAGTACTTTTGTGAACATGGTGTGTGAGTGGTTTTGGCAAAATATGTACAGAGAGTGGCAAAAACAGGGAAAAAATGGTGTAGGTCATGGTAAAAGCAGATGGGGCCAATGAAGAATTTCAAGGCATAAGTGTAAAAAAGGGCTAATGTATTTTGTTGGAATGAGGAACAGAACAGAGTGGAGGGAAACATTAGCCAATGGACTTCCACACTTTCCATGGACCAGAAGAGGAGGAGGAGCTGGTCTTGGGTGTGAGAGGGGCAAGGGCAGGATGTGAAGTTAGGCCTTGTAGGAAGGAAGTGATGGCTGTGAGATCTGACTCCTCCAGGAATTTAGAGTGGAAGGTGAGGAGCCAGTTGCCAAGAGAGGAGATGTTGCCCTCTGCTATGGGGGTAGAGGAGAGGCAGACAAAGCTGGAGTAAAGGGCAGCACAGAAGGAGAGGTAGTAGGTGGGATTTGCCTCATAGAGAATGTGGTAGGGGGTGGTGGGCGATGTGATGGGGTGGGGAGAAGGATTGGGAAGCTCTAAGCTCTGGATGAGGAAGCTGTAGAGGCTGATGTGAAGTGGGGTGTGGTCCAATGATTGAGCAGTGAGGAAAGCAGGAGCAGAGTGGACAACCTCACACATTGGGTGTGGGATGGGGATGTGGTGCAGATAGCAGAAGGGTTTGGGGATGGTGTTGCTGGCCAGAGGATGCCAGATGGTGGACATGTTAACCCTCTTGTGGCTGAAGATGAGAACATTGAAGCCACTGATGAGAGGTTCAGAGGTGGGCATGGAGCTGGAGTAAGTTGGGGAGCTGTAGTAGAAGTGGAGTAGGCAGAAGACCTGGAGGGTGGAGTGTGACTCAAGTGAGGTGATGGCATTGGTGATGTTGGAGGGAGATGAGGAGATGTAGAATCTGATGCCATAAGACTTTGATAGGTGAGTTGCTGTGTTGTTGATGTTGAGAGGAATGTCTGTGCTGTGGATGGTAAAGTTGTGCATGTAGATTGACACCTGTGGAAGAAAAAAACCAGTGGACATCAGGAATAAGTGAAAAACCAATGTGCATTGGGGAAAAGAGTTGACAAATAAAAACCTGATGGCATTGGGAAAAGTGTTGACAAATAAAAAAACTGATGCGCATCAGGAAAACAATGCAGGCTGATAAATGCACTGGCCATTCATGGAATTGTGTTGGTTGGGCAAGAAGCTTGGTGAGTGGCTTGGTGAATTGGGGGAGATACTTTTTCTGGAGAGCAAGCTCTGCTTTGTGCTTGATGGTAGATGGTGACTTTTCCTCTTCAGCCTTACCCTTGCCATGTTTCTTGGTAGCTGTAAAGAACAAGCATGTGGTGAGCTTGGAACTTTACCAGCAAAATGAAAATGTACTGGTTGGGGTGGTTGGAGTGGTGCCAGAAGCTTCAGCGGCAGTGGGTACTGTGGGCTGAAGTCAGATAATAGTGGTGTAAGTGAAAGTAATGGGGTGTGAATTGGAACAGGAAGGAGTTGATTTGTACCATTTTCCCCTTGGCCAATGCAGAAAGACGCTGGCACTGTTTGCTTGTGGACGTTGAGGCAAGGGAGGCCTCCTCTGCTTGAGAAGCTGTGGTGGCATGTGCAATCTCCCCTTGTAACTGGCAAGGTGTGGTCTCCTCTGCCTCATTGCTGAGAAGTTTTGACTGGAATGGGTGCTTGTGGAATGTGTTGACAACTTCGGAGGTGATGCTGTGGGGCTGCTTGATCTTGATGTTTTTACTGTGTGGTGTGATGTATTCCACAATGCAGATCTGGTCCCAGATGTGGTGAAGCTCCTCAGGATCTTGCAGAAGCAGTCAGCCTCCATGGCTGCATGAACGGCCTGACAAAAGGCCTCCATCTGCCTTTTGATCATGCTCCAGTGGTTGGTGATTAGTGACCAGAAGTTCTCTGGCAAGAGGGAAGTAGTTAGACTTGTGGGGAGAAGAACAAAAGAACTAAAAAGAAAGGACATACTCTTGGAAGGGGCTTGGTGTTGATAGTGCTTATAATGACAAAGCACAGCGATCATGTTGTTGGCACTCAATTCCCTGAAGGCACCAGAGTTGAGGTTGTCAAGGGAGATGAACACCTGACCCTCTGGAATGAGGTGATTGAGTTCCTTGATAAGACTGGAAAAGGGGAACAGTTAGTGAGGACTCAAAACAAAGGTGAAGAGTTAGAGTAGAAATAACATACTCCACCACTCCTGGAGCATGGAACAGGGCCCTTAAGGTAGTTGAGTACTTCTGCAGAGTGGTGGGCTTTGGTGCAGCATGACTCTTGAGCGTTTTCTGTGAGGTGTGGGGTGATGAGTAATGGTTTGAAATATGAAGGTGGTGGACATACCAGGTGCTCAGTGAGAGCATTGTAGTTGGTAACAGTTTTTTTGCCATGTGTGATCTGGAAGAGTGGGTTTTGGCCAAGGGTGTAGTAGTTCAGGGCCTTCTTGAAAGCATTCAGGACAACTGAGCCTGCCAAGTTGATGTAGTTCTTGAAGCTGGAGATGCAGTCAAGGATGATCCAGCTGAGTTCCATCCCTGCAGCTGCTGGCACAACTTCATAGACATTCTCCCACTGCCAGTGCTCAACAAGGTTCCACACCACAACTCTGTGGTTACAATTGATGGCCTCTGGAAGGTTAAAAGTTAGTACCCAAAAAAACTGATGTGCATTGGGAATTGTGAATAGCCTACAAACTGAATGGCCATGAGTGCAGCTAAAATGAACTGGTGTGGGAAGTAATACCAAACTCATTGATGTTGTTTTGGTCAAGGTGCTCATCTTCATTGAGAAATCTAACAATGAAGGGCTTGGTTGTGAGACACCCTCCATCCACAACAGACTGCAGCAAGTGATGAATTCCTGGAACTGTCACTGGGTGATGCTGTTCTGATGGCAGTGCAGGTGGTTAGCAAGTGAAAGCATCTACACATTGCCAGAACAAAAAGAGGAGTTGTACCAAAGATGGTGCAGTTCTGAACATCAAGGGGGTGTGATGTGGGTTGAACCCAGGTATGGTGCAAAGTTGAAGGGTTGATGCAATCGAGCTGCTCCTTCTGCTGGTGAATTGCTTGGTCATTGCAGGTCACCTGAAGGCTGGCGCTGACAATGTTGGGGTTGGACTGAAGCAATTGGAAATTTGGGAGTGTATGAATTTTAGTTTCTGAATAGTAAGGTTGAGGTCAGCAACACAAACTGTTAGAGAACATGGTTCTCACAAGGTCAAATAAAAAACCAATGCACATTGGGAAAAGAGTCAACAAATAAAAACCCAATGCACATCAGGAAAAGAGTCAACAAATAAAAACCTGATGTGCATCAGGAAAGAGTTGACAAATAAAAAAACCCAATGTGCATCAGTTTGGAACTTGTCAGTGTGGTGAACAGTAAAAACACACAAAGTGTACATACCTAGCTCCAGGTCAGGCAGGGCAAGTAGTCTGGTGGCCTCCTTGCATTGCTCTTCAGTGTTGCCTGCAGAGTACTGGCGCACCACTGGCTGCTTGTGAGGCTTGGTCTTGATCTCCTCCACCTCCATCTCCTTGTCCACATCAATCACCTCTGGGTGTGTGTGTTTCCTCTCCTTGTGCTCTTCCTCTACCAGCTTGTGCTTCCTTGGTGGCGCTTGGTGCTCCTCCTCCTCCAGCTCCTCCTCCTGCTCCTCCTCCAGTGCTTCCTCTCCCTTCTCCTCCTCTTTCTCCTCCTCCACTATGTCCTCCTCCAGCTCCACCCCCTTCTCCTCCTCCTTCTGCTCCTCCCCCTGCTTCTCCTCCTCCTCCTCCTCCTCCAGCTCCTCCTCCTCCTCCTCCTCCAGCTCCTTCTCCTGCTCTTCCTCCTCCTCTGTCTCCTTTTCCTTCCTCTCCTCCTCCTCCTCTTCCATGTCCATTGGCTCTTTCACTCCCTCCTCTGCTATTGTTGGCATACACTGCATTAGCAGTTTGAGAGACTGCTGCTTCGTGGAGCCAGTGTCTTGGCCCTGCGCCTGCAGCAACCCATCAATGTACACCTTGGTGATAACCTTGGTGTTGGGTTGCTGGTGCACCTTCACTAGGGCATTACAGGAGCTTGCTAGAAGCTTGGTGGCCAACATGGCTGAGAAGTTGGGAAGGCTGGAGGCAGCTTGGTGAGAAGACATTGAAAGGAAGTGTGTGTTGAATGTGGGTGGTACAACAAAATGATCAAAACAGGTTGTTATAGGTAATGTAGGTCTACAAAAAAAGCTGTCTGCATTAAATTCTAATTGGAGGGACAGGAAACAGGGGGCGAAATTTCATGTGGTCTGGAGAGCTTTGAGATCTTCCCAATGCGCATCAGGTTTGTTATTTGTCAACTTGCTTCCTGATGCACATCAGGTTTTTTATTTGTCAACTTGCTTCCCAATGCACATTGGGTTTTTTTATTTGTTGACTCTTATCCTGATGCACATCAGTTTTATTTTGTTGTCCTGTTTCCTGATGGCATTGGGTTTTTAAAGTTGTCCTGTATTTTCCTCAACTCCACTGTTATTAGTTGTGAGCTCATTGGTCTGGAGTTCCAAGAAACACAATGTTCACCAATCCAGAAAAACCACATCTATCCATTATGTGGCTGTTGGGAATTGGAGGTATCACACCAAATGTTTAAATACCTCTCCAGTGTCATTCAGTTGTTCTCCACCTCAATGAGCCACTCTCTCCCCACCAACACAGAGGTCCTCACCTCTACCCTACTATCCCCAATCTTCAGCCAGTCCTTATGAGCCACAGCTCATACTCCAAGGAAGAGAGTTCTCCAAACTGCTGAAGAGCAAATCCCCAAAAAGCGTCGCCTGCTTGTCAGCAATGATCACATCAATACTGTTCTTGGATCATTCTGTTGTCATAAGAAATGCCTTGATAACTTCTCCTTTGCTGACATTCTCAACATCACACAACCCTTTGCAGATCTCAATGAACGTGATCACACCACCTACATCATCAACATCATGTCAGCCAGCTGTGTCTCAACACTACCTGAGTGCCACTTCAAGTTGTGACTCAATGGTTCTCCAGTGTGTTTGAATGCTTTCCAAAAGGTGCCAACCCTTTTTATTGTGGCCTTACATTTGTTATCCCACCTCACATTGCTGCTCTACAAGGCGCATGGTTTCAGCAGGAAGAAGTGGCGTTCTGCTAAACAGATTTTCATTTCTGGTGGGCGTCAGCAACGTCCCTCAAATGCCAGCTCAAATACCCACTTATGGCTAACCACTTTCTTTGATGTTATTGGAGATCACCTTCCTGATGCCACCATCCACTTACCTATTTCTTTGACTTGGCAAGAAGTGCACTCTATGTGTGCCAATGCTCATCACTCAACTGTTCCTGTGCTCACCTATTCTGCTATGCTCAAACACATTGCTTCCCACTTTGCCTATGTGAAGTTGCCTAAGAACTCATGCCTTGGCAAGTGCTCTGCTTGCATTGACTTTGCACAGCAATGCTTGAGAGCCAAAAGCCCTCTTGAGGCAGCACAGTTTGCAAGTGCATGGACTCACCACCTTGCACTTTCTTCTGCAGAACGCCTCAGTTACAAGGACTGATGCCACCAAGCAACAAGTCAACCAAGTCTTTACATGAGCCTGATCATTGACTACTCCAACCCACTCCCTCTCCCCACCCACACTCCTGTGCCAAAGGCCTGGATGCACTTTGGCAACCAGTTCACCATGGTTCTTGGTGGTCTCATTGACCACAGCCATGGCAAACACCTCTTTCTACACCCTCAGCCCTTTTGGCCAAAAGATGCTAACCTTGTCATCTCCACACTCTTTCACCACATCTGAACTCACCTTTTGACTAACACCGCCTCCAACACTCGCCCTTCTATCCTCTACCTGCAGGCTGACAATTGTGCTGCTGAGAACAAGAATGTCTTCATGCTTGCCTTCCTCAGTCTCCTGGTCAGCCTGGATATGTTCCAAGAGGTCTACCTCAGCTTTCTGTTGGTTGGGTGAGTGGGCTGATATCTTTGAAGCACATGAGGCTCTTGTTTCAAGCTCCCAACCCACCTGCAATAACTTGATTTTTGATGGACTCACAGCTCACCCCATCACTAATCCTCTCCTTGATGGTCCATTGTTCCATCTCCAAACCAGGGTCAAGGTTGTCCACACACAGACTACACCCCAAGTCCAACGTTTCAACTTTGCTCCTGGTCAGTGGGTTGCTGTCTGGGCTGATGCTGATGAAGACACTCAGGACTTTTGGATATGCAAGATCATCAGCATTCTCTGTAAGAGGCTCCATGTCCACTGGTGGAACTTTGCTAATGGACACTGGACTGACCATGGCTCAGAAAGCACTGTTCCAATGGGGTCTGTTTTAGCTTGTGGCTTTGACTTTAATGCCAACACTGGAGTTCCCCCACCCACCCTTCAAGAAATATTTAGACACCTGTAAATAAAACTTCTCTTCTCTGTGTACATTCAAATTCCACAGTGTTTTTATCTCCTGTACACCTGTTTTTAGTTTCATTAAAAAGTACCACTATCACCTTTTTCTGGACACAGTGTTCTCTGTGCTCATTGATTTTGCTGTGATTTTTGAGGATATTGAGCTGAATCACTGTAATCCAGCAAATGCGGTTTGACAGGTTGTTCCACAGAGTATCTGGGCAGTGTTTGTGGGTGACTCAGTTATTTTCCAAATTGACTCTGTAAATATGGTGAAGCTCTATTGGGGCAGAGGGCAAGTCTCTTGATCATGTAGTTGAAGCTGTGGTCCTTGAACTTGTGCTTTCGGAGTCAGAGCGAGCGGAGGAGGCGAGAGCAGCAGCCAACGGAGGGTGGTTTGTTGCTGTGGTGTCATTGTTTCGTTTTGTTTGCTTTGTGCCATTTGTTTGGCCCTGTCAGCCTACATGTGTGAGGGGAGCCGCTTTTATTTGGAGAGCACCACAACAATTTTTTGTATTTATTTACAAAACAAAATAAATATAAATATAAAAACACAATAAATATTTCTGTGCGAAGTTGTTATGCTGCGGGCTGGTTGCTGCCTTCGACCGAAAAGTTGATCATGTCGCGGTGCTGGTGCGCGATGTTGGTCTTGCGCTTCTGCCACACCACCCACGCGACGAAGCCGATGGCAAACAGGACCACGACCAGCAGTGCCCCGCCCACCAGCACGGGCACCAGCACCTCCACCAGAATGCTGTCGTCTCCGCCGCCGTTGTCTGCCCGTGCACACACGACACGACACGACACGACCAACGACACGCACGACACACGACACACAACACACAGTCAGTTGCTGATGTTCATCATGATGAACACCAGGGCCATGTCGGGGGCGGCGTACTGGCGTCGAGGAGCAAGCCGAACTGCGGGTCGTAGTACACAGAGTCGAACGCGCCGGTGAACTCCAGCACCAGCGCGTACTGGGTCGACGATGAAGCAGACGATGATGATGAAGTGGAGTTGAGGCTGTAGGCAAAGGTCGAGGCGTCGTCGTTGAAGACGGCGTAGTTGGGCAGCTCCATGGCCATGTCGAAGTCGCCGCCGACGAACCGCTGGGCCTCCAAGTAGGTCGCGCCGGCGGGCACGGCTCCCATGGTACCCGCCTGGCTCATGCGCAGGCGCAACTCGACCGCCACCCGCCGCGTCGCGATGTCGATGTCACCGGGGTAGAGGCCCTGCGTCTGATTGTCGAAGGCGACCATGTTTGACAGACTGACCGTGATCTGTTCCGCCGCACACGCGCACACGCGCACGTGAGCTCAAATAAAAATAGAAAAAAGTAAAAAATAACTAGTTTTTTTGTTTTATGGAATAATATAATTCCAAAACTATAAAAATGAAATTTAACGTAAATTGCGTACCTTGACGTGGTCCTGAGGCACGGTGATGGTCTGGTTGCCAAAGAGCACGGACTGAGCGACGTCGAAGAGGCACTGCTGCAGCAGCAGGCCGGCCCCGTTGTCTAGCACCCGCTCGTAGTTGATGCAGAACTGGTCGTCCGTCGAGTTGCCCTGCCACACCCCCGCACACACGACACACACGCATGAGCTGCTGAACGCGCATAACACACCGCACACACGACACACGACACACGACACACGACACACGGCAACAAGATGTACCCGTGTGCGGGTGTAGTCGCTGTCGTTGATGGGGAAGCGGTAGAGGGCCACCTCGGCGTTGCTTGATGTGTTCAGGTAGTACACCGTCACGGCCTCGTAGTCGAACTCCATCGACGCACCCTGCCAGCCATCATTACAATCATCACCAGCATCGTCACCATCATCATCACCATCGTGCTTGGGTGGGTACCGTGAAGGCGTCATTGTTTTCAGAGACTGCCGTGAGGGAGCACGCCGGCGAAGTAGAGCTATCGTAGCTCACCCGCGCGCCGCTCGACTTCAGCGTGTTCCACTTAGCGCACGTCTGCGCGCCACCACATGCGGCGGAATTGTGACGCGTGAGTGATACCACGACACGACACGACACGACACGACACAACACGACACGCAAGACATGACACACAACGTTCGCGCGCACCGTATTCGAGGCGGTGCCGAAGGGCAAGCCGTTGCAATCAATGCAGCCGGCGCTCACCTGGCACTGGCTACACTTGTTGAGACCATCAGGGCAGCTCACATTGAACCCTGTGCCACCACCCGCGAGTGTCGTGTTGTGTCGTGTGAGTCGGGTTGGCGTGTCGTGGCGTGTGTCGTGTCGGCGCGCAGTGGGTGCGGGGGCGCACCATTCACGACGGTTGTTGCATTGGCGCAGGCGTTGACTCCACCGAACAGATTCAACCCCACACAACCTTCATTTCATAGACCGGAATGTTAGCATAGTGTGCGCGATGGGTGCAATGGGTGCGATGCTGCCTGCTGTGGTGCGCGTGCGGGTGTGGTGGTGGGTGTGCTGTAACGTGTGCGGGAGGCGCTGCTTACCGGGTGTGCAAGTGGCATCGACAAACTTGGACGCTCCCAGCAGATTGATGGTCCAGCCATTCCTGAACAAACAAAAAACGGCGCAGTGAGTCCATATCCAAGGCCTGCGCGTGTGCGTGTGCGTGTGCTGCTGCGTGTCGTGCGTGTGCGTGTGCGTG